CCACCCTTTTGGGCTTCTGGAATAATCGAGCTAAGAGACAGAGTCATCGCTCTGATCCTCCTGTGAGGTGTTCCTGTCGTAGTGGGTTTCCCTCACGACAACCCACTCACTCATCCCTTAGCTCAGCTACTGTGGTTCCTCCTCTCCACTTACACTCGAACCTTTTGATTTTTGGAAGAGACACTCAGTTCTGTCACTGTGCTGCTCTGGGTTGTAGGCATTCAGACGGCGCCCACCCCGGCAGCGCAGCTGCAGGCACTGTTCACCCCAACTGTGGCAGATGGAGTCCCGGCCCCAGTCCCGTGACCGCCGCTTCAAGTAGGGGAAAGAAGAAAAGAGTTGAGGCAACAAGGGGAAGCCAGAACGAAGCACGCCAGAAAGACAAGCTCACAGAGCCGAACAAAACTGTCACACGCTCTTCCAAACAAGGCAAAGGACGCTAAGGTACAGGAAATGATGACAGAGAGTAGAACGTGGTAACTCAGAAATGTGACAGAACTCAGGCATTAGAAATGTAAAAAAAAACAAATGGAGAAATGAAGAAAACAAAACACAGGTGAAGAGACAGATACATGATGTCTTGAAAGGAAAGAGAATGTGACCGAAAGGGACATTTCAAATCAAAAAGAAATGAGAAAAGTTCTGCTTCTGTCCAAAAGGGACGACGGGACCTGGGCCTGTCCTCCTGGAAAGGCAGGAATACACACACACGACTGTAGACACGGGCTGGCGGGGACCGCAGGAACGCGTCCCGAGGAGCGCGGTGAGCCTGGACTCATCCTGGCTGTTCACCCAGAGACGGCTTCCGGTCTGCTGGGGGGGAGCAAGGGGGTGGGGGCGCACTCCAGAAGGGGCTGGTGGTCCTGGAGAACTGAGAGCACAGTGTGGGGAGGCCACAGCAGCGGCACGTGAAGGGTCCAGAAGCCCACACAGGGTCTCCGCCAGAGCCTGGCTGTGTACCCGTGTGTCTACAGGGACAGCGTGACTCCAACAGACTGTGCCAGAGACAAGTCCAAGGAGAGAGCGAGTGCTGGGGAAGCAGATCACACGGAGTGCGGCCCCCTCGGGGAATACCCAGGCATCCAGTATGTTCCCTCAAAGGGCCAAACCTCAGAGCTGGGGCTAAACCAGGCTCACCATGAAAATAATTAAAGAGCAAGCTTTGAAAGGAGGAAAGCGATTCTCAGATCACTGCCACCAGACGGCAGCCTAACACTCTTTGAAGGAACACAACACAATCCAGCACTCCACAACACAAAAACACACATTCTGGAATCCAAGAAAAATTACCCGACCTGGAGAAGGCAAGGAAACGTGACCTGTTACCAGGAGTAAAAGATCAATGAATAAAATGGGCCCAGAAATGAAAAGAGATGATAGAATCAGCAGACAATGATATTAAAACCAGCTATTACACACGTATACTCAGTGCACTAAATATTTTAAAGGACAATTTTAATATCGTGAGGAATGACGCTATCTGCTGAAACTGTCAAGGTCCTGAAAACAAGGTAAATTTGAGTGACTGTCACACGGCACAGACTAAGGAAACATCAAATGCAACGTGGTGTCCCGGAATGGATCCCGGAACAGAAAAAGGGCACTGAGGAGAAATTGGTGGTTTCAGAGCAGTGTCTGTAAGTTAGTCATGAACCAATGTCACTTTCTGAGTTTTGACAAAAGTCCCAGTAAGTAAGATGTTAACATCAGGTACGTATCTGAAAGCATTGCCTGACCAGCACCCCTCACAAGAAAAATACGTGATCTACCTAAACATCTAGGGTTTTCCTTTTTGTTTTCTCTTCTTCCTTTTGTTTGGTCTTAAGAATAAATATGGATATTTTACATATTTAAAAATTTTTTTAATGTTTATTCATTTTTGAAAGACAGAGAAAATGAGACAGAGCATGAGCAGGGGAGGGGTGGAGAGGGAGGGAGACACAGAATCGGAAACAGGCTCCAGGCTCCCCGCTGTCGGCACAGAGCCTGACGAGGGGCTCGAACCCACAAAATGTGAGATCATGACCTGAGCTGAAGTCAGACGCTTAACCGACTGAGCCCCCAGGTGCCCCAAATGTGGATATTTGAATCACAGATCAGCAAATGTTTTACACGGTGTGGTATTAACTTACACTATGAGGAGTGATGTGACGGTGGGGGGGTCACCAAGGAGAGCCCGAGGGGCGAGGGGAGGAGCCGCTGCCCGGGCCCAGGGGCCAGGGAGCCACCAGAGGTGCTGGTCCCGCCGGCAGGGCCGCTCCAGCCCCAGAGAGCGGGGAGGGGACGCTGGCCGAGGCCGGGCCCCCAGGGTCAGCGTCTGGACACGGCAGCTCCTCCTCCGTCCCCGCTGGCCCCGCCCTCGGAGCGCTGGGTCAGTGACACGGGCGAGTGAAACCGAAGTAGGAAGTGCCTGTGTCAAAACACACAGAAACCAAAGAGCATTTTTTGAGTTTTTCACAAGAGGACACAGAGCCCGAGTCCGGGAGGGCGGGATGGGTGCGGGGGGCGGACACGCGTGTGCGGGGCACGGGGGACCCGGGGGCACGGCCAGCGGTGCCCGCAGCTCCAGGCGGGACGGGAGGCCCCGGGCCTTCGAGGGGGCAGAGCGGGGGTGGGGCAGCGGGGGGCGGGGACCCAGGGCCCGGGCGCTGGGCCACCTGCTTGGAGGGGCGAGGGGAGCCAGGCTGCCGTGGCAAGAAAAGGGGGAAATGTTTCCACGTCTCTGCGGTCGCAGGAAGAACTGGGTTCAGGCCTTGCTGCGGGGGGAGAGAGGCGGGCAGGGCCGGGAGGGTGCGCGGACGGTCGGTCTGGGGAGGAGGGTCCCGGCCACAGCGGAGACCGGGCGGCCACAGGCCCTGGGGTGGAAACAGAGGTCCGGGAGGGGGAAGCGAGCGGCGGCCCCGGAGCGTGGCGGCCGGCGGCGGGCTGGAGTCGGGACCTGGGTCCCCGAAGTTCTGGTCCTTCGGGCAGATGAGAGCCAGTGCCGCCAGAGCCGTCGGGCCAGGAACGAGGTGACACTGTCAGGGACGCCACGTGCCCACAGGAGCCGTGGCCGCGTCATGAACTCGGGGCCCCCGCTGCCCGTCCTACAGCTTTGCCCGGAGACGCGGGGCGCTCCTTCCCGGCAGAAACATGCTCACCAAGTGGCCGCGCCTCGTGGAGGTCACATTCGGGTCTCTCGTCCTCTCACACAGACCCTCCTGGGCGACCCCCCGCGTCCTGGACCCTGGACTCTCCAAACACAAGCACAAGGGACGCCGGGGCACACGCAGGTGGCCGACTGGGTGTCCCTAACTTGCTCCAGTCCTCCGTCGCTGGTGGCTGGCGGGACCACCTGGGACGCTGGCCGTGGGGTCGGGGCACCCATACCTGAGCGCCCCCGGAACGGAGCTGTCAGAGGGGGTCAATGGGTTCGTAACACGCACCCTTTTCCAGTTAAAGGATGGGGGGGGCGGGGAGGGGCGCTTTCAGGGAACGATTGACGCGGAAAGACGGGGAAAGCACCGGGTGGAGGCGCACGAAGGCTGGGGCTGCAGAGGGACGATGGCCAACGGTGTCACCCGAGACGAGAAACAGCTGCAGCCAGAGAAGTGGGGCCCGCTTGGTGACAGGAGGGGGGCCGGGAGGGGCAGGGGCGCAGAGAAGGGGCTGCACCTCCAAAGAGCTGAGCAGGTCTTTCTGGAAAGTGGCCTCCCCGCGTGAGCGTACTGCCCGCACGGCCACCATCGGCTGTCACTGCAGAGCCCCCTTCCGAGGGGCAGTCACGGCACTGGCTCCAGTGGCTCCCACTGCCCTCATCTGCACCCTGCACGCCGGCCTCCGCCTCACAGAGCTCCGTGTGGCCTCCCGCACCCCTGTCCCCAGCCCCCCACGCTGGGCTTTCCATCTCAGACGTGGCCATTTGTCTCCCTAACCGGAATACAAGCTCAGGGACGCCGGGGCCCACGGCCACCTCCTTCGTGTCCCGGGGCCTTCCAGGTGCGTCGTAACTGCAGTGAGCGCGTGGTCCCAGGGCGCAGGCTTCTGCGGCAGCTGACACGTCAGTCGTGTCCACCCCGGGGGGCAGGGCCCAGCTCCCACCCCCACCCTTGCCTCTGGGGCCACCGCAAGGGGACTCTCGCAAGGCTGGGGCACCAGGTGGCCACCAGCTGCCTATGCTGCGTTTCCCCCTAAGATCCACGTCCCCCCGCCCAGGGCCCCATTCCCTGGGGAACCACGGCCACGTGGGACCCACCGGCTGCAATGACCACCGGTGCCTCTCCGGGCCTGGCCGTGACCAGGCTGGACCCCCTCCAGCAGAGCGCAGGTCCCGGGCTGAGACAGGACCCAAGTCTTCCTCCTCCTCCGTGTCTGGTGGTTACAGATCCAGCACCAAGCCCGAGAAGCCACAGCCCCAGCCTCCGGCGCAGACGGGGAGCACCCCGGCCCCCCAGCAGACGGGGAGCACCCCGGCCCCAGCCGAACAGCAGTTTCGCAAACGGGACGTGCAATAGAGTATTTTTAAAACCTTTTTGTCAGATAAGTGCTTTGAGAATCTCTACTGAAACCACGCAGTATATATAAAAGCTTGTTATTTTAGGTTATTCATGAAGCGCGAGCTAAAAACCGGTTTTAGAAATCGCGAGGGGGATTCTGAGCTATTTTAATTTCAGCAACCCCCTTAAATGTTAAATACATTCAATACGACAGAAATCAAGTCTCGACCACACAGGATAAACCTGAAGGAGCTGCCTCAAAAAAAACAGATCTAAGGACTGAGTTTAACAAACAAAATGGACTTCAAACAAGGGAAGAGGGCACCGCGGATATGCTGTAACCCGGCCGCCGCCGGCACCCTAAGGAGAAAGCCCAGTTCCCGACCTCAGGAAGGCGGTCTCCGTTCGGAATGAGCTACGGACTCACGCACACACTTCGTGTCTGGAAAGAGCGGCTCTGGCACCGGTCAGCTCGCAGCTCCAGGCGGGTCACGGGCGGGGCCGACACAGAGGCAGGCGGCTTTATAGATGTAAAATATTTTATTTGTAAATGGTGATCTTCTAAATCTGTGTCCACAAATTCCAAAACCCATAACACTCTGTATACTTCAAAAAATTCAATTTTTGCCAACATTAGGTACTATTATACAGAACAGAAAACAAAAACCCGGTAGGACAAATACTGGTATGATGTCAGAATATTGTACAAGAGAAGAAAAATATTCAAGAAACAAATTTCATACAGCTATTTATCAAGAGAAAAATATATACAATTGATTTATTTTGTAGGATAAAAATACATCATGCCATATACATTACAAGTTCCGAACTGCATCACTGGTGTTCCAAGTTTACAGCCCACTTGAATTGTGCACACAGAAACTTCATTTATACTTAGCCTGTGAAGTGTCAGTACCAGAATTTTAAGTACAAAAAAAAAAGCTAACCTGGTTCAAAATGCTGATTAAATTTCTACAAGCAAACACAAAACAGTGTGTGTGTGTGTGTGTGTGTGTGTGTGTGTGTGTTTTATTAAAGAAATGTAAACAAACAGTTCATACAAACACGTTTTAAAATTACATCTTCCAAAACCCTATTGGCCCGGGTCCTGCAGCCGCAAGCGTGATCGGATCTTTTTTTTTTTTTTTTTTTTTTCCTTTTCAAATGTCTGTGTTAAATAGAAGGCTAGAGAGTTAGACTGGAGCCCTGCTACATGACCTAGTATGTCTACATGATTCTCTGTGGCTTGAAACGAAGTTCTAATCAAAACTACTTTCGCTGAAGAAAAAGTTCAGCTTCCATCTGGGTGTGTCTCGAAGCAGTTATTCACAGTTATCACAAATTGTAAGCACAAAAAAACCTGAAGAAGTAGGGATGCAACAAGAGAATATGAAAACATTAGTTTAAATTACCAAAACAGCTATAAAAGTTGGAGTCACAGCCCACACTCCGTTCTATCGGAAGGTGTATAAAACAATTGAGTACTAATAGACCGTAGTTTCCAAAAAACCCCAAATACTCTAGGTTGAAATTTTGGTTATTACAGAATTACCATGGCGTATTTAACAACACAACGTTGTACTGTAACACCCCCGTGAACAGTTTATAAGCACCCGAGCTGCTGCGGAGCCTGGTAGCATTTGGTCAATACTATTTTTATACTGTATTTTTTTTCTTCTCAAAATATTTACACATTTGTACAAAGTAACAGAGTTTGTTAGTTCTGCAGGTAACAGCAGCAGCTTGGCTTTCTTCTAACTTTTATTTAAAAATAGCTTCATTCACTTATTCAATAATAAATACAAAAAGTTTCTCTTATTTTACAGAAATCAAAAACTACAATAAACTGACTCATGGAATCAAGTAATTAAGTGTATTTAGTGCAAGTTATCGCCCCTTAGCTCTGCCCTAAGGAAGTCGGTTCAGTACATTCCTTGTTCAGTGGTGTCTACGTTACTTAGAAACTCCTACACGAGAGGGCCCGCCCCTTCTTCAGATAAGGCCGTGGCCAGCACTTTGGACGAATCTCCCTTTCGCTGGTGATTTCAGTCTTACATTCATAGGAAGCCCCCCCGGGGCCCGGCAGCCCGCGGCTCTGCGCCCCAGTCAGTTTCTCCTCGGTGAGACTTGAAAACAAAACAAAACAGAACGAAACAAAACCCGCCCACGGGAAGGAGGAGGAAGGGAAGAGAAAGCAGAAAACAAAAGTGCTGGACCGTCCGGGCCGCCCCGGAGCGGCTCCCGCCCCAGGGGCCGCCGCGGAAGCCGGGACTCCCAGGAGCTAGTTGCAAAAAGTCACACAACAGAAAACGGAAATCTCCTTCTGTCTGCAGAAGTCACACGGCGCGTCGAATCGCTTCTTCGTGGGGACGAGCCGCCCGCCGACCGGCGACGAATGCGTTCAGTTCATCCACTTCCGGCAGTTCACAGCCCCGCAGTGACACGGAATCTTGTGCTGGTCGTCCTCGAAGTCGAACTTGTAGTCGTAGCACAGCTGCCCGCGGCAGAGACACGGCGTGAGGGGGGGCACCTGCGTCCGCCTCGACCTCCCGCCAGCAGTGCGGCGGGGACAGGACACCTGCCTGGGGCCCCGGGAAGCTGGGGGGGTGGGGGGGGTGGGGACAAGTCCACCTGGGGAGTGGGGGGGCCGGGAACAGTCCACCTGGGGCCCCAGGGGACAGGGAAATCAACGGCTGCACCTGTGCGCCGAGCCCCCCAGGACGGGAAGGCGGGCTGGAGAGCGGCGTGTTTCCACAGCTCCGCGGGGCCCCCACCGTCCCCCCTCCCCCTCCCATCATCAGGCCGGGATGACCCGTCCCTGCCGGCACACCTCGTCACCCTCCCCCCCACTCGGGGAGACCGGATTACCGCTCACGACCGGGACCAGCCCCGCCATCAGGTAGGTGGGGGTCCACACGACCCCGTGGCTCATGGCTCCCCTGCTACATGGGACCCCGCACGGCCCAGCCAGAAGGGAGGACCCACACCCTCCGAGGCCCCCCTCATTCAACACACCCCAAAGCGAGGCGCTCATCGCCACGGCCTCCTGGGACACGAAAGGGGAGACGGCGGTACTCACACAGCAGCCTCCCTCAGCAGCCCAACTACCCAGTACCTCTGACCGGGGCCTCACGGGTCCTTCAAGGAGACCTTCTCCGCATTACACAAAACGAAGTGGGGGCTCAGAAAGGCTGAGCGACCCCCTCGAGATTACTCGGGCAGGAAGGGGAGGGGCGGGCCTGGAGATCACGGGGCCTCCGTGCCAGGTTTTCACAAGCTTCCTCTTATTTACTCATCAAGATACTTCGAAACGCACGATGGGCCTTGGGTAAACACTTGACTTGAAAAAGGGAATTCCGAAAAACTACAAAAATAACCCCATAGCTCTATTCAAAGGGCTGGGGTGGGGGGTTCCAACAACATGGAAACGCGCAGGCCCCGAACCCCCAGCAGGGGGCCTCCCAGAAACCCACGGGGCTCAGCGTTCGCAGGAGCCCCTGAATTGTGGGCTCCGGAAACCCGTGAGTGCGCTAGACCAGCCGTAACCGTAACAGGTGAAAGGCGTCTGTGAGACCAAAGAAACAAACGTCAAGTGCAGCATCCAGCACTTTGAAGAAATAAAAAATACAAAAGAGCCAAACTGCCTGAAAATCTGTTGAGAAAAGCCTATAAGCTCGTATCGATCCTAAGTGTGAAGTTTTGCAATCCGGACCCACATGCTGTCCCCAAATTGGCCCCCCCTCCAGCCTCACGGTGACCTCACGTGAACCACAATGTCCCCGGAGACCAGAGGCCCCAATCCCGTATTCTCAAACATCAGTTCGGTGACAGGTAAAATCCTGGAGGAGGGACACTGCCCAACCGAGACCAACGGGGTAGGACGCGGGTAGAGGTGCCAGCTGGGTGAGGCGGGGGCCGGGGGGCCGGGGGGCCGGGGGCACAGCACGAGGCACTGGGGAGGGGCCGGCACCAAACACTCCCGTGCCTCCCTGAGGAGGAAGGTGGCGCCTGGACGTCCTTGGGTGACGCGACAGGGTGGCCCCTCGACCCACCCCGAGGAGAATTTCTCCGGCAAGAAAGGCTTTGGAAAAGAACAGGCCGAGCTGACTGTTCAAAGCAGGAGCTCGGTGTGGGGAGCAGAACAGAGCAGGCGCAATGGGCGCTCTTACCTCCTCTCCTTTCTGGATCCTCCGGTTGGAGCTGATGATAATTTTGTGTCCCCTCTCAAAAGTCACCACTTCCGCCACACAGTTCGGCGCACACGAGTGGTTGATGTATCTGAAAGCCGCCGTTTCAGAAAACTGTTAATTACGAACCGGCTGGAGGCAGCTCTAAAACTTTCAGTTCTTAGGGAAAACTTTCTGCTAATTACTTAGCCACCTGCCCACTAACAGCACAGAACAATTACACGATTTTGAATGCAAATTCCCTCCCGAACTCCTCTGCCCTGAACCCTCGGCGTGGGGGCCGGCACGCGCACAGGGGCCCCGGAGCGGGACCTCGCAGGCCGGACGCCGGGCCTCACCTGGCAGGCCCTCCGGTGAGTGTGGCGTCAATCACGTGGTCGTTGTCCATGCGGAACATGTATACGCCCCGGTTCTGCAAGAGGAAGGTCGGGAACTCGTCTGCGCGGACGCTCACCGCAGGAAGGCGGGTCGGAAGGAAACGGAGGCGCGGCCCGAGGCGCCCCCGCGGGTTCACCCGCTCAGCAGGCACGTTTCTCTGCTGTGACCGGGCATGGGCGGCCGGGCGGCCACGCCAGGCTCGCTGAGCTACAGGTGTGCCCGTGCCGGCAGCGAGTGAGGGAAGACAGACGGCCGCCCGCGGAAACACGCGCACACGGGCCTCGTGTTCAGGGGGGCACGCCGCGGGGCAGCAGCGTGGGGCCGCCCCAGCTCTCCGCACGGGGACAGAGCGGGGATGGCACGCACCTGAGACTCATACAGCTTCTCTTTCCTGTTGGCAACTTCATTTCGAATGATAGTCCCGATGTACTCGATGACCATGGTGTGCTTCTCGATGTCCCTGGCAGCGTACAGGCCCAGCCCCTGCATTTAAAAAAAAAAAAAGGAAAGTGTGGGCATACGTACCTCAAAAATCACTTCAACTCCTTGGGCACCAATCAATCATTTCCTGCCCTGCAAAGGCCACACCCCAAGTGCAGTGCTGGCTCTCACCGGAACTCACATGTTCTTCTCTGCTGAATACACAGTCGTCTGAGACGCTCCTACCACTCAGAGCAGCGCCCTTACTACCTCGTCTTGCATCTTCCTTACGGGAAATTCTTAGGGCCCATTTACAAAGTCGTACCGCTAACGGCCCTCACTCTGCCGGGACCACCTCACCTTCCGTGTTATTCATGCTGAGTCTCCACCAACTAAACTTGCCAAAACTTCTGGGATTTATTTTATCCTGTTACTATTTCTAAAAGGACACGTACAGGACAGCAAAGTCAACAAATCGGGAACGGGGCTGATTATTAATACTCTAGTCAGGTTGCAGGTCTGGCGAGGAGTTCCTGGAAGCCAGAGCCAAAATGAGAGGCAGGAAAAGCTGCTCTAAGCACCAGAAAAGTTGCAAAGAAATGAGGTTCTTCTGAAAGGGACTCTTCTCCCCTAAAGCTCTGAGTCCTGAGAAACGTACAGGAATCTGCACTGGCTCAAGTCTTTGGTTTGGCAGCTTACAGAGTCCAGGCAGGGGCCTAACGCATCACCTTCCACACGTGCTGTTGCAGGTTTTCAGCACTGCAAATTCGGGAAAAATGACACACTGAAGGAAGCACGGGCAACTGCCATGAATATCTGATATTTTCTTGTCCCAATGTGAGTCTCTGCCTTCTCAGCTCAGACTGGCCGGAAGCCAGCAGATCCGAGTAGGAAGAGCATGTGCTAACCGGGAGGGTCCCCAGGGGCAGCGACACCCAGCACCACGTGGGGCACACGGCACCGGGTGCCTTAGACACCTCAGTGTACGAATTATCTTTGGTGGAAAAAAAAAGTATGCAATTTATCTGTCCGATTCCAGATCCGAGGTGAATGAATCAGAACAAGAAGTAACCTGTATAGGGATCAACAGAGTTGGGAGGGAAGGCAGACAGGGAGGGGCGCCTGGGGGCTCAGCCGGCTGAGCATTAGACTCCGGATTTCCACTCAGGTCATGATCTGACTGAGAGATCGAGCCCTGAGTCCGGGCTCTGCGCTGACAGCACAGAGCTTGCCTGGGATTCTCTCTCTCCCCCGCACTCTCTCTGTGCCTCCCCCACTTGCACTCTCTCTCAAAATAAACAAACTTAAAAAAAAAAAAGGATGGAGATCAATGAAAAAGAACGGAGAATCCAAGTAGATGCACACATATGTGAAAACTTAACATATACTATTGTAGAGCAGTATGGCAGTATCGTAATTCAGCATAACACGGGAGGACTATTTACTAAATGGTGCTTCAACTAGTTGCTCAATGGAAGAAAATAAAATTGTATCAAACAGAAAAAAATAAAAGCTCTAAACTATAGAAACCCAAGAAATCAAATATACAACATGGTCTGTTGTCTTTACCAAGACCAGAAGCTATAGAAAAGTATATATGTCTATGCAAAAATTACAAAGGTTATTTTTATTTACTGAGAGCGAGAGAGTGAGCATGTGCACACACACAAGTGATGGAGGAATAGAGAGAGAGAGGGAGAAAGAGAATCCATGCAGGCTCCACACGGTCAGCACGGAGCTTGACATGGGGCTCGAACTCATGAACTGTAGATCACAACCTGAGCTGAAATCAAGAGTCGGACACTCAGCTGACTGAGGCACCCAGGTGCCCCTCAAAATTAAAAAGTTTTTAAAGAAAAAAGAAGCCATATTTCCTAGTAGGCAAAGGATGCTTTATAGGAGAACTGCTCTCTTAGCACAAGTTCTTACAGACTGGGAAATGGACAGAGGAGGAACATGTAATTTATAGAAGAGCAAATCCAAATGGTGAACATGCAAAAGCTGCTCATTCATCAGCAGCTAGAAAGTGCGGTTAAGGCAGGGGCCTCAGGCAGAAGTGTGGGGGCTGTGGCGCTACAGGGGTGGCGTGGCGGGGGAGGGGGGAGACGGTTTCCCAGGCATCGGAAGAAACGTGCATTTACAGCCTTTTCAGAAAACCAGCAAAGTCTACTAAGGTGAAAAGTACATGTACTTTTATACAGTCCTCTTCCTTTTGGGAATATTCTCCAAAGGCGTGAATCTATCAATGTGTGGGGGTATTTGGTACAAGATGTTGATGGCAAAGCCATTTTGGGGAAAACTATAAACAAACGTTTATCAGTTGTGGGACAGTTTAATTAACTATAGCTCTTTGACATCACAAAACTTTACATTAGAGAGAAACTGATGCTGCAGCCAGCGTGGGTGGCGGATCCCACTGGCACATCCGGGCCCAGATGCGCCTGCATGGTTAGGACGCTGAGGAATGGTAAGGAGCGAACGAGCTACCTGGGAACATTTCAAATGGAAAGGACCCACCACCCGCAGGGGACCACTGGGTTCGCAAGGGATTGGAAGGGCTCCGATCGATCTTGACGCAACCGCAGAAAAGTAGTGTATTTGTAATCTGAAAACAAAGTATCAAATAAAGAGATCAAGAGCAGAAAGGGCTCTTACGCAATTTTTTGTTAATACAAAAAGGAAGACCAGCAGATAGAGCAGAAGCTACAGGACACTAGACGGAGGAGGGTTCTGTACAGACAGAAGGGCCCGTCCGGGCACCTGGGCCCCTCAGGGGCCAGACTGGGAGGACTCAGAGGTCCCAGGGGCGCTGCTAATCCGGGCTCCACGCTGACAGATCCCAGATCTCACAGCCCAGTATCTGTCTACAGGTGTTTGAAAGAAACAGAGGCAGGAACTTGCATAAGAATTAATAAGCATTCCCCTGACGGAAGGCCACAGGTTCCAGGCCAAGTAAGGAAAACGGGGGAAAAAAAAAAAAGACCCACAGCTAGGCACAATTTTTGTAAAATGTCCAAAAATCAAGAACAACAAGACCCTAAAATCTTCCGGAGATCAGGAAAAACGTCCCAACAAAGGAATAAGAATCCAAATGAGCCTAGACAACGGAATGCGGGCCAGACTGCTATCTTGAAGAGCTCACACTGGGCGCGGGTGGGACCGGGAGGTGGGTGACAGGGTGCAGGGCCAGAGCACGGAACCGTGGAGCTCTCCTGAGGGGACAGGCCCCACAAGTGACGATGCTCCAGATCGGGGCGCACTGTGGCCACCGCGCAGCGTGGGCTTTGGATTCCACCCTGGGGTCCCTCAGGGGAGCGGCTGAGCAGGCGACTCCGCAAGGATGGACTGGAGATGACGATGCACGTGCTCTGCCCCAGAGAGCCCAATCTGGAATGTATTCCAGTCTCTCCCCGAAGAGAACTCCCCACACTGAGCACTGTCAGAGACATTCTTGTGTGTATTTTTCACGAGAACCTAGAACAGCTCTGGCAAGTTGTGCACAGATGCGTACGTGCAAACTAAGGTGCCTCCTGCCTCCCACGAGCTTTCGTGCAGATGCAAAGATGTGGACTCTGGGGGCCTTTCCATCGGGGGGGGGGGGGGGGGAGGGTTGTGCTCCCAGAGACACATTGGGCCCCGAGTGTTACCAAGAATACGTTCTAAGCGGACTGTGAGGGTGTAAGTCCTACAGTATGTGGCACATGTCCTCCCCTGCAAGAGGCCCGTGCCCTCACCTGGATGCGGGAGCGACCTCCCCCACCCCCCCACGCCCTCACCTGGATGCGGGAGCGGGCCAGGTACACGTTGGACTTCCACTCGGTCTTCATCCTGCGGTACTGCGAGGACTTGGAGTGCACGAACTGCTTGCTGTAGGGGGCGCTCAGCTCGCCGGTGACCGTGCTCTGGAAGGACTTGGAGGTGCTGGTGCTGTTCAGGGTGTGAGGTCTGCACGCGGCGGCGCGTCAACGGGGAGAAACGAAAGGAGAACTGAAGACATCTCCGAAAACGCCCAAGGCCAGTCGGCTCCAGTTCTCGGCCACGAGAACGCACACGGAAAGCCGCCTAGCGGAGCCACACGGCGGGTTCTCGGACGCAGGGGGCACGGACACAGCCGCAGACAGCAGGGTTTGTAAGCAGCACACAGATCAAGCACGAAAACCACTAATGCGCCTAGAAACCCTGGGCTGTACTATGTGAAGTTAAAACAAAATACCTTAACACAAACCTCTTGACATGGGCACTCATTTTAGGTTCCGAGCGGGCGCAGCCGGTGGGGTTGACGGCCAGCGGGAGCTCCATGAGGGGGTTGCGGCCGTAGCGGAAGGTGTAGTTCTCACACGCCTCAACCCCGGGTAGCTGCAAAGGAGCAGAGACGCAAGGATCATGCATCGCTGGAGCCCGCAGGGTGCGGTGAGGCGGCCAGAGGGTGGCCCGGCCCGAGCGTCTGTGGCAACGCCTCGTCGGCACGTGCCCGGGTCACAAAATGGTCTTCTCCTTAGGTGACAGGCACCAGCAGCACTCAGGTCTGCTTCGATACTGATGCACAGACTGCAGAACTTAGGAACCCCTGGCAAGCACTCCCCCCGCCAAAAATTAACCCATGGGACAAGCCCGTGGCGGCCAACACGTGTGCCGGATTCTAGGCTCCAATCACGCCGGCCCGTGCGTGGGGAGCGGACTACTTCACAACCTTGTTCTTTCAACTTCTGTATCTTTGTGTGGAATTTAAAATGTAAATACAAACAACATTGTGTATGGTCTTTCTTGATTTCTCGCTTCCGCGAGGTTATCACACTTAACTCCCTGAGGGTGTAGGTGGTAACCTCAGAAATTTACTAGTAAAATAATTTTATGTTAACAGTATTTTCTAGATTGTATCACTTGTGAGCATATTTCTCTACAGACCTAAAAAAACACGTATCATTTAGGCAGGGCTCTACGGAAGCAAGAAGGTGGGCATATAACTCAGTGGCTTCTGGGACATCCTCTACTTCTCCAAAAAACCAAAACCACAACCAAAACAAAAGCCATGACCCATCGATGACTTTTTCTTATTGAAAATACTGCCTTATAATCACACAGTTTCCTAAAAGCACCGTGCAGACTCACTGGCCAACATGCCTGTAATCCTAAGAGATGGCAAAGAGATGTCAGAGGCGACCTGGTGCCCTTGTAATCCAACTGTCCTCTGGCGAACGGCCCTCACGTGGGGGCAGGAAGGGGCCGGACACACCAACATTCCCCGAGTGCAGGAAAACGCGAAGGAGCAGAGGGGACAAGGGCCCCCACCGCACCCAGCACCGCCCCAAGACGAAACAGCGGTTCCGCGTCCTTGCCCGGCCTTGCCGTCACCCACAAAGAGAACCGGACACCTGTGAGCCACCTCATGGTCCCGTCGCTGACCGTGTGGATGTGTCACAGGTGCCTTGAGAGACGCAAAGAGAGCAAGTGCATGGACAGAGCACGAGCTCCAAGATCGGGACTGGGACGGCTCGCGGTACAACGGTCCCACCGGGAACAGCACGCGCAGAGAGGCGAGCTGACGCCCACATCACCCAAGATACTCACGGACTCTGCGATCCGCACCACCGCGGACACCGTTAGCCCAAACAGGTCTTCTCCCTTCAAATACGCCGGAAAGAGCTGGAGCATTTCAGACTGTTTTCTCACACACGCCACGGGCTCCAAAATTTTATCCCAAACACCTACACGTAGCCAAAACAAACAAGGAACAAAACAGTTTACGACAAACGTGCTCTCCGCTAAACAGAGAGGAAAACAGGATAAAGTCGGAAAGCAGGGGCCAAATAGACTGAGGCTCTGGGACGTCGGTTTCCTTGTGAAGCCTGGCACCACACGCCTGTCTGGAGGCAGCTTATGTGGAAGACTTGATGAAATTTGGGTGGAAGAATGGGTCACATTTAGGAAATTAAAGAGTGAAAGAGGAAAGAAAGTTCAACGTAACAAATTCATGCAAGAAATTAATTCATCTTCATACCAGGCACATAACTCTACATTTTTAAATGATCAGTCCAATTAGTGTATATAAATAACAATTCTTTTCTCTCAGATTTCAATTAAAATAGGAAATTGGTATTTCCATTGGAATTATCTTCAGGGCATTTTCATACATTTTTTAAAAAATTGCTGAACTTAAGGAAAAAAAAGCAATTCTCAGTGCGTTCTGCCTCAGTAAAATGACCGCTTAGGTTTAACGCTACGGTCAAAATTAAGTGTCTAACGCCTCACTCCAAACACGCTCGTTATCTGCCAGCCCTCCCCCAAGGCCGCGTGCCCAGGGTGCCCCGACTCAGGAGGGGCCCCATGCAAACACAACCGGCACTCGCTGGTTTATCGACTGTGTGTTCAAATAGCTACTCTGACCCCGAGGCGGCCCAGCGAGGGCCGCGGGCAGCACGGCGAAGACAGCGGGTATGGACGAAAAGCCACGCCCGTGCTCGTGAGATCTGAAGCGAGCGCGCCGGGTCACACCAACACGACGTTACCTTTAGGGGACGAGTCACTGAGGACAAGGTCCTCGTGGCCCTGCTCCACGATCCTGATGACGAACACGGGGCGGCCCTCCTTCTCCTCGATGGAGCACAGGTAGCGGCAGCGGCGGTTGGCGTAGCGGGTGCTCCAGTACAGGCGGCTGGCCTCGTAGCCCACGGGGAAGAGCGCCTTGGGGGAGTGGAAGGCCTGCATCTGCTGCGGCAGCAGCTGGCCGATCGTGTGGAAGATGAGGCTGCCCACGCGGAAGGTGTGGTCCCGCTCCCCGCGCTGCACGATGCTGGCGATCTGCCGCACCTCGTCGCGCTGGACATAGACCCGCCTGAAGACCGCAAAGTAGCTCAGCTCCTGCTCGTGGATCCCCTTCGGTTTGTGCATGGGACACAGCATCGTCTTGTCCTTGAAAAACATGCATTGTGCTTTAATGGCGCAAGTGAAGTGGTAAATGTTGGTGCACCGAAACCGGTGACAACCGCTGGTGGCGCCCATCTTGTGACAGAAGACACACTTCATCTGCAGGCCCCTCCTCAGCGCCAGCTCCACGTTTATCAAGGCCCCGGCCTGGGTCTCGTACACCTCCGTGGACCAGAGCGCACAGTTCAGGTGGACCCACACGTCCAGGTCAAGGTTGAGCAGTCTGGCCGGTCCGTCGGTCAACCCATCACCTTCCTCGTGACAGAAGCAGCACTTCCGATAGTCTCTGGGCACGGGGTCGGGTTTAAGGGAAGTGCCCAGCTTCTTCAGGAATTCATCAATTTCATCCTCACAGGGGGGCTTGAACGTCCCCTTGGGGATGACAATGTGAATGCTCCACTTCTTCCATTTCATCCCCCTCCACTTCTTACTGATCGGCCTGCAGTCCTCAAACCCACCATGGACAGTTCTGAGCCGAGGCTTTAACTTGACTGTTACCTTGAGCTCATCTGGCTTTGCCTCCACTTTGGCCGCTTCGAAGGCCGGAGGGAAAGTGATGGGGGGTGACGCAGGGGGAGACGCCTCCTCCTGGAACTGCGGGAGGCGGTGCACGTCCAGGGTGGAGGTGTTGTTGCTGTACTGGTGAAACGCTTTTGAAGGCGTCTCTCTTACAGGCGACTGTGGCAACAGGGGAGCAGGCTCCTGCACAGAAAGGGGGAAAGAAAGAGCGGTTTCTAGGGCAGGAAGCCGAGCAGCCGCCTTCACAGGGTCTGGGCCTGGGGGGCAGGGTGAGGGTCAACTCTGAGGATGCTGATGAGAGACAGGACGGTGCTGGGGTCCCTCCCCAGGCCCGCTGGACAAAGCCATGACCCCTGGAGAACATTCTGCTCCTGCACCTTCCTGGACACTGCTGTCTGACCAGGAGACAGAAAACCACACGGAAGAGGGCTCGCTAGTTGAACCCGTACGATGGAGCGGCAGTTTCCGTTAAACCAAGTAAGGACGTGGGAACATGACCCCCTCCGAGCCTCCCCCCACTCTCCGAGCTTCCTGACGCTGACCTTAGGCTGAGCTGACTGGCACAGATGTGAATGCAGGGCAGCCGGGCCTCCCGCGCGCCCTGCACCGTACACCACACGTAACTTCCCCACACTGCCCCGCTCCGACCCTGCTGCCGGGAGAGGTGAGCTCAGAGAGACGTCCCAGGACCTTCTCCCGGGAACAGAGTCTCACCAACTCAAAAACCCCAACCCAGGGGGCTCTCCCCTCCTCCCCCCCCCCCCCGCCCCACAACCAACCATCTGAGGAGACACACCTCCCATGATTCCCGGAGCAGGCAGAAACAGGACACCAAATTTAAAAATTATCTGGTAAAAAGCCAATTCCTTCTCTTATAGAGGCTGACATATTTTAATTTCAAGTCTAAACCTATTTGATACAGAGCTTGATTTCATTATACTGGAGACTACTGCTTATTATGAAAATAAGAGTCTCCAGAACCTTCTTCCAGGAAAGACAGCAGAGCAGTGATCTGCAGGGAGGAAGGACTGTCGGCATCTCCAGGGGGAAGGCTTCCTTCCGCACAAATGACTAAAGACTTCCCAGCATCGGCCCCACAGACTCAGGTGAAGGAGGCCATCCCCACCCCGCCCCGAGCACAGCCCTCCCCACTGTGTGTCAATGAGCAGGTTTTTCCGTCGGGGTAAGATCAATACAAGTGGTCATCACTATTGTGAATGAAATTAAGATATTTTTAATTAAATAAGTAAAATTAAAGACTGTGTTACTATTAGCGTTTTAGTTAATTCTGAACTTTCAAGACAGAATTCAAGCCTTCTCCCCTCTTGTCACAGAAGCGGGGTTTCCGAGCAACTGCAGCACGGGCCGCCCTTCCCCTGCGCGCAGCACCTCTCCCTCCACTTCCTGCACCCAAGAGAGCTATGAGCCTATTCTGTTCGTTAACCTAAGCCCAAAGCACAGAAGTCACTCACTGTATACTGCTCACTAACAGACACTAGCCTAATTTTACCTTGCTTTCTGAGTTTTTTGCTTGTGTGGTTGAGGCATAAAGAACGAAGCAGTTATTACTACAGAAGACAATGTCCTTCTCCACTCTGTGGGGGCTTTCTCGGGAATCCTGAAAAGCAAAGAGAAAGGTGTAAGGATCTCAGCAAATCAAACTTTCATAAAAACAAGATCTATACCTTGTTGGTTTTTATGCTGTGTTCGAAGTGAAAGTAAGGGTGCCTGGGTGGCTCTGTTGATTGGGCGTCCAGCTTCGGCTCAGATCATTCAAGATTTCACTGCTCGTGAGTCTGAGCCCCACGTCAGCTCTGTGCTGACAGCTCAGAGCCTGGAGTCTGCTTCGGATTCTGACTCCCTCTCTCTTTCTATCTGCCACTCATGTGCGCTCTCTCTCTCTCTCTCTCAGAAATAAAAAAATAAAGAGTGAAAATAGCTCTCTGTCCTAAAAGTAAAAGAAGTAACTACACACCAATACCTGGCATCTAAAAATTTGGCCAAAGAGAAAATAAATTTACAAAAACTCGATTTTCCATATTTCGCTCTTTAGAAATACGTTGTTCTCACGACACCCAACGGACTGGTCCACGGCAGCTACTTGGCTTCCGCCTGGGGCAGGCCCAGTCCAGCTGAGCTGCCTCCCAGAACGTGTGCGCCATGGGGCCACCACTGTGGACTCTCGGGACACATGAGTGAAAGAGCGGCATGCAGGGCACTCTCAGCAGAGGCGGGCGGCGGGGTCGGAGGAGGAACGCCCAGGTACCTTGTTGGCAAAGGCCAGATCTCTGAAAGACTTCCTCACGCCGCTTCCAAGAATCACCACTTTGCAGTGACAGCACCACTGTGGTCTGAGGGCCGCGCCTTCTGCGACAGCGTGTGTAGCGTCCTTATATCCAGAGAGACCTAAACGTGTAAGTCTTTCATCAGTGACTGAAGGTGACCCATGGCGCAACGTGGCACAAGGTGTAAAACTGTACCAGCTCGCAGCATGGCTCACGGAGCTTCCCTGCTACCACTCCTTACTAACTGTCACCGGGCACGTGTCATAGGCACGGCACGGAGCACACGTGCTCTCAAGCAGCTGGGAAACTGCTTGAACGTGCGAACACGAGAGGGAAGTGACCCACCATGCGTGCAAAGTGGGCAGAGGGAGTTACCACTTTTGCTGGAGGGGTGAGACGATAAAAAATGTTCTATGCAAGCTGAAGAGGTACGGGTACACGTCTAAGCAAGCGTGACGTGGGAAGTCACGGCGGGCGAGCAGGGTCCCGGGGCCCCAGCGAACACGTGGTGGGGAGTCTGGGCACAGCGCTCATGCAGGGCTTGCGGCAGGAAGGGAGAGCAGGGGACACGAGTGGGGGGCAAGCAGGTGGCAGCTGGGAGTTCGACAACCTCTCAGGGGCCACTGGCGGGAAGCGCTCCCGGAGGAGGTCCACATGGCAGCTGCCAGGCGGTGGGGGCAGGGTGGGGCCAGGCTGGAGACAGACAAGGTGTGGGGGGGGGCAGCACGGCCACAGAAGAGGCCTGACGGGAGGAAGGGGAGGGGAGGGCGGTGCGGAAGGAGGAGGGGGCGCGGTGCAGACCCCGGCCGCGAGTGCGACAGGAAGGGGCGGCTGGGGCGGCAAGCACTCGGGGAGCCGGCGTTTCAGCGCCTGCTGGTGACAGCGTGACAGGATGTCCACCCCGGAGCGCTGAGGCCAGCACACGGTGGATGCCGGAGCGCCGCCGACGGGGAATTCACCCAGGACTACATGCTGACCCGTGACCTGTCACTGGATGAAAACTAAAGGGCATTTTAAGGAGAACACGCTTCACTTGGGAATTAAGGGTGAACTCGGGCTCCCGACGCACAGGGCTGCTCACCGTCGCTCGCCGGACGGAAGGGCGCGCTGGGCGGCTTCAGCCGGTACGAGCCGGCTAATCGGGGAGGGTTCGCAGATCCTGGCGGAGGCCCACGAAGAAACAGATGCTGTCGACACTCCAAACCTGGGTTTACTCTGTGGCTACTGACCAAGCCCACGGATGGGACCTCCGGAGCGTTGCTGACCTCATAGCTGTTAGGGATTCGGACGTGGAGAAGGTCGGAAAACGCGGCCACAACGCTGCTAATGTTCTAAAACAGAGGTGTAAACACTGTGTTACCCCCAGTGAGGGCAAGAGCGAGCCACGGAAGCCACTGCCCCCTTCGGTGACTGCCATCTGCAGGATGCGTCCGGCGCAGGAAACCCCCCCCTCCTTTATTTAGACTGAAGAGTCCCAGGAAGAAAGGATTGTTTTAATGGACCAGGATCTCCATAGAGCTTCCAAAACAAATCCTCACCCAGGGATCCCATTCAATGTTCAGCATCTGCACGAGCACTGGACTCAAGCAGCTCCCTTCCTCTGTGACAGGCGGGGCACCACACACCACCGCCGGGAGGGAGCTAAACCTCGTCAGTTTTCACGGCTAGGCAGAAACTTCCAGAGCGTGGTCTCTGCCCAGCTCCATGACAGCCCACAAGGATGGGCGCTGTCACACCAATGCTGAGTTCTGTTGACGGCCAACATGGCCTATCACTGGGCTATCAGCTCAGTTACCAACATCCTCCCAGAATGGAGAGAGGGAGAGAGATTCTCAGCAAGTGGGTAGTACATGACAGCGGCAGCGGCTTCCTGAACACTCACACGGCCTCATTCCCTACAAGCAGCTGAGGAAGGGCCTCTGTCTCCGGTGCCCGCGCTTCCTGCCTGCCTGCTGCGGTGCCCGGGAGCAGCCCAGTATCCACAGTCACTAGGGACCCGACACGTACGCCGGAACTTCTGTCGCTGTGGCCCTGCTGCACACGCCGTGCTGGAAGCCCCCGACACCCCTCTGGAGATGGGGACATCATTCCCAGTGTGAGAAGGCCGTGTCATCCTCACCTCAGCAGCCGTCGGGTGCAGAGTGATGGCCACAGATATAAGACCCGATCTGGGACCATTTGGAGAAGAACCAAAAGGGGGTGTGAAAAATAAAGTGCCAGGCTCAGTCTTGATGTCATTCCTTCTAGACTCCAAACCTTGGGGGGGGGGGGGGGGGGGGAAAGAAGGAAGGGGGGAAGGAAGGAAAGATGGATTGAGTGTTAATGGCTCTTCAGAACCAGAACACGCACCTCAGCAAACTGGCACGCTGTGAGGAGGAACGGCGGGGCGAGCGTGTCCCTACCTTTCCCAGCACTGCTGGGGAGAATCGGAATGATGGGGGACGGCACAGGCTCGGGAGGCTCCTCCTTGACCAGCGACAGGTCGGGGTACCTGCTCACTTCCATCCCAACCACACTCTCAGGAGAGGACGAGGGAACAAAACTGTCCGGAGTGTCCCGGTCTCCACCGTGCTCCTGGATCCTGACAGGAGAACAAACACAACATGTCGACACGTGCAAACCCCCCCAAGGGGGCGGGGGCTTCCTGCACCAACTCAGCCCCATCTGTGAACAAGACTGAGAGGGTCCTTTGGATAAAGGGCAGAATAGAAGGTGGCAATGAATAGGTTTGGGGCCAAACGAGAAACCTGAGAAAAAGATATAAGAAATACATTCAACTATTAAACAACTTAAATAGATTTCCTTCTGACTAAAGCTCCAGCATCTAAGTTTAAAGACCTGCCCACAAACGATAATGTGTAGATCATAACACGGCAGGAGGAGGAGGAACACACAACTCTGCCAAGTTCGAGGTCAATGGGGCCATGGGAGCAGTCTGCGGCAGGAGAGGAAAGAGCCATCCCGCGTGCCCCACGGGCGCCCCCGCAGAGCCCGCTGTGCCGATGCTCGTAGTGGGAACTCGGGGGAAACGTGGTCACTGCCGGCATAAGCCTTTACTTTTCTTCACCGATCAAACATGGTGAAAAGAAGAAGAGAATGGCCAAGCCCAGGAGGCCAGGGGTTAACTAGGGCGGCTGAGGTCCGAGGGCAAGTGCACTCTCAAGCTAATACTGTAGGAAGCTCCCAAACCTGGGGTCTCCCACTGGTCCTCTGGCAGACATGCGGTCACTTAGGGGACGCGTGCAGGAGCGCTGTCAGGAGACCGGAGGGAGGCTTCCAGACACAGTCCCCATGAAATGCAGGAGTGGAGCCGGTCCGCCCCCTGGGGCACCAAACATACACACCTACAAGACGCCTCCCACAACCGCTCCCTGGAAATCTGGCAATTTCCAGCAGTAAAATGCAGAAGAAAACAAGGAGACCAGGATTCTAAATCTGGACAGGTTATTTCTCGTCTTTGGTCTAGTTTTCTCACTAACAAAACAGGGACTTAGTCTGAATGATGCCTCATCACATAGAGAGTAGTTGTCAGATTTTTGAAAGAAGGGAGAATCACGAATCAAGTACCTAAGAACCTTTCCTGGATTTACGTTGATGGGTTGTGATTATCTATCTACTCAAGGAAGCTGATTCTCCCCAGGCAGAACCTTGAGTCAAAAGAACTGTGACAAAGTGTCAGAACTCTGGGCAAGACGGTCCTTAAATTCTCTTCCACAAAAGCGTTCTCGGATACATGCGACTGCAGCTCTTTTATTTCAGACAGCGGCGATCGTCCACAAACGCCAACGATCTCAGGAATATTTTGCATGGAGACTGCCACTGCCTTAATGTCTATCTGACTATTTGTTGAACTTCTCATACCATCTAGGAATTTAAAAATGCACCAACTAATTACATTTAATAGTAAAAATGTTTTATAAACTATGTTCGAGAATACCATTCACCAAATTTTACCCCTTAAGTGTTCCCACGCGCTACCGCTACAGAGCTTGTGCCACAGATGTACGTGCACACGTGTAAGAAACTGAAAGGACTGAAAACCATGGGCGAAAGCAGGAACTCTACCTCAGCTCTTCGTGATTGTTATGAGGCGGCGTTGGGAGTGAGGCTGGCACATCAACGGTCTTCGGGCCTGGAGCGATAGCTCTGGCTAACAGGTCATCCTGCGGTCTGAAGGGCAGCTGAAATGCTTTGGGTCCTAGACTTTTGGTAACTGGAAAAGCGAAAACACATAACCAAAAATCCATTTAGTTCAAGCGGATACACGGGCGGAACTTCACGACCTGACTGCCATTTCACCACACACAGCTGGCAATGGCGCAGCCCTCGCAGGGGTGCACCACGGAGGCCAAGCATCATACCTTCATGGCTCATTAGTACGCCAGCTCTTCCAGCAAGTTCTTCAGTTGTCGCAAAACCATTTGCCATCTTCTGACAAGCCATAGGAGGTGGTGTAGGAGGAAGAGAGGCAGGGGGTGTTGGAGGATTACTTAAATTATTCTGCTGCAGAAGACCAAAAAATTTTAAATTATATGCTACAGAGCAAATATGCCATGACCTTGCTAAAACTTAGTTCTGTGAATTTTTAGCACATGGAAGCATAAGGCTATAGAAACATAATCAAGATGGATCTTCCTTCCTAAGTGCACAGCAGGAAGAAAGAATAAACGTACGAGGGCAGGAGGTTTTGTGGTGGAAGAAACACTTGTGACTGTATGGACAGATTATCTGTGTGCTTACTTTGCCCGGCTTGAGTACTCAAGCCTTGAAATTAAGAAGCAAAGTTACACTATTCTATTCTATACATCCCTTTTTAAATTTCATTGTTATAGCCAGTGAAAGACAGCTTTAAAATTCAAGCAATAAATTGCAAAAAGTTCTCAAAATTCCTTTATTCAATTTTCATTAAGATACGCCCCAGTTCTATTAAAAAAAAACTTGAGAATTTGTGGTCTTAACCCTCTAATTACAACTCGTAGCCTCAATATTAGAATCTTGACTGTCCAAAACCTCTATAAGAAGCGAAAGTCACAGCAATAAGACTAAAGTGACTAAATCATTAACAAATGGACCTCCCTCCAAACATTGCTCTCTGCTTCGCATTTGTCTGCAATTTGTCATCTGTTGATTGATTGATCAGTCTCTCAGGGATTGTTGGAATCTACCAATAATACTTTGAAAATGAAGGGCAAGGTGAAATTACAAATCTGGCAAAGATCTGGGATTTCATGAAGGTAATGAAGTGTTGGAGAACAGCTTGCATTGGAAGAGAAGGCGTTTGTAAGAGTTAGGACAGGTTCTAACTGAAGAGAAAGGCCGACAATGATAATAAATGGAGTATCACAAGAGAATGATTTTAATACTAAAGTAAGAAGAGAAGCCCTCCAGAAAAATGATGATACCCTCAGATATTCCTGCAAAAAGATCATTTTACATAAGTCAGATGTGAAGTAAAGAACATCTACTGAGGCTATTATAAAATGTTGCTAAAATAATAATACCCAAAGATAAATTTGAGTTAGAGTTAGATATCTCAGTAGTTTAAGAATTAATGTCTAGCTATAATTAGTACCTCAATTATTAGGCAAAATACGTTTTTTAATTTTTTTGTTTTTCAGAGAAAAATCACTAACTACATTTTTTATATTCTGTTTACTATGAATTTGGATTCACTTTAAGAGCTCATAAAGGTTATAGGAAACTAGATATTTTCTCTACCGTGGAAATACATAATGGATGTTCACTATTTGAAATCTTACCTATATAAAATTTCAAATGTTTATCTTAGAAACTCTTCATCCAGTGAAATTTTAACCTTTTAGCCGAACCAAAGTTGAAATGAAACTTGGAAGATTAGATGGAAAAACAAGACAAGCTCTACCAATTCTGATATGGTATCCAAAGAGGAAGCAAGGGTAAGACCTTGGCGAAGAAACATACCTTGTAGATCAACTGAGAATAGTAATCCGAAACCCCTTCAAGGGTAGCACTGCCAAAAGTTCCTAGAAGTCGGTTCCCACTATTAAATTGGCCACTGCCATAAGGAAGAAAGTGCGCAAAGTTCACTCCAATGATTGGTTCCATTAGAGGGAGCAGAGAGAGCTGCTATTAAAAAACACATTGAAGAGTAATGTACACGGTAAACAAAACAGAGTGTTTCTCAACTTTTCTAAGACCCAAGGCAACTTACAAGTCAAACAAGGCTTGAGAAAAATGAGACTTAAAAATTTCAAGTATCACAATGTTAGAGTAAGTGAGAGAGACCACAGAATCTCTGAGCTCTATTTGAAAATGAGCTTTATTCTCATCTGTCTTGAAGGGATGCTGCCGGGCGTCTGACCAGAAAAGCACATTCCTCAGGGCGGCTCGGCAAGAATCGGGGCGTGAAGGGAGGCCGGGGGCCCCCAGGAGCGCTCTTAGTGGCTGTCTCCCACCTTCTGTAACAACTACAAAGGTGTAAGAATAGAGTTCACTGGGGGAGACCAGCCGCGTTTCCTTGCACCCGGAGTCACAAGGAACACAGACCGTTGGTCTTGGTGCTGAGGCCGCTCCTCGGAGCACAAGTAAAGCTCGACCGTCAGCTACCAATCCGCCTGTTCTGTCACTTCTGGGTGCGCACTTTTGCTTGTGAACCAGGAAATCTCCTAGACCCTTTGGGGAGACAGCTTTTACCCTGTTGCTACTTTAATGAGGAGATACGGGGACAGGGTTTCAGATTGACAGGGCTGAAAAAGCATTTGATGCCTCATTTCTTTGCAGTTTTCAAGAAGTTGCTACGAGTGGCTCACCTGCTTCAGGTGCGTCAAGGTGTCGGCGGCAGAGGACAAGGCTCGTTTCTCCTCTTCATCCTTCCGCCTTTTCTTGGAGCGCGGCGCCGCCTTCTCCCCCGCCCTCTGAGTCCGTTTGCTTCGCGGTTTCTTGGTCTCACTTCCTCCATCTGCCTTTGGCAACGGGTTGCCGCCACATCCAAAAGCACCTTGCATCGGAGCCGCCAGAGTTTGCTGACATAACAGGAAAGGTGAAGAGACAAGTGAACTATTCACACGTTCGGCTCTGCAGTTCACGCTAACCCAGTTCCTCCCTGGGACACACACACACTCCTCACAGGGGCACTAAAAGTTGAGGGAAGGCAGTGGCATCAAATGGTCTGCTTCCTGAGAGACCACTCTTTTTTCCAAAAGCCACGTAGCTTGAAGAAAGGGCAGAATGCTGAAGGGTGGCTACGTGCCCTCACAGGGCCAGCGTCACCCCTCGGCAGGTCCACACGGGTGCCGCCGCTGACCAGCGCCCCCCCCACCCCGTGCCTGCTCCCTGGAAGCTCTCTGGAAGCTATTTGGGGTTCCCTTTCGGAATGGGTGACATGCACAGTCTGCAGGAATAACAAAGAAGCCCCAGAGCCTTGCACCCGAGCGGAGAGGGACGGCTGGCCTCAGATCAGTACAAACAAACACCGCCCGTCATCCGAATTAGTTCCCAGCCATTAACACGACTGAGTAATGACTGCCATATACTTAAAGTCAGTGATAAGGGACCTGTATGATAGCAAATAAACCCTTTTCTTCCTTTTGTCTTTATTTGACGGCTAAGAAGAAGTGAGAATAAACCAGTTCTTGAAGAGGTTTTTCTTTTTTTATACATTTTTTAAATGTTTTATTTATTTGCGAGAGACAGAGACAGCATAAGCAGGGGAAGGTCAGAGGGAGAGGGAGACACAGAATCTGAAACAGGCTCCAGGCTCTGAGCTGTCAGCACAGAGCCTGACACAGGGCTCGAACCCATAAGCCATAAGATCATGACCTAAGCCGAAGTCAGATGCCCAACCGGCTGAGCCACCCAGATGCCCCTGGATGAGGTTTTTAAAGGCAGTGCCATCAATACCTAAAAACTGTGGGGTTTTTCTTAGGGGCCATTATTTCTAAACATCACCGCTATACTTTGCTATACAGGCAACTACAGATGCTAGACCCTTCATGCGTTCTATACCCAACTTTGAGGGTTTGAAAATTACAGTTTACAGTTTTACTCCAAGTGGCTTAGAGCATGCATGGCAACATTTTTCTGGGAAGAGCCAACCAGTAAATATTTCAGGCTCTGCAGTCCATACAGTGCCTGCTGTAGCGAGTCAGCTCTCTGCCCGGGCACTGGGCTGCAGACCACTCCGGAAGGAACAAGCATGGCCACGTTCCAATAAAACTTTTTAAATTCATGGAAACTGAACTTGAATTTCATATAATGTTCACCTGTCATGAAATATTACTCTTTAGATTTTTTTTCCCAACTACTTGAAAACGTAAAAACCACTCTAAGTTCAAAAAAGAAAAGGGTAAGAGGTCTAAGCAGGCTCAGACTGAACCACTGAGATCAATGGTTCTCAAAGAGTAGTTCCTGGAGCAGGAAAAGGAGAGACAGCTGGGCTGGTTGGAGAAGCAGATTCCCCGGTCCCGCCGCAGACCCACCGCACCAGGAACTCCACGAGTGAGGCCCAGCACCTGGGCTCCAACAAGCTCTTTAGGAGATGCTGATACATTCAAGGTTCAAGAACCACACAGCCCTAAAACTGTGTCTCTCCATATCCGTATGCGTATGACTCAAGTGGGATCTTATCTGAAAACATACTCTGATTGGGAAGTCTATGCAGGAGGGTAAGACGCTAAATCTCTCGTAAGGGGAGCACTATGGTTCCCCAGGGCTACACTCTGAGCAGCAAGGACCTAAGAATTTCCCACTTGCTTTTAAGACATTAATAACGCAGTTGCTTATTAGAGGTGTATTGGCCACGCTTTGCAGACATTATCTCTAATCCTCACAATTACCCTAAAAAGCAGGTCTTACTACATTTCAAAGAAAACTTCTAATTATAGGAGAGCACAAGAGATTAAAAATCATCCAAACGTCTGGCTGAGATAAAAAGTTAACATTTTAATGTATTTGTGTTCTTTTACCTATGGCTACATATATTGTGTTAAAAACACAATGGACAAACTTGGTATTCTTTTATTTTAGTGGCCTGACATGTTGTTTCCCATGACACTCTTATATAGCATAATTTTAATGGCCACAAAAAAAAAAATCTCATTTACGGAGTTCCTGGGGGGCTTAGTAGTTGAGCATCTGACTTTGCCTCAGGTCATGATCTCACGGTCGGTGGGTCGGAGCCCCCCATCGGGTTCTGTGCCAGCTCAGAGCCTGGAGCCTGCTTCAGATTCTGTCTCCCGCTCCCCTCTCCCTCCCCGTCCCCCTCTCTTTCTCTCTCTCTCAAAACTAAACATGAAAAAACGAAAAAAAAGAATTCTTTAATCAATAACTACTGTCCTAAATTTATTTTCTTTCTCTTCAATTCTTTCTCTTTTTTCTCTAGTAGTAGAAATAGGACATTAGCTATTCACGTGACTACATCTCTTTGCATATTTTAGCATTTTATATCCCTTATGCCAGATTCCTCGATATGGAACTGGCAGGCCTAAGACAGGCACTCTTTTACCACCTGCACAGGTTCATGTCTGCTAATCCCCCGCCAGCCCTACACAGCAGGGAAGAGTATCCCCCCCGCTGTGTCCAGATGAGGAAACCAAGGTACAGAAGGGCTGAACCACCCCACCCCCTCCAGATCGCACTCCTGGCAAGTGATAACACATGAACTTCGTGCCTCTCCAGGAAGGCTCTACCTCTGAACAGCAACCAGGAGGGCGCTCTTCTCCCAACCCCAGTCTACATGTGAAGAAACAGACAGCATGGAGGGCACCGGGGCCACCCACGACTGCCACGACAACTTTGCCTTCCGTACGATTAGAAAGTAAATGGACTGCCTGTGCAGTGTTCCCGTCACATGACTGAACGTTATCTTTGGGCAAGTGCTCAGCACAGGCCACCATCCCGGGATGCAGTAAGGCATCATCAGCCCTAGTAGTAAAGCACCTTGACCCCCTGCCACCCTCCCAAGTGGATATGAGACCATGTGACACAGCCCAAGCATTTATACATACAGGACCGATCGCATCCCTTTTTCTACCCTAACATCCTCTATGGTTTTTTAACATACAACCATCAGTATTAGGACTTAGCTTCAATTCAATACACTGAATGGTTATTATGTGCTAGGTACTGTATTAAGCACTGAGAACAGAAAGGTGCTCAAGATGTAGTCTATGACCTTCAAGAAGTTACTGAAGTTGTAGTATAAAAACTGCTATGTAAGCACATGGGCACCGACACATATTTGAGAATCGCTGAGCTGAGAAAGGCCTGGAGAAGATGATTCTAGAAACCAGTTTTCAAAGAAAAGCAGACCCTGGCCAGATATAAAAATGGAGAGAGAGAAGCAGGCAGAAAGAGCGGCATGACCACACATGCAAGTGTGAATCCAGCCAGACCTTCAGGGGACTGCAAGTGGTTCCATGTTCCTGGGGCACAGGGCACAGCAGAGAAGGTGGCTACAGACGGGCCATGTTGGGTGGGGACAAACACGATAGAAAAATATTACCACTAACATTTACAAAAATTACCTGACTCTATCAGGCCAACACTCAAACTCTACAAAACTGTCAGACAATAGAAAACACAGCGTAAGCCAACACTTGCAAAAAGAATGGCTTCATTAACAGCCTTAAAATTGAAAATCTGAACTGAATATACCACTTTGCCCCATTCAATTACAAAATGGAAACTGTAAGATCCCAATCGAGAAGCAGTGTAGGGGAAAGCCTTATGAATATGTCCGTAATGGCACTGCAGCTTCTGGAAGATAAGGAAGCAAGAGCATTCAGAGCCGACCAACTCTTATGACCCAGAAGCCCCAGTTTGGGAAATATCTCAAGCTAGTTCACTGAAATACAAGGGACCGAATCTTGCAAAGGTAACATTCACAAAGAACTTCTTCATACACACACACACACACACACACAAAGGCAAACTCAATGTTTTGTAGCATAAAAAAGGGAAGAATATGGATATGTGGGAAACTTTAAAGATAATGCTTCTGTGGAAGATTCCACTTGTAGGACATCAAGTGCTATTACATTGCAACACAATGGACATCCAATATGAGTTACCCTGAGAGCTCTGAGGGCCCCCAAGGGTATTAACAGGGGTAGAGGAGCGATCTTCTTCATTTGAAAGAAGTTAACAGAAACTGTATATTTATTTGCAATAAAGATACGCAGACCTCTACTTTTTGCCTTAGGTCGAAACTCAACATGGTAATAATCAGGCATGTGTTACATATGAGGTGCATTAGTACAGGTCCTTGGTTTAGGGGGAAAAAAGGAAATTATTACTTAAAATAGTTTATGGGTTTGAGTCAAAACATGGGCTCAACAGAGGTAGAAACAAAATTGAAATTTGTCCTCTTAGACAAGGAAGTTGCAAAATCACATGGAAATTAATACAGTGGTTGGCACTAATCTGTTGTAACTTAAAACGAAAGGGGAAAAACTACACGCTGGAGTTTTCACGGAGCACACTTACCAATCCTTCGACTGGGTTCTGTCTCTCCACTCCTTTGTTACCCTTCGTACACTCGTCTTCTGAACAAAAGCTGCCTTCGGGTTTTTGACTCAAAAGGGAAGAGGACTTTTTATTTTTCAGCAGGTGTTTCAGAAGTTCATTGCCCGAATCTGCTTTGGCAGCAGGAGCCCCGGCAGGATGAGGGGGACTCTGCCCCGAGGGGACAGGACCAGGACCGGCCCCAGCTCTGTCCTCTGCCTGGTTTCCAGCTTGTTCCTCCAGGTCAGGCCCGTCGAGGCCGGGGCCCTGTGGGGGCTCGGCGGCCTCTAGTTTCACATCTTCAGCTGAAGCAGGGGTTTCCACAGAGTGCTTCTCCACCTCCGAGTCCGCGTAAGCCTGGTGGCTCGGGGTCCCCTGTGGTAACTCACTACGGGGCGGCCTGTTCTCTAACTCTGCGCACAGCTGGCCAGCGGCCGTGTTGGGCGTCGATGGGCACACAGGCTCCACCAACTCGGGCTCTGCTGGCTGCGGAAGCTCGCCGGGCGTGTTCACGGTGGGTGTGGAGGTAGTTTCTGAGACACTCGGGGTCGGGGGCGCGGTTATATCTGAGTGGGGGGTGGACGGTGCCTTGGTGGATTCCACGTCATCGTCTTTCTTCTTCTTTCTTGTTCTTTTCTTCTTCCCCTTCTCTTCTGGGATTATGTCAGAATACAACTGAATCAGCGACTGGGCTGATCCTGGGTAACTCTGTCCGTGGGTTGTAGCGGGGTCTTGGCCACATGGGACACTGCTACTTCCGACAGTGAGTGCCGTGGGGGTAAAGGGAGCCCTCGCTGGGGACTGCTGGAAGCTGGCCCCAGAAAGACCTCCATGTACCTGCTTGACAGAATGGAAATTGGGGCTTCCACCAGGAATTGAGGGTGAATCGGGAACGAACGAGGGAGGCCCTATCTGCCTTCGCTCATTGGTTTGCATGAAAGTTTGGGTGGGAGGGGAATTAATAGACCCCTGCTGTATACTCTGCTGCTGTGAGCCCTGCCCCATTTGCTGTTGGTGCTGTGGAGACTGCTGAAGGGGCCGGGGAGGCTGGGGAAAGTCACAAGGCAGGTCGGAGCTGTAGAAGGGAAGCTGGGGCCGCAGGGGGCCATGCGGCTGCACCCCCACGCCCTGCTGCAGGGCCCTCTGTCTGTCCACCTCTTGCAGGAGCTGGATCCGCTGTCTTTCCTGCTGTTCTCGTAAACGTTCCTTCCGCTCTCGCTCCTGGAAACTTTCACTGAAGGGGTTATTGTCGTCAAATTCCACCCGTGGCGGCGGTCCACCCTGTGGGTTTGCACCAGACACTGTCCCTGGAGCCGGCGTGCAAGTTCTTATTGGTAACTGGGCGACTGGAGGCTGGACCCTAGCAGGGGTGAGGGGGAGGTGGGCTGGGGTGCCAGCAGGCTGCCACCCCGGTAAACTGGGCATCCTAGCCGGGCTGGCATGGCCAGAAATCAGCCCTGCATGCTGCAGCTGCGGCGGCCCCACAGGGAAGCCAGGCTGGTTCATGGCAGGCGGGGCGGCACCGGGCACGAGGGGCGGCTGGGGCTGGATGCCTGGCATGACGGGGGGCGGGGCCATCGCACACTGCTGCTGCTGCTGCTGCTGCTTGATCCGATAATCTTCTATCAGCTCGGCGTGCTCTTTCTGTTGTTTACGGATCTGGAAGAATAAAGCTAGGCTTACTCCTTCATCTATACGACAGGTGGCTGATGGTTGGGGTGGGGGAGGGGAGGCTATCTATAAGGCAGGCAGATCTTACAGAGACAAAAGTAATTAGCTTTGGCAGTGGCAAAAATTGCAGAAAGTCAGACTGATCTGCACTAAGAACCGCCAATCTTTTTAACAATACGATTTTCCCAAAGTCTCCTGTGAAGCTTCTTTCCATATGATATCCCAAAAACAAATTTAAAATATTTTTCTGAAACAAAGATTTTAAAAATCTTACTATGTGTATTTAAGCCACACATCAAAAAGTAAAACAATAAACAAAGGCTACACAGGAATCAGCTAACTGACAAATCTTATAAGGCACATTAATACACAAGGTTAGAATAACCAAGATTTAAGTAAAATTTTAGCCATGTAAAGAGGATTTCATCTCTGAAGTATACCAAATCAGACAGGACATTAAAACAGGGGGAAATAAGAGCAGGTACACCACGCCCATCCCTCCCTTCCAGGCTCAAAAGACTAGATTGGTAAAACTCTTTGAATTCAAGGAATAACATATTTCTAAAAAGTAACCAAAACTCTGAGAGAATACTTTGAATGATTCCTAATAGGCTCCTACTATAATGACTAACTTACATCAGTGAATTCATTCCCCAAACCCCGGTGCCCCGCTGTGCCAGATGCTACAGAGAAGATGTCCCCATGTCCCGAGGTGCACCTTGCTCAAGAAGGGGAGGAAGTGATGTCAGAGGCTACACGTGTCCTCTGGAACCATCCAATTTTGGATGTGTATTAATTAGACTAGTACACCGAGCCCAGTGATTCTGTAGGTTTTCAACTTATTTTCTTCAGCTTCTCAGACAGACTAGCATGTTCTCTGCACATAATGGTTTCATGGGTCTCCACGGCTGTACAGCTAGCTCATTTTCTTCTTTCCTGACCAATGACTGGCTAGAACTGGGGAAGTACCATGGGCCTGGTGAAGCAGCAGTACACGGAACGTACCCAGAGCAGTATCTGGAACACAGAAAGGGGGTCATCCATGCCTTTCCCGTGACATTGTAAAATACCCTTAAACACGTTATCCTCAACTGCTTATCTTAACGAGATTACACTGGATTGTTGGCAACTGTACAATAACAGATGATGTGTTACATTGTCCAAGTACACTATTAGCTTCTCAATAGGACTTGATCCATGGATATGCAAAAGCTAGGCCCTCATCATAAGGAATTTATAGAAAAACACCAGAAGGGAATAAAAGTGCTAAAAATACTTTATAAGAAATACCTATCATTGTAAGAATTTTACTTGCAACAAACGTGGAACGACAGTAAATTTCGAGAGAAGAACCCCCACTCCCACTCTAGAACTGTCCTAATTTTTAAACAACACGGATTACACTACAATCACCTTACGGTCGGTACATTATTGTGATAGCTAAAGCTTGGAGATGAACACCTGGGCCCCAAATACCTAACCCAATCATCAGCCAGGGGCCAACAGGCCACCTACCTCTGTGATGATTCACCGGACTCTTCCCGTGTAAACGGTGACAACACTAGCTTCCTCAGAAAGTCGTAGAGAAGGTTAAACGAGACACATCATATGTGAAGGTGTTCACCAGAGTGTTAACTACACTGGCAGCACTCTGATTTTTATTAAGTCAGTCTACTTTGAACTCCTCCCTTTCTCCTATTAACATCTGGATTATGTTTCAATTTTATTAAAAAAATTAAATCTGATAAATGTAAAATTGACTTTTTTGGTGTACAATTCTATGAACTTTATCGCATGCAGAGATCAGTGTAGCCATCACCACCATCAAGATACAGAAGAGTCCTGTCACCCTAGAAGATGCCCTGGACCACCCCTCTGTCGTCAAACTCCCTTTCCCCCACCACTAAGCCCTGGCACCCACTAAACTGCTGTCCATCCTCTGTCATTTCAAGAATGTTCTCTAAATGGAATCCGTACATCATCTCCCGGGTTTAGCTTCTTTCACTCAGCACAAGGCTCTTGAGATCCATCCAGGTTCTTCTATATCAACTTTGTTCTTCTTCACTGCTGTGCAGTATTCCAGCGTGTGGAAATACCTCCTTTGTCCGACTATTCATCACCACAGGATACTTGTGTGTTCTCAGTTTTTGGGGACTATGAATAGGGCTGCTATAAATATTTATATATAGGTTTTTATGTAAACCCTAGTTTTTAATTCACTTGGGTAATTACTAGGAGTGGGCTCTTAACCCATTTTGAACACTACTATTATTTCATTTTGAATAAAAATTTAAACTTTTTACTTTTTAAGTATAGTTGTTATTTCAGTATGAACATTTTGAGAAACATCTGGTTTACAATGGAAGGGAAGAGCAAAATGGTTTTGTTTTCGAGGAATGAGTCTTTTATTTCCAGAAGATATACCGACGCATTTTAAGACCAAAATATTGAAAAGAAGTAATAAAAACATCCCATGGAAAAGAACAACCAGAATGCTTCAAATTACCTGTTCTAGCTGTTTCTGAACCATGCTTTGCTGCTCTGTAACATGCTTCAGTTGTTCTGCATCCTCTTCTGGAAATTCCCGCCCTGCTTTCTTGGCAGTACGTTGTTTTGCGGAAAGGGCCTTCTTAGATTTTCTGTGTGCACCAATTTGTTCTTCAAGGTATTTCTGCTGCATCTGAAGAAGCTGCTGGGTCTCCTGAAGCCATTCTTCATACTGCTTACGTTGTGAATCGTCTAAAGAAAAAATGAAAAATTCATCTGTGTTAATTTTCTAAAGACTCCAACAATATAAAAGTTACACAAATCTACTTTGTAAGGAAATGCAGTTCCACCATGACTGTGTAATTGGTGGTATAAACACAAAATACTAAATATTAGACCATAATGTAACTATTACATAGGAAACTTTAGAAAACTATTTATTCGAGGAAACCAAAGAATGCAGGTCTAAGGACACATGTTAATCTCATACTTAGAAATACTATAACTCCAATCTTTGAAAAGCAGACTTTTAGCTAATGAAAAACTTTCTGTTACTGAAGTATAAGATTCTGTAACCCACATACCAAACTATCTGTTAAGTTACATGTTTACTGCATTAACTCAACCTTACAGAATTTTTTATTTTTTTAAAAGATTTTTTTTTTAAATGTTTCAAAGAAACAAAGCGAGGTATGTACTGTTAAGGTCCAGAGCATGGATTAGGTATCACTTCCCATGCTAATTTTCCCAAGTTTAGAATAAGGGTTTTCCTACTTCTTAAGGGTGAAAAAATGTCCTGAACTTTGAAAAGGGAACCTAACCTCTTCCGAAGGGACCAACGCGAAGTCTACGTCTTATAAAGGAAATCCGTAAGTTAAAACCATTGGTAACTTTTATGAATTTTGTAATTTATACTTCTATAAATAAGCAAAGGTACAGAATAATTATCAATCAAATAAGCTCTTGTCTCCTTTTATGACTGTCGTAAGTATCTCCCCAAATAATTAACTCTCTTCATTTTGTATTCCTTCTTTATTCTTTAAGGGCACTTTACGTTACTGATGCCAAATCCCAAAAACACAAAAAAAAAGTCGTCTTATGGTACTAAGATTCAAAATATACCTTTTTGACTCACTATAAGACAAAGAAATGAATAAATACAATTCCAAGAAGGACATTAGCTGAAAAATTACATCAATGATAACAGAATATTGTCATACAATAAGAATCCAACCAAAGCCAATGGGCACAATAAAGCCAGAAAAAGCCAGTTGGTCACAGTAGTTTACTTGATTTTAATGCAAATATGTATTCAAATTATAATTATGATTAATGCAGGGGTAATTTCAAAAGGTCAGACTTTGGGTTTGTTCCTAAACCCAGAAGTTCCGGTACACATATGAACTTGATATCTAGTCTACTAAATTTGAAGGGCATTTTTCAAGAACAGGCTTTTTCACAAGATTTCAGAAGTTCTGCTTCTGGTAGAATGAGACCTACCGCAAGGAAAGCCTTTCTGGTTTCTGGAACCAGGAGAGCAGAGGTGAGCAAAATGAAAAATAATGGTGAAAAAAAAGTTAGCTAAACAGTCTGAAGATTTCAGAAAGGTTCAGTTTGGGGAGAACTTTAAACACTATCCTGAACCACCTTGGGACCCCTGAAGATAACTATGAAGGATTCCATGGCATCCTGAAACCCTAACCTTCACACCATGCTGCTAACCCAACTTTTATCTAAGCATATTCCCTTTGTTGTTCCCATGTAGGGTCCTTGTCACTTAGGGAGACAGTCATTAGAACGAGAAATGGTTTAATTCTATAGATTGTAAAGTGCCCAATCTATATACAAAAACAGGAACAACATTATTGAAGAGAATGGGGAAGATGGTTTTTCTGTATTAAAATATTAATCTCTAGCTATAATTCTTCATGCACAGAGGAAAAAAGCAATGAAAATACATGTCTTCAGGTAAAGATGCCCAACAGGGCAGTGATGCTTCATAAAGGATGAGGGCACTTAGATTTAAAATAACACACCTATGCTAACTCCATTTTCTTTTATAGAAAAACACAAAAATAGCGTGAACAAGCAATCCCCAGAGAACACATAACTTATTAGATTTATACTTACTGACAAAGCCTGGACCAAAATTTGGAGGATTAGGCCTAGAAATCTGATGTGTTATACTGCCATCCTAAAATAAGTAAAATTTACAAATAGGTTTATTCCACATTTCAGTTAAAGGGGGAAAAACTTTAAAAAAAAAGAAAGAAAAAGAAATGGAAGGGGGAAAAACCCCTTTAGTTTCCTAAGACATCTGTAAAGCTTTGATCTTTATAAAAATTAGAATAAATTCTGTGGTGACAACCTAATTTCTGAAAATTTGTAAGTAACTCTGAACTGTTTTATTTTCTAGATTTTAGCTGAAGAACAATTATGCTTGCGGTATGGGATTATTCATTGGAAATATACTACTAGGGCACGTGAAATATTGTTAGTATTTACCTGGAGACCCACATAAAATCCCACTTTTTGATGATATCTACCCAGCTCTTTCTGTAATTAAGACATAAACTCGGGTTCCAGATTTACTGAATTCCACTCTGTAACACAGAGTTAATTTATAATCAAAAACCGCCGTCTCTAACATGCACAAATAAGAAAAACAAATATACATGAGTTAAAAATAGTGGCCTTATTTTCTAATTAAACGCCTTACTACTCCCAGGGAGACTGAATAGTCATTAATCTAACAATTCCCTGGCGAAAATCTAATAGATAAGATTAACTCTGAAAAAAACACTGACTCAGTTGTTCCAAGTAGCGCTGGACAGGAGCTGCAGACAATGTTACAACTGTAAGTGCTATGAGCAGCCAGAGCACTTCCTGAACCCTTGTAATACTGCAAAGCAGGTGCTGTAACATCTGACCCATCCAAAACCTGGGGTTCAAGAACTGGCCCAAGGTGCACAGTATGTTCACAGCAGAACTAAAAGTTTAACTCTGCTGTGAAGTGTACGCTTTTTCCACCTCATCACATGGTGCCTCTCTCTTCTTTCAATAATGAAGAGAATATAATTATCAGCAGAGTGTATCTAAAGTACAAATGTCATGGCAAAAAAGAAAATTTCAAAACATATACAGTAGGTAGCTTTCCCTTTTTCTTCCCCCGAGGCAGATACTTGAAAAAAATATTGAAGGAAACACTACATTTCATGAACAGCTCTACCCCTCTGGACACTGCTTGACACTAAACATTTAAACATCACACTTACAGCTGATTCTTATGAATGTAAAGTGTCTTAAAAAAACTAAATTATCCCAAGGAATAAATAGCAGAATATGATTATCTATAGCTAAGTAGAATGATGACAATCATTATTTTCTAGTGTATACTAGTTTCACATTTTAAATGTCATGGATGAATTCCAAAATGTAGGACATGAAAATGTTTTTGTGGAGTTAAAAGTAAATAAAAGCTAAACCCAAACCTTACGCATTTGGTTTCCCTCCAAGTGACTTCCTAACTCTTATAGGTCCTTTTTAGAAACTGTCACTTTTTTAACCTCAATTTGTCTTTGCCTTAAAAAGTAACAAAACGTCTTTATCTCCGCTGAGCCCGATAATGTATTCTGGCAGTGTTCTAAGGTTTCTACTACTTTCTTAGAGTGGCCTCACTTAGAGAGTGGGGTTTGGTGAGAAACCCAGGGAGGCGCTGCGTCTACAGGGACAGGTCGCGAGCGGCAGTACCTGTGTCATGGCCTGCGGGAGGAGACTCTGGCCTTCACCGGTTTGCGCTCCGGCCACCGACTGGCCCATAAAGGGGAACCTGGGGAAAGGAAGTACTGGGTATCAAAATGATGAGCACTTAGGATGAAAATAATTGTTTTCATTTTTCTGAAAATTGTCTTCAAGTGCTTAACAATGTTGTCCTCCAGGGAGGAAGTGCGATGGCATCAAAACCATGTGGGAAGGGCCCCTTCTGCGGTGGAGGGCCACATCTGGTCCTCACCTTGCAGCCGCGAGAGGCGGCCACTTTCTGCTCCCCTTTCACTTACGATGAAAGGAAGAGGCAGAGGCTGCACAACTTCTACCACAATGGCCAAGGGACTGCGGAAAGAAGCCACCAGGCTGCTCCTTGGTTGGTCACTACTGCAGCCTCATTGAGCCTTAAAATACAATTCAAGTCTTCCGGATAAAAAAAAAAAACAAAAAACAAAAAAAAAACAACAACAACAAAAAAAACAAAACGTAGTGAAGGCACTGATCACATAAATTCTTAGATTATTTCTGGTTCCAATTACTGCCCGGCAGGGGGCGATGCATCAAATAGGTGAAGGCCATTCAGAGGTACAATCTTCTAGTTATAAACTAAGTAAGGAAGAGGGAGGTAGTAAAGCATAGGAGATCTAGTAACACTGTACCACTCTGTACAGTGCCAGATGGTAACTAGGCTCACTGTGGTAACCATTTCATAATAAATGTATCAAATCACTACCTTGTACACCTAAGACTACTATAATACTCTAAGTCCATGATTATTCTGTAGTAAAAAAAACAAAAAACAAAAAACTGTAGCCTATTCTGTATTCTAAAACCAAAGAGGTGTCTCAATCTTAAAGTTTCATGCATCTTTTGGGTACATTTCCATGTCTGACATTAAAGCAAATAAAAAATGTGTCACTGACCAAGAACAAGTCTCATATGGCTAAAAATGTTTGGCAAAATGTGACTTATTCTAATTAGAGCCATAAAAACTTAACAGAAACATTACTGCTTTAATGAAAACACTTCCTCTAGAGTTACCAAATGCTTTAATATAACAAGCATAATATCCAAATTATATATCAAATACTATACACGAGTACTTAGGTACTATTACAATTTAGAACACATGCTTTTTAAAACTTTTTACTCAGGTTTCTGATTTATCTATCACCTCCCTGCCCCCATTACAGCCCTGATCTGGAATGATCTCCAGATCCAAATAATCACTCACTGTCTGTCAGCCTCAGTCAAAAGCGCTCTGGCTGACGGAGAGACTACACCACTGCCTCTTCAAAGCACTCAGGAAAAGAGCAAACAACACTCTAAAACGTACTGTGACTCTCACTGGTAGAGGTACACATGCTGAGAGATCACAGGTCTAATTCTGAGGCTCCTACTTTTTTTTTTTGTATTAAGGTCCAATTTTCCACCAAACACTAAATGAAACTTAGCATTTCCTCCTATTTTGATACAGGCAGCAAACTACACTCTTATTAGCAGTTCTGTGTCTTTATCACCAATAGAATTCACATTATTTTAATAAAAGTTGCTGTACGCACCTAATTGGTCATTTACGTTCATCATTACACACTTTAAAATTATGGTAGTTATTAGACCTATTGCTAAATTTGTTAATGCGTTAAGCATATAAACCATAATTATAAATTTAACTGTGTTTCAAACAGAATTGATTTCCTTGTAATACTATGTTTTTGGTTCTGCATATAAAAATGTTAAGAAAGAATTCAAAGGCTTCACTGGAATGTCAAAAATGGTCATAACAAAATGTTTAAAAACCTCTGTGATAGAGAAATTGTCATAACAGATGCTGTGCAATAAAGGAACATCATTAGAAACTACTATTCTTCTTTGAACTCAATAATTGGCCGTGACCATTTCCAAAGTATCTCAACAATGGAAAAGAACTGTACCTTTAAGGATTCCCAATCTACTGAAATAACATGTTTATCTTAAATTCATGTAGATTTTATATTCAATTCCATAATCATCCACAATCCCTTTTATTTTAAAAAAAAAAAAAAGGCCCTCACCATGGTTATTAGGCTAAACTGAGGCTCCGTGCCTACTCTACTGACAGAGGTTCCCAACCACAGTACACAGGAGAACAGGGCATGGTGCTCACTAACCACAGGGACACACCAGCATCCTTCTCATATATTCTGATTCAGGAGACCTGCAGGTGAGTAAATGAACCTGCACTTTAAAAAAAAAAAAAAAAAGGCAAAAAACAAAACAAAAAAAAAACCACTACCACATATTTCTGACAGTGGTCCATAATCAAAACCTAAAGACTGCTCAGTGGTTATTTAATCCACCTTGGGGAGCATAAATACTCTAACCTCAGAAATCCTGAGTCTAACAACTCTCACAGTCTTCTTTAATGCAGAATTTCCATTTTTCTGCCAAGAGTGAAAAGACAAATTCTCTAACCACTAACTTGCAACTGTCCCCTTGACTTTTTTTTTTTTTTTTTTTTTTCTGATTCAAATTCAGTTTGGGGACATTTTATTTTAGAAATGAATTCACAGTTGCCTTAACCACTCAGGATCTTTATTGAAATGTCCCACATTTTTCTCTGCATTCTTCATTGGATAGAATAAAAACTATTCACAGACTTAAGTAAATTATCTTCTTTTCTCAACAGAACTACTTAACCTCTGTTCTCTTGTTTATCTTCTCATCTTCATCAGTTTAAGACTCTCTTTGTCCTAAGCAGCTTTTAGTTAGATTAACTGAAGGTACTTAAAAGAACACACACTTAGGGGTGCCTGAATGGCTCAGTCGGTTAAAGCTTCTGACTTCAGCTCAGGTTATGATCTCACGGTTTGTGGGTTCGAGCCCCACATCGGGCTCTGTGCTAACAACCAGCTCAGGGCCTGGAGCCTCTTTCAGATTCTGTGCCTCCCTCTCTCTCTGACCCTCCCCTGCTCTCTTTCGCTCTCTCTCAGAAATAAGTAAAACATTTAAAACAAAGGAACACACACTTAAATACACTGACTTCCTGATTAAGTCAACCTTCCAACCATTCTCTGATGTTTTATTCTGTTTGCCATAAAACTAATGGAAATTAAACCTTTACATTTGTATAGAATTTTACACTTGATCACATCCAGCTGACATTGCAACCAATGTCACTATCTATTGTTCATCCCTAGAAAATGAGTTTTTAAGTTACCATATGCTCTCTCTAGGAACTAGCAATAATTCGCGTACTTCTTGATGCATAATAAAAATGAGAAACATCTTCACCTACCTGTTCATAACCATGGGTGGCATGCCCATATTGTTTTGTGCCATTACTTTATTTATGCCTTTAAGGGCCACCATTTTGGCTTTCATTATAGGATCTGTAATTGCATCAAAATCTAAAGAAGAAATATTTTAAAGTTACTTATTTCATACTACTTGGTTCATGTAACACTAAGAGATAATGTAACTATCGCAAACATCATGTAATTTATAAACTCTTAGTCCTTATTATGATAATCACTATTTTAGCTTTTTGTACCGGGCAAGGGATTATGAAATGGTAATAACCTTATCCTGAATTTAATCTCATCTCAGTAATCCATAATTGGATAGTGCTCAAATACCTCAGTTGTACAAAACTCGGAACAAGAAGCCTGCCACATGTAAAGAAGATGACAGCCATCATCTAAAGGCAGTTCCTTTTTATCCAAACTTCTGCAGCACTAATTAGAATGGCTTCCTTAGTTATGCAGCATATCAGGAATGACAAACTGCAGTTATTTCCAATACTAAGGGTGCCACTAAACTAGTTATCACTTTTAAAAAGAAAACGTATCTGTTTCTTGAGGGTACAGCTTTGCAAAAAAGGATAGACGACTGAAAAGAAGGCCTCTCTGCATACAAATGAAAAAGAAATGGACCCCCCAATATGATACAATTGGTAAGGTATATAGGACAGGCGTCAATTTTATTAGTTAGAAGAAAGCATTCCTTTGACGTGTGTGCTTCGACTACAAATTCTTACCATTAGAGGCACTCAGATATTTTTATTGCATTGCTATCTTATGGTTTGGGGTGTTTTTTTCCCCCAAATTAATAAGGTATTGGAAATAAGTTAAAGAGCTTTATATGACAAAACATGGTCAAGCGTTTATCACACACCTAAGACAGTAATAAGTTCATTTCTACCATAGTTCCTTTAAATTCATCTTTCAAGGACTCTGAAAATACATGGTAATAATGGTTAGAGGGAATTAAGAGGACGGTTCTCGTTTCTGTTCAACAAGGTCTTAAGTAAAAGAAGTGAGAGGGTCTGAAAGCCAGAGCTTTGAATCTCTTGACTCCTGGGAGGAATCTAAAAACTCTTAACTGCTTTCATTTTAAAGCTGAAGGAGGAAGAAAAATATGACCGTCATTGCTCTGGTCCACAGGTAATTTTAATGCCAAAATCCTGGGAGTGCACTGCATGCCACCCTACTGCCACGGTCATGACCACAAGACCCGAGGGCATGCCTACCGATGTTTGGGAAGAAGGGCTCTGACCGCTGACGAATCATGGCTTGCATCTGTCTCTGCTGCTGCTGCTCCTGCCTCTCTTGATCCAGAAGATCCTGGAGCAGGAGAGGTTGCTCCTCCAGCAAGAGGGGCCTCTCTCTGTTCTGCTGGGCTAACGTTGGAGGGACCATCAGCTGCTGGGGCCCAGACAGGCCACTGGGCCCAGGCTGGCTTGTGAGAGGACCCGCTGGATTTGCAGGCTTTCCAGCCCCCAAACCATGACTAACTGTCGACTGGCCCTGAAGGAATCCTGGGTTTACGTGCACACCCTGGGGGAAAGCACGGTGTGCCCTAGAGGGCACGGGCACGGGAGAACTCAGGGCACTCTCCAAAACGTGCCCAGGCGGCGTCATTAAAGGAGGCGGCAAACCTGATGCGTGACTGGATGGCGAGGCTGGCAGCGTGGGCGGTGGAGACCCCAGAGGCCTCATGTCTGAATTATCAGATTTCTCATTAGCAAGTAAACTCGAGAGAACCGGAGTGGATGCCGTTAGGCCGCACGGGCTGATCACATCGGCGGCAGGCAGCTGAGAGGCGCCTCGAACACCAGCTGCAGCGGGGCCAGCAGCCTCGCGGGTTCTCTTCTCCAGCAGATCTGGGTCACAGGACTGCAGAGCGGCCTTCTCCCCGTCAGTGACCTCTGTGTGAGCCGAAGCCTGTGAGCTGGGGGTGCCAGTACTGTCTTTGCTCTCGTTGCTCTTCTCACTGTCACATCTGGCCTCCCCTTTAGAATCCGGAGACAGCACCTCTGTTTTTATCTCACTGGTACCCGTGGACTTTTTCCATGGAGAGTGTTTATCAGAGGGAACAGCAGTTTTGTCTTCTGGCTCCTTGTTTTTTGGTTCAACAGATACACACTGATTATCTATCTTATCATCGATGGGAACGTTAAGGTCTAGTTCCTCATTGAACATGCTTTTCTTATCTCCTAGGTCAAGTTCTGGATCTGTATATGCAATGATATCAAATTCTCCTGACCTTAAGAGGTCATCCAGGTTGGGGTCATTTGTTTCCAAATTACCTAAAGTATCCAATTCATCTCCCTTGCCGTCCTCTGTGTCTAGATTTAAATTTTCAAGATCCTCATCATCCAAGTCTTTGACTTCAACCCCCTCAAGGTCTTTAACGTCTAGTTCCTTTACAGATGGGTCGTCAGTATCGAGTTTTTCTTCAAGACCATCAGAAGACTGGGTGGTTACCTGTAAGTTATCGGATGTTGTTTCAGCAGGTGTCGATGCTGTTGACAGAGAGGCCTCTGAGAAGTCACCGCCTAAGGGGTGGCTCAGGGACCTCATGACCACAGAAGACGAATGGACGGGATGACTCTGGTCTTGCTGAGACGGTGGCCCTTGTTCCACATTTGGATGCAAAGGTAGCGGAGCTGGCAGACCCTGAACAGGTCGTCTCAAGGGCTCGGTGTGTCTAGGACCCGGGAAGTCCGGCCGGGGAATGAAGTTTCCCTGTCTTGGATGAGAAGGTGGCTCCAGAACACTGGCGGGAGAAGCGGCGAAGGCCACCCGCGGCCTTCCGTCAGGCGCCCTGTGCCTCAGCTCAATAAATGCTTGACCGAGTATGTTATGCTGTTGAACTGGCAGACTCTGTGGTGGAAAATGCTGCGGAAGTCCAACTGGATTATTCATCTGTGAGTTATTTAAAGGCCTCGGCATGTCTACAGATACAGATCTTCTGAGCTGTGGAGGAACTCCAGACCCTTGTATTTGTTGAGGAGGTACAAGGAAGCGCTCCTGACCTGACAGGGTACCGTGACTACCTCCTGGAAATCCAAATCTTAAAAAAAAAAAAGAAGAAAAAGAAGAAGCAGCAAATTGTTATTATTAAGCTTCATGTTGAATTTGCAGTTAGGTTAAAAAGGAAAAACTTGAGATTAAAATCAAATACAAAATTAATGCTGCCAAATATAACTTAGCAAAACAAAACCGTCACCATTAGAAAGCACTTATAAAGTATCTATATGCAAGTAATTCTTGCTAAGCACCCTATAACGTACACCATATTTGAGCTCTAAGGACATATGATCTAAGACAACATAAGCAAACTGCTACCAAGCAGATGAAATCGATGGTTTAGAAGTAAGCCTAACACTAGTAGAGTACAGTAAGAGTCTCTTCCCTTTTTCTATATTTATGGAGGCTGCAAGGAAAAGGCTAATTTGGGGGGATGCTAGAAGAAGGTTTATAGGCCTTCTGTCCTTGAGAAGACAAAGGCGTGGGCATCATGACTGGACAGACTCATCTATTTGCTTGAAACAACTACAGGAGGCATTAAGATAAAGGACTATATGCATGATGTGTAAAAATTTAGTAGATGACAAATTGTAGGACTGTTTTTTTTTTTAATGTTTATTTTTGAAGGAGAGAGAGACAGCGTGCAAGTGGGGAAGGAGGAGAGACAGAGGGAGACACAGAATCGGAAGCAGGCTCCCATGCGGGGCTCAAACTCACAAACCATGAGATCATGACCTGAGCTGAAGTTGGACACTCACCGGACTGAGCCGCCCAGGCGCTGCTAGGACCATTTTTATTATTTATACTGTGCCTCACTCTAGAAAGCACTAAAGGCAATTTAGAAGTAACTATAAAGCAGAGCAATAGGTATAAGTTATAACTGAGGAAGAAATAAAGGAACGTAAGGATTAAGACTGTAGCATGGAGGTAGGTATCAGACTAAAAACCACACATGACAAAACTAAAAACACATCCTAAGGAACTCTCTCTGATAACGTGTTTGGCTCCAAACTTTCTATCAGCCACTTCAAATAAACAAACAAACAAACAAACCCACTAATTTTACAACCCTCTCTGGAGAAAAGTTCCTAAAGGAAAACATCCCATCAATTGGAAATCGCCACAATTATTTACAATGTCAGTCAAAATGGAAAACTTGGGGACAGGACAACACTCATCACATCCCAGGAGGCTTTCGCAGAATGTGGTAGTGACATTTTAGAGGTCTGACTGCTGTGATAAACTACATTGCTGTGGCCGTAATGGAACCCTGATTCAGCCAATACTTAGAGGGACTGTTTCTAGAGTCTGTAGAGTTCTCAGAGGTTCAGAAAAGAAAAATCCATGACCTCACATTAGTGGAAGACAACACTATCCTTAAAGGAATCGCAGAGTTAAAGGGAGTAACGACGCCTTAAGAGGAACTTCACGTGTCTGTTTCCACCTAACAAGTCAGATCTGGCATGAAATTAAAAGCATTACCTAAATCCGTGAGGTCTCATCCCCATACCAGTAACATCAGGAGGGTAGGGTCCGCGTGCATCTTTTGGGAAAACTGCGTATCTAGGCCCCAGAGGAGGGACGACAGGAGACCGGACGCTCCCGGGATAGGGGGGCGGAGGCCTCGCAAACGCCTGGCTGACGCCGTCGGGCTGCCAGTGCTGCAAGGGCGCTGGGAGAGGGGCCGCCGCCGCGTCCTGGGAGCCCTTCTCCTGCCGACCCGCCAGCTTCTTCTGCTGCTGCTGCTGGAGGATGATCTCACGTAACTTCTGCCGCTGGACGGAAAGAAATGAAAATCCCTGGGATTTCTGATGGCTTAAGTCTGAAAGAATGGCTTAAGTCTTAATACTTCCTAAAAGGGTCTATGAAAATGCTTAAAATCTCTCCATGTTTCACAGTATTTGATAAAACACTGGTTATACTTAACTATCCAACAGGTTATAAAAACAAAGTCATAATTTGGGTACCATTCCTTGCCAGACAAGTATTACAAAATTGAAAGCTTTCATATTTAAGAGTAGTGAAGGTCAAAAATTCAATTTTTCAAAAAAATTTTTAATGTTTTATTTATTTCTGAGAGAGAGAGAGACAGAGACAGTGTGAGCAGGGGAGGGTTAGAGAGAGAGGGAGGTACAGAATCTGAAGCAGGCTCCAGGCTCTGAGCTGGCTGTCAGCAGAGCCCAATGCAGGGCTCAAACCCACGAACCGTAAGATCATGACCTGAGCTGAAGTCGGACGCTTGACTGAGCCACCCAGGCATGTCAAAAATTCAGATTTTTGAACAAATCTATGATGATCAAAAATCAGATGCAGAATAAATCAAATTCAATTGTATTGTAATTTTACCAATTTCATTTTTCTTCTTTGCAGTATGACAAATACCACAGCATAAGAAGATAAACTTTAACATCTCTGTAGAAATTACTCTTGTGTTCTTTCCGAAATAATACATTTAAAACATCTGTTAAGATATGGGTTTTTACCTGTCTTAACTTCTCCGTATCTGCCTGCGACATATTTACGGTATTCTGTGTATCAGTGACCCCTGAAGTTGGTACAGGTCCAGGAAGGTGGGAGACGCTGGGAAACTGTTGGCTCTGAGAACTCATTGGAGAATTTGAGGGCGCACTGAAGCTCCCCTCTGATCCAGGCCTTGACTGATCAACACTATCATGAGCAACTTGACTTGTTCCAAAAGAGTCCGGCTGAGATCTTGGAGTCATTGGAGGCTGATCGTAGGCATCCCGAGTAGCAGACGGGGAAACTCGGCTAAAAGTTTCTGAGAGACTAGGTCCAGGTGGCCTAGGAGTTTGGGAACATGGATCAGGTGGCCTTATCAATGGACCAGATAAAGCTGCTCCTCGATTTTGTGCTGCTTGCAGGAAAGGATCCTGATTTGGCATGAGGACTGGTCTTGTCATTGAGGACCTAGTAAAACCCTCTGAAACCCTCGGCCTTGGCGCTGCTGGTGGCTGAGAGTAAGGTCTTGGTGTTCCAGGAGGGTGAGCGTATGGGTCCGAATGCCTCTGATTAGGGGCAGGTGGAACGAACAAGTCTGCTTGTGTAGACGGCCTTGGGGTTGGCGGCTGTTGACTGTAAGGGTCAATCGTGGCGGGCCGGGGAGTTCCAGGAGGTTGGGAGTAGGGGTCTGGATTGGAGCGAGATGTTCCTGAGGGCTGGGGGTAAGAATCTACAACAGGTCGTGGGGTTCCGGGGGGCTGGGAATATGGGTCCTGAGATGTTGGCCTTGATACGGTTCCAGGCTGGGGGAAAGCCCTTGAAGGATGGGCAAAAGAGTCATTCATTGCTGGATGTGGGGTTAGGGGAGGCTGGCTGTACGGATCACCTGACGGGCTGTGAGAAAAGTTATCTACAGGTCTCGGTGTCAAAGCAGGCCTTTCATAAGGGTCCACAGACAATCGCCTGGGTGCCTGTGACACAGACCCATAAGGATCCTGGGAAGACGGAGGGGGCTGCATCGGAGTCTTAAAAGGTCCAGGACCACTGTCAAGAGGTGCGGGTGTCAACAAGGGTCGCGCATATGGGTCAGGTATCCGCTGTCTTTGAAACACATCTGCCCTGGGAGATGGTTTACTAAAGTGATCATTGGTGCCAGCTGCTAGAAGGCCTTTTGCAGTCTGTTCAGAAACTAGAGGGGAGCGGGGGAGGCCCAAGGGTTTAGGGAACGGATCGGTGATCATGGGTCTAGGTGTGTCTGGTGGCTTTGCATAGGGGTCGATACTTGCGGTGGAGGAGCATAAGTCTCTGACGGGGGACGGCCTGCCTGCCGTGGCCTCAGCCATCTGAGCGGGCCTCGGGGCTGAAGGCAGAGGAGCACAGTTTTCCACCAGGGCGGCAGAGTTTCTTCTGGGAAAGCCGTGGCCCCCAGGAGGTGGTCTTGGAGTACCAACCATTTTCGCGTAAGGATCCACTGGAGATGGTGGTCGGGAGTGAGAGGGCCCAGGCGAGAAGACCTGTGGCGAAGGTGGCTGACAGGTCTGAGGCTGAGACAGATTCTCCTGGGCGGGAACTCGGGCTGGGGCTGCAGCAGGGGGAGGGGCTTGCGGTTTCACAAACACGTCATCTGAGGACGCAGACGTCGGGGTGCTGGGGAGCTGCTTTGTAAACAGGTCTTTATGGAATGACTGTGCAGGAGACACGTTTCCGTTGCCGGGCTGGGGCGTCAGGGGGCTCTGGATGCCACTACTCGGCGTGTCTGAGCCAGACGGGGCCACGAGGGGCTGAGTGCCGAATTGCTGTTGCTGCTGCTGCTGCTGCTGCTGCTGCTGCTGTTCGTTCTTGACCTGCTCCAGCTTCTGCGTAGCTTCAATTTTAGCCTGCTGCTTACTCTTCTGACGCATTTGCTGCCAAACAGGAAAGAAAAGGCATGGTTAAGGAAGAATGTAACTACCACGGGAGGAAAAAGGCAACAGAAAATTAGTTTGATGTCATCAGTTACCAGACTAGGCCCCATTAGATTATAAATTCCTAGGAGGAGAGATTATCATCCATCATACAGTACCTGCAATTATGCCTAGGGCAATATGTAGTTTATAACATTCTAATGAACTTCCCAAATCACCTTAAATATAGTTTACCGAGAAAGGTAAGTATTTTCTTAATGTTTATTTTTGAGAGAGAGAGAGAGAGAGAGAGAGAGAGAGAGAGAGAGAGAGAGAGAGAGAGAGAGAGAAAGGAGAGAAGGAGAGAGAATCCCAAGCAGGCTCCAAGCCATCAGTGCAGAGCCAACACAGGGCTTGAGCCCACAAACCAGGAGATCATGACCTGAGCCAAAAATCAAGAGTCGAACGCTTAACCAACTGAGCCACCCAGATGCCCCAAAGGCAAATCAACTTTTAATCACATTTTTATAAGAACTATCTTCTGAAATAATGACATAAATTACTCTCCTCTGAAAAGACAAAAATGCGATCTAAAAGCACATTATTTAAAACAAACAAACAAACCACATACCTGTCGAAATTTCCATTCCTGTTCATGTTCTGATTCTCTCTGCTTTAATGGATCTTTAAAAAGGTCCGAATCAATTCGAGAGCCCGGATCGATGCTGTCTTGCTGTTGCTGCCTCTTCAGGGGATCATTTGACATCTGGACTTTATTAATGCGTAAGGCAGCTCTGTTATCTCTGGCTTTTTGCTTTGAGAAAAGGAGAAGAAAGTTATCTCCCAGCAGATATGTTAAGATGTTTCAAGACATAAAACTATGATGAACTTTCTAAGAAAAAGTTGGGTTAAAGAGCTGAAAAGAACTGAAACAGAATCCTTCAGAGCTTCCAAACTCCTGTGTCCAGAGAGCATCTGGACACTACCCCAGCCTCTCCCATTTGTAACGCATGTCGCCTCCACAGAGGACAGGTTGCCATCTCTCTAGCTGAGCCAGGATGGAGAACCCAGATGTAATCTAGTATTTTCAGCCCTTACCTTCACCAACCCTTCAAAAATGGAAAAATTAACATCTCTCTTCATTCAGAGAAAAGGAAAGTATCAGATCAATCCTCCAAATCTAAACTCTGGAATTTGGAGTTTAGCACTGAGGAACACAACTGGGGGACACCAGAACTACACTGTCACCACCTTACTACAGTCAAGCAAAACCACGAAGCATTATCAACACATTAAAAAAAAAATGTTTTTGCTTTACCCAAGCATTATCACTGACAGTATGTACACTCAGGGTCAAGGTGAAAGGTAACTGGATATATTTTTTAAAATAGTTATGTCCAATTAATACGCTTTAAAACGGAAGCAAAGATTTGGATTCAGTCGACAATCTTAATTTGGCTCTTTCGGGAGAAAACAATTCACCATCTGAACTGTGACTCTTACAAAATATCCTAACAATCCGTTGCAAAATTCATGTTTCAAAAGCTCCCTAAAGGTGTCTAGATAGGTCTGTTTCAAGACACACAGTCTTTACTGACCCTAACACAAAAAGAGATTATTGTGAAAGAGACTAAGGCACACTAATGCAGCCTCAAGCAGTAGTACTCTTTCGAAGAGATAAAATATTTTTCAAGTGAAATGAATTAAACATGCTCCTAAAATAACGGATTTTAATTTCAACATCCTGGTTCTACCAACTAGCTTATAAAAACTCCACATCCTATCTTAGGACATACTAGGAAATCAGTATAAAAACAAAACTGTGTATTAGTGCAAATATTAACGTGTGTTTTCTGCAATAGGAGATCTTTGTTAACCTAAGGCAACAAAAGTAAGGTCTGGGTATGGTGCTTGACAACATGCACACGGGAGGTGCGGTACATACCACGTAAGGCGCTCTCTCCTGCGAGCTTGCTTTTCTCCACAGCTTGGCAATCTGCTTCACTCTAGTGGTCCAGTCTGCAACAGAAAAGCATGGTGCACACATTTACGGAGCTGTGGTCAGGATGCAACGCATGTGGTGCTGACAGTTCAACTTATGCTGGCTGTGTTTTCATGAATAATTCTTTGTACAGCATAAAGGTCCGGGCACATAGCAGGCCAAATGAGGACTTGCCGAATGCAGTGTTGCCTTAATTGAGAATCTCACTTGTAGAGTAGGGGGGGTGTTTAATGGAAGGGGCTAAGCAGCCAAGATAACGTTAAGCCAAACACAATGAATTCCCTCAAGCATGTAAGATGCTTCAAGAACCAAAGCTAAAAGTTTTGTAAGCCGTCTGTCCTCCAGAAAAGTCTGTCAATCGGACCAAAAGGAAGTCATCATAATTATAAATAAGATGGTCACCAGCGTTTGTGAACAAAGACATGGAAATCCAATCATTTCAAGCCATTACTATGAAATTTACAGTGTCAGAACAGTAAACACAATGAGGGATGGGTGAAATCAACTGTGATAAATGAAGAAATGGTATTTTTAAAAAGCTTAAAAAAATGGGATTTCCAATGAAAATGGAAATCAGGTGACATACCAACAGCCTTATTAATATGTTATTTCAGGAGGTTCTAGAATCACATAGTAAAATTATTAAAGGATTAAAGAAAATTACTTCTAAAAATCTTAGCTCTGATCTAAGGATAATTTACACTGACACAAAGTGACTTAACAGAACCAGATATGCTCATCTATAAACAGCAAAGAAAAGTGTGATCAAATAGTACTTGAAGAGTAGTATATTCCTTTAACAGACAGCCCTGCACTAAATAACTGATTATTGCTGTTGTTGTCATTGTTGGATTAGATAGCATTTGTTTCTATACATAACGAATAAAGCACCACAGAGACAGGTGTCACCTGCATGAAAACCCACCTCTGGGCAGCCCACGCAGGATTTAAGAGTGCTACATGCTGACAGCAGGGGAAACTACTGGAAGGCAGAGTGTGTACTCCCTTCTCCGCCCTCACCTGTCTCCTAACATGAACTCAAGATAATACAGCAACATTTGCTTACAAATATTCTGTAAATGACATTCCACTTATCCAAATAGTTCACCCTCTGGTTAATCAGAATTTTCAAAAAATGGTACCATTGTACCATCTGATTTTTTCAAAAAGACTGGACAGGAAGGGAGAAGGGGAAGCCCAACAATACTTTTGATTAAGTGAGAGGTTTCTGTTCCGGGAATGTTTCTGTAGAATTACACACGGAACACAACACCGAGCTCCATTTTTACGAAGGCTACTAAAACCGGGACAAGTGGTTACTTCGTTGACGGAGATGAACTTCTGGGAAATACGCAAATGTAAGACAGTGTCTAGGACTAAGAAACTGCCAAGCGGCTTCTAGAGATCTATGGGATCTTCTACACTAGATGAAAATTGGTGTTGAAACACAGACTGTCTACTACAGTAACAAAGGCAAAGAAGAAGCAGGCGTTACACAGTCACGCGAGTAGGTGACACAGACAAAGCCTACGTTCTGCGTTACCAGGGAATTCCTCCTTCAGGTTGGGGAAATTGATGTTCGTGTAGAGAACTGGTGCTACTGTTGCCATTTCACCCAGGGCCTCCTCCTTCTCCCACTTGAGTGTGCTTCTCTGGGCATTGGACATTGTGTCGTTCTCTCCTTCCACCGTGGGAGCGGATGACGGCCATGAGCTGTTAGGGTCACTTGCCATCGGATTAAATGCTGGATTTTTATCCCTGGCAAATAATAAATAACTTTACTTATAAATATAAAATTACCTTCCAAAGACTATGGTCAAGTACAATTTCATTAAAACCTGTTCCAAAATAGCTAAAATGTTGGATAGTCTTCAGCAAGGATCCCATATATGTAACATATACTTATACAGTGCACAATGACTTAAAACAGGCTAATATTTATATAACAAAAATTAGTGTGATTTAAGTTTCCATGGAAAAGGAAGGCTTTGAATACCTGGTATCTGTGTAAGGAGACGGTGCTACAGCCGAGAAAGTTCCCAGTCCACTTCCAGGAGGCAAAGAATTATGTGGGAGGTGAGGACTGGGTCCGATAAGGCCGTTCATGAGTGGCATCCGTGAAAATACATCTTTAAAGAAGAAAACAACATTTCCATTTGCATAGTACTCATAAATAATTTTTAAAAGCAGTTTATTTATAAATAACGTTTCTAAAGAAAAATTTTCTAGCACTATTTAAGAGCAGGATTTTTATTTCAATATTAAACTAAAATACTGCATAAAGACGGACTTTTGGTTATATTTTGCAATATGGTCCCTGCAGTTCTGTTTACTTAATCATGGTATACTGAAAATGGCATGTGGTTTGGAGTCTGATAGCTTAACTTTGCTACCTGTTAAAAGCTTAATTTTGCTACCTGTCAGAAGGGACTCAATTACTATTTCTGTAACGTGAAGGTATTCTGTATCGTCACGGACACAACGTACATGGAGTTCTCGGCGCAGTGCCTGGTATGCAGTGAACTATTCAGTACATATCAGCTCCACAAAAAGAAGGACTCTCCCAGCAAATGCTACTACGTTTTATCAAATAGCTTTTCTCTTCTTTCAAAATTTACAAACAAATGGTTCCTTACATTTTACATTACTCTTGTTCCTGTTGCTAAAAAAAACCATCTATGATTCTTAAACTGGTGCTTGTTCTAAAATTACTTGCAACAAGCAGTATTTCGTCTACCATTACCAAATAGATACTTATTGTTAAAAACATGTACATTCTGTTTTGGGCCTGATTTTCATTACTGGCTTGCAGTTTCAGCCCCCAATTCAGCCCCCAAACACATTTTAAACTCTCATCCCACCTTATTCACAAGCTTCAAATACCTGTCTTCTTTCCAAACAGCGAGCAAACCTTAATAAGACCCTGCGTCTCCTCAAGCATGGAACTCTGACCTTGATTATACCCTTCTACTGTTCTGAACGGTTCAGGAATTACCCAACTGTCCCTTCCCGAGCAGTTTTCTGTGCCTTCAAAAACCTCCTCCCAATTCAGAGACAGTCTGAAATGATAAATGCACGGCTGCTGCTCCAACAGCCAGAACACCAGTAGGAGCTCCACGTCCACATCAACAATCACACAAATGCAAACGCAGGGAGAGAGTTGGCTGATAGTCGGCCCAACTGGGGTACCGGCAGAGAACCCCCAACAATCACTTTGCCGTACCATTAGAAAACAGAATACCCAAGAAGTGTCTGGCCCCTGTGTTTGACACTGCACGATGTCCCACTGCCTACAGCAGACACTCTGGCTGGAACACTGAAGTGTGCAGAGCTCCCGTCCTCTGTGAGGACACTGAGGCTGACCACCAGCAGGTTTTCAGGATTTCATCTCCAGGACTTCCTAAGAGCTATCCCACATCCAAGTTAGGGCTTATTCTACCAGATGGCAGAGCTGGGCCCACTGGATCAGAACTCCCCAGTGACAAGTGTCCCAATTTATCTATGTTCACGCCCAGGATAAGATTAACAAACAACATTTCTGCTTTTATTGAAAGTAGAATGTCACCTCTATTTTCAACTTCAGTGAAAAGTAGGTTCCATTAAGGGATATGAGATTTCACTGAAAAATGTGAAACGTCTTTCATGTAATTAGCATAAACAAAAGCTTCTTCACTGGTAAGGAGAATGCAATCCATGCCCATCATCACGATCTTAACCACAACATGGCTGTCTGGAAACCTGTCATAATAAGAGCTTATTAAGCACTTTTGTTACATGCCAAGCCACGTTCAGAAAGCGTTACGTGTATTAACTCTTTGATCCTCCTAACAACCCTAGGAAATGGGTTATTACAGGCAACTCCATTGAAGCGAACACCTAGAAGTTAAATAACTTGTTCAAGGACACAGAAATCCAAGCACTGCTCCTTTCTTATTATTTTAATTAAGAAGCGGTCTCTCTTTCTCTCAAATTTACCATACCAACCAACCTGGTCATAACAGTTTATAAAAGTAATCTCTTTAGAGGCATGAATCATGGTAATAATTGAAAAGCTACTTCACTTAACCTTCAGCGAAAGCGATTTCACGTTACTCTATCTCAATCTTCTTGAAAAGTCCCCTCTCCATTTTCTTACCTTCTGTATTACTGTCCACACATCACACTCCGGCACCCTTTCTGACCACTCCCATCGAAGCCACCCCACTGAGGATTACCGACAAGCACTCATCCTACCTGATTTATAACTTGTCTCTAACAATCCTCATTTCTAAGATCCTATGCCTCTCACTCAGTCTCCATCACTGTTTTTTTTTTTCACTTTCACCTAATCCTTAAAAAGGAACATATAATTGCACGTGTAATATGAACCAGGGGAGTTAAGCACGTGGCTGACTCATCACGTGTAACTGAAGAGTTCTTCAAGACTCTGCACTCTACAGCAGGACGTTCTCTTAAGAAACCTCATTCTTCCCACACCTTCAACTCGTGCCACTACACATGCGATTCCTAAATTTTCACTGGCAGCCTTGAACAGCTGCGAGTTAGTCCGCCTGTAAATCAGAATAGTATGTATGTCCCATTTCTAACAATGGTCTAAAACTAAACTTGTCATACCTCCACTACTACCCTCTAACACACACACACACACACACACACACACACACACACACACACACACACACAGTCTTCTCTGTTCTGTGCTTCTAGTTTATAGACTAATTACCTGTAGGCAAACCTGGCTCACAGAGTCTAATTCAGTTTGTTTTTCCACTTTTCCTTGTACTTTACATCCATTCAGTACCAGACTCCTACTTATTCTAACATCATTATCACTCATATCACTTTCTTTTCAATTAGCATTGCAATTTCCCTGGAACCCAAATTTTCACTTAGTTTCAACCACAATAAATGCATTAGTACAACCCTTGTGTCCAATTCATTTCCAATACTGACGTTAGAGCTACCTTGCCAAAACATGTAACCCATCAGGTCATTTCACTGGTGTGAGATCTTGAAGGACTGAACAACTTGGAGAAGAAAAGCCCAGCTGGCACGGCCTGTCTCACAGCCATCTATGCATAATCTAGACCCAAAGTGCATTTTCCGCTTTTGCTCCTTAAATGCTACCCACGTACCTCTTCTCCCCTGCTCTGGGAAATGTTCAAGTTGCCATTACTGAATATCTATGTGTCACTCTGTATGTTACCTGACCATGCTTTATCCTTAAGTTAGAATTATTATTCTTTGAAACATGACTGAATTCTTAATGACTCTTGAAACTCTACTTGAGTTATGATCTACCATGATATAACTCAGCTGTATATCTGAAAGTCCGTATACTAGGATTATAAGCTCTGGGGCGGGGGCAGACCCATTCATCTTTGTATTACACATAAGCACTCAAGAAACAAAGGCATCCCCTCAAAACCTATCAAAAATGAGCCAATGCTGCCAAAGCATTTAAATAATGACAGTAAGATCTTTTATTAAAAAATGCCATCTTTAACTGATTTGATTTCTAAAATACTGACTTTGCAACTCAAAAAGCATGGAGATTTTTTTTGTATATATGTTGAGAAGGGAAATATTGAATAGTTGCATTTTCAATCATTAAGAAAGCACATGGGGACGATTAAGACAAGAAGCACTTGTGATGAGTCTGTTTTATCCAAATGTAAATCACATGTTTAGTCTAGCAAAAATCAGGGTAACCTTATGTTTAGAGGCTAAACTAGCAGTAACTACAATATTTTAATTAGGTGCATTATGCATGTATGCACAAAATTGGTAGTAAAAATAACATTTGCACATTTCAACACTTGTAACAGTTTATAAAAGTATCATTAAGTTACTCGATTCAGTGTGTCATCATGAAGCAGTGAAAACAGGACACAGAGAAGTGACCCTGTGCTCAAACTGCCACAGAAACACACCAGCAGGACCCTGAACAACCCCCACAGGAGACTTCCACACCTGCCACACCATCTCCTCCCCTAACTCTAAACATTTAATTCTAGGCTATCCAATTTCAGCTCTGAAGATGGAGAAATTAAAGCCTTAAGTCTTATGAGGCAACTAGTTACAAGTAGGTAGAAGAAAACGATCAAAGTAGGCAGATTTGCACAAAATTAGAAATTTGGGGGCGCCTGGGCAGCTACAACAGTTAAGCGTCTGACTCTTGACTTTGGCTCAGGTCATGATCTCACGGTTCATGAGATCCAGTCCCACCTCGTGCTGACAGCGCAGAGCCTGCTTGGGATTCTCTTTCTCCCCCTCCCCTATTCTCTCCAAATAAACAAACTTAAAAAAATAAATTTGAAGTGGACAGTGGAGAAAGGTCAAGGATTTACTCTGGAAGGATGTGCTGAATACACATTCTGTGGTGGACTCCATAGAGCTGAGGACACATTCGGCCCTAGCCTTCAGAGAACTCACAATCTAAAGGGAAAAGCATAATTACCCAAACAAGTATCTATCTGTGCCACACGCTGCAGTGAAAAACCTGGGGCTGGGTGTGGAGGTGGTAGTCTGTTGACCACTGAGCAAACAGCAGTGCAACTGGGACCAGTGAGCACAGGGCAGCCAGGTGGGGGGTCATTCTCCAAATGTGTGCGTGGGAAGGGCTGCTGAAAGGGGACCCAGCTGGGGAAGGGAAGCAGGCAGGTACTTCTCCCCATTGCCCCTAAGGGGAGACAAAGAATTCTGGTCTCAGACTGGACCACAGATTGTGCCAGAGAACTTCAGGGAGGTAGGAGTGTGACTGAGAGAAATTCAGATTAGTATTTTCCCATCGCCACAGAGGAATGGTTTCTCCTACTGGTTGCTATGCATTGCCCCCAAGGGTCAAGGCTGATGAGCTTTGGCAAGCGCACGCACACTGCAGAACCGTACTCACGGAACTTTTCTAGAGGTGACATACCCTGACTGTGCACGGGCAGCAGCTGTGGCGCAGGTGGCGGGGGCGGCTGTGTGAGCGGGGGCGGCTGAGTGGCAGCAGGACTGAGCACAGCAGTAAACAAGTCTTCGACGTCCTTCCCTCCGAGCTCTGTGAGACAGAATCATAGTGGTGACAAGATTACAAGGCTATCAGAGCCATAGCATCCGGAATGCCATTTTCATAAACTCAAAATACAGAACACAAATACCTGGAATTTTATATAACTTTCCGAGAATTGCTCCTACGATAAAATAAAGAAACAGAAATATTAACAACTACCATTTCAACGTACTGATACAAAACAGCATTCGACACAGAAATGATCAGAATAGAAGTTAAATGATAAAGTAGCATGCAGAAATCTTTGAAAATCATATTTACTCATGTCTTTTAGAAAGCCTAGATGTAGGGCAAATATTTTACCATCTGTGACCATTTTGTCTAGCTCAGGGCTGAGGATTCCATCTAGCTGCTCTTCACTTAATGGTCGTGAACTGGGATTGACACTTGGCTGAGGCAAAGAAGAGGGGTCATCAGCGACAGGACCGAGATCTATTCCGGCTAGAGGGGCAGAGGGAGTAGAGGAAAAGTCAATTCTGAATATTCACATAAAACGCATAACAGCATTTATCTGCATTAATATACAACAATATGATTAAAATAGAGCAATGAAAAAGTTTGTAATGCTAAACTAATCAGGGTTCTTGTATCAATTTGAATAGTCAATCAGTAAAAATCAGGCACAATGTATTTGTAAACTTAGGTGCCATTTACTTATATTTTAATCAAAGTAAATACATGTCCTGAGGATTAAAAGAACACTCCTGATTCTGAACTTCCAAAAAAATAAGCACATCATCACTACAGGAATCTACAAGAAGATTCAATATACAGTATTCAATATGTAAGCAACTGCTTCACTTTGGAAAATGCTGGTTTCAAATGTATAGTTCCAACTATGGTATGTAGTGTAGGACACAGGAGGGACGGGATCATATAATGCTCCAAAATTCTTGATTTGGGTTTAGTAAACATTATCCTTTGGTGAATAATTTCAACTACAGATCATATTTTGGAAATATTCTGTAGTCACAAAACAAGGTATAGATTGCGTTGATAAAATAACATACTTTATTTGAGACAAATCGGTTTTCAGGCCAAGTCACATTTAAAAGTGGTCTATCATCTACTTTATCATGCTCTCTCCATATTACTGCTATTAAAAACTAAAATTTAGTCTGCTCTTTTTGATCTGATATTAGGAACTAACTCTATACCATTTGGGGAATATTATAAATTACAGATTAACAAAAAGAAAACCATTCATGTAAAGAACAAAAAAGAGGAGCTACTGGTAAAGTCACCCCCAGCACAGCACAGCTGCACCATGCGTTAACTGCACGCACAGAGGGCAAAGCAAGTAGGGATTAGTGAGGAACGAGCACTCTAACAACACGCATGCACCTCTACAGGCTGTTTCAGCTGAGATCACTATAAAAAAAGAAGACTACTTCTAGTCAGCCGTCATCCATTCCTCAGTTTCTTACCAAATGGAAAAGGTGAGCTCTCAACCTGGAAAGTGCATAAATCAAGACCTACAAGATCCAAACCAAATAAAATGGATGATCACCACGGGGCCGGGAAGTGAGGGGCAGTGCAAACAAAAGAAGAAACAAGATACAGCAAGACTGTAGGGCAACAAGCCTGAAGGTGGATGCGATTAGAAAGACAACAGAAATTAACTTGCTATTTCCTCTCCTAAAGCAGAAAGGCTGAGGTAGATCAAATAAAATGACGAGTTCGTTGACAAAGCCAAAACAAACATTTTTTTCAGTTTTGGAGAAAAACTAAAACTTGTTCCACACACGCATACACCTCTCATTGGATCATAAAACAGACACTAGACAAATATAGACATATATACCTGAATGATCAACTGATTTTGCAAGGTCATCTGAAATTATTCCAAGAATGTCATCATCTGTGTTTAAGACTTCAGAAATATCAGCTAAGGGGTCACCAGTCGTACCTAAGCATAGCAAGTATATTTTTAAAGTCTCGATATTGTCCTACACATACATTCTAAAACACCCTCACTCGTTCAACCACTCACTAAATATCTAGACTACACAGACGCTAAGTGCTAGAATCATAAAAAGTTAAGATTATTACTTTTAAAATAAGGAAGTTTTCAAAGAAAACATACACCAATGTTTTGAATAACAAAACATTAAAAATTAAGACGATTTTTTGTTTTGCAACTAATGTATATTAATAAAATAAAATTTAAAATAAAGACCAATAAAATAAAGGCAATAAAAGTGAAACAGAATGCTATAACGAAACAAAAAATGCATTAAGAAAGCAGCACCTCTAAAAGTGACATTAGAAAATAAAACACAGAAGATAAATAAAATATGAAAGTCAAACACATTATTTAGAAATTCCTTGTGAAGTATAAAGTAGGTACCATCTAGTTAGATGCCTACTTCCAACTTTCATCTTAATACTGATTAAGCATTCACTTATTTATCCAAACAATGTCAGCACCCACAGAATTGTGTCGATGGATTATGTTAAAAGGCATCATTCCAGCCACTGGGAATTCAGACTAAGCAAAACAATGTGCATGCCTACTTTGTTTACTTTCACAGAGGAAGTTAGTAAATAAATGATATCAGTATAAATGCTATGAAGAGAACAAGAAGGAAAAAGGATTAAGAATAAGATGTGGAGATGATAAAGTATTAGCTACAGTAGTCAGGGAAGAACTTTTAAAGGACATGACCAAGGATAACTATACATGGACTAAGGGAGGAATATGCACAAAGGTGGAGAGAGCACTCCAGGCAGAGGGACAAGCAGGTGGAAAGGCTGGAGCAGGAGAGGTGTTGCCAAGTGTGGTCAGGGCGGGGACTGTAGTAATGAAGAGAAGGAGAGGCAGGAAATGAAAAAGGCAGCGACATGAGATAATGTATGGTTTATAAGTCATGGTGAAGACTGAGCTGTATAGTCCACATTAGAAAGCAGAATGGGAAGCTGGTGGAAGGCTGATAGCTAGCAGGTCACAGGACGCGGAAAGTGCAGGCTGCTGGGGGGGGGGAGGAGGGGCGGGGAGGGTAAGCCCCGGAAGTCTAGATGAGAAGTGTGATGCAGGCACCGGAGCTGCAGGGAGAGCGGAGGTAAGACATGGCTGACTTTGGGCTACATCTCAAAGGCAGAGGCAAGTTTGTGGATGTCATCAGGTGTGCGGTGTGAGATAATAAAGAGTGGAGGAGGACTCCAAAGATCTCTAGACACGTCAGGAAGACAAGTGATTAGCTTTAATAATTACATCAGTCATTTAAGTTAAGGCACATCTGGATGTTTTCATCCACATCAACTGTGTTTTTATTTTAAAAGGGGGGGAAGGGACATAAAATACTGTTAAGATTCTAGATCAAATATCCCTATAAGACAGAGTCTTGTCCCGCTAAACATACACTTGTCAAATAGAATACATTAGATTATAATCTTTCAAACTGAAAACTCATGTAAATTAAATGTCCAAATATTTGTGAAGTGTTTAGAGAAATAAACTTACTTCAACCGTGTCTTCTCTAGACATTTGAAGGAAAATTCAAATGGATCATTCTTTTAGGGATTGTGCGCACACACGCGCGCGCGTGTTAAACCAATGGAATCCTACTACATAAATTACAACTAACATTTTTCTAACACCGTATTTTAAAAGTTCACCCTACTTGACGAAAGGTATTTTCTATCCTACCAACACACCATTAGAACTGATGGAACAGACTACGTTGAATGAAATCCAAGAAACCGCTACTAGGAAGTTGCTTATTAGAAAGTCAAGAGTCGTCCAACTGCAGAGAACAGCCATGGAGTCTGGGTTCTGGAGTGGGTGCTACTCCAGTCCCCCATACTGCAGCTTCATCACCAAACCATTCTCAGCAGCTTCGTGAATTTATCCATGTTTTTTTCCTGCCACAATATGCCTCTGCCCAACATCCTTTCTCTTTCTCATAAAAACTCAAGTGCCAGCAACTTCTATCTAAATGGAATTTCACAGTAAGATACCCTTTGAAGGACCCGCAGGTCTTTCACTGCGTATTACGTTAACAATACACAGACACGGGTAAGAGCAGGTAGGTCCTGAAAACAACAGGATTAAAATGATCAGCCAAGATGAAACAGGTAAAAAGCATGGCCTTCAGATCACTCCTTTAACTCCCCATTGCTAATCATAAGGAAGACGGGACGTCCCGTATGTGTCCAAGGGGGCTGGTAAGATTGCTTCCAATCATTTCAAGAAGTTAAAATAAAGGCCTGCATGTCAACCAGGGTAATGCCAGGTAAATGGAGCTGTAACTACTTAATATACACAAAGTCATCTTTCAGTAAAAGGTTGCCTTAAAATTACTTTCCAAATTGAGTTTATAAAATTTGCTGAGTAAAAAATATAATCAATGGCAAAAAGGACGTTTGTCAGAAAACCATTAATTTATAACTAATAGGTACAAAATCTAGAAGTGGGGAAAAATTCTGTGATTACAGCTCCTACATACTGAACCACTTAAACTCCTAGACCCTTGCTGACATTAATAGTACTTTATGTTACTTCTCATACCTTTTTCTGCTTCTAAATAGTCCCCATATTCACTCAACCTAGGGGAACGGTTCTCAGTGCAGGGGACATTTGGCAACATTTCTGATCATCACAAGATCATGGGGACAGAGTTGCTAAGTGTCCCATGGGACATCACAAGGCCACCCTCCAACAAAAACTTCTCCAGCCCAGACTGTCAGGACAAGATATTCTACCGTATTAACACAGTCTGTCAGCCAGTTCCCAGACAACAGCATTCTTTTGTTTCCCTCTTTTGAATTTCTTTGGGCTATGTAATTAACAAAAATCTACCTCACTTAAGTCGAAGACAGTTACATTTATTACTCAATTATGGGAAAATCACGCCTCTGTACACTATCCGCAGCATGCTATAAACTGAGTATTTTTCTTTGCAACTCTTGATTTTGGTGGAGTTACACAGATAAATTTGCCAAATCTTCTAGACCTGCCCACTTAAAATAGCTGCATTTACTAAATGCAAATTATACTTCAGTGAGGCTGATTTTTAAAATGTCTATGAGGCCAAACTAAAGCATTTCAAAGGTTCGATTACAAGGAATATGAACGTCACAGGATAAAGAACACATCTGCAAATGATTCCACATACCGTGAGTTCCAGGTTTTGCTGGAGTTGAGGATGAACTAAGTAGTGGATCTAAGGAAGGATCCAAGAAATTTGTGTTCATGTTTGTTTTATATGAAAGTTGAGCCATATCTTCGGATAGATTATCTAAACTTAGCTTGTTTTGTCTACTTGTATCTAGAAGATCTTTTCCAAAGAAAGCTTCCTAGATAAAGATAAGCACATATGAAAATGATTTAGTTATAAAATTCTAAGTTAACAGGTAATTCTGTTTTTGACAAGAAGGCAGAAATAACACCAAAACTTGGTATTCAAGAATACAGAAACTGAACAGAGAAATATATGAATATAGAAATAACCTGTCAATTCTTTTATATAGATTTCCCCTCTTTATAAACAATTTTTTGTAGGTTTACTAGAGATAAAATTATGCACATAAAACCACACAAGTGTGTCGAATGTTTCTAGGAGATGCAATATAATAATCCAATAATTCCAAGAGATTGGGCTATAATTTAAAAATTGATAAATTTATAATACTATTGGCACCTTAATTCATAAGAAAAACTAAAGCTTCTTGAATATTATTTAATATTTATAGATTACTTGCAGAAAATAGCACAAGGCTTTGATCTATAGCTTTAATATTTACATACTTCAGGTAGATTTAGTAACCTCATATTGACTCACATAACCACATTAAGGACTTAACATGTTATAAATCTTAAAGAGGGTTTTTACACTCATGTGAAACATACTATGTGCACAAAATTTACTGCTATTAAAGGCTTTTGGCTTTTTATTCACTTACTCATATTAACATTTCTCCATTTCAATATACTTTCACTACCCTAGAGACTAGTGTTTCAAGCTGTGTTCCTTACAACACAAGGACCTCTCCAAAACTTCTCAAGGATCAATAAAGAGGACAAAAGGAAGCCCTTGGAACCCCACCCACACACACTTCACTTCAACCCAACAATTCTGCTTTAGTCTATTTTCTGTAAGGTGGTCTGTGTGGAAAGGGGATCCTTTCTAGAGGCCCATTTTGTAGAAGCTCAACATTTAATACACACTTGCCAAAGATACACAGAAAAGGCTCACTGTAGCATTACTTATAATACTACAGGAGAAAACAGCTTCAATTTGTCAAAAGGCACAGGGCCAAATAAATTACAGACACACAAACTATAAAACACATCAACATTTTAAAAGGACACAGAGCTATGCTATCAAAAAAAGCTCTGAAATACAGTATTAAAAGGAAACAAATTGAGTGATATGTCCAACAAAATATAAAATACAAACCAAGAATACTTTCACTCACAATTTAATAATAAATTATTTAGGAAGTTCTGAAAGAATAAACAACAAACTGTTAACAATGCTAACTTCTGAAAAAGGTATGGGGAAGGAGCTATATGTGAAATCTGGTCAAGGTGATGATATATTTGAAATTTTCACTTTTTTTTTTAAAAGAACAAGCTGTTTCAGTATAAAAAGAAATTTGAGGGGTGCCTGGGGGGCTCAGTCGGTTAAACGTCCGACTTCAGGTGAGGTTATAGTCTCATGGTTCGTGAGTTTCAGCCCCGCATTGGGCTCTGTGCTGAGAGCTTAGAGCCTGAAGCCTGTTTCAGATTCCGTGTCTCCCTCCATCTCTTCTCTCTCTCTGGCCCTCCCTCGCTCAGCCTCTCTCTTAAAAATAAAGATTAAAAAAAATTTTTTTTAATTCTGAAAATAAGCATGGTTTGTTTCTTACACGAGTGATACTTTTATCATTAGGAAAAATGTTGAAGAGTAGAGCATCTTAAAATTTAGAAATCATTTATTTCATGCCTTTGGTATAACATCTGAGATCATGATTAGCAAGAATTTTTTTTAATGACTCATGAAGATTTCAGTGCTATTTATCAAAAACTGTAATATTCTTATTATTTTGATGGTTTTTTATTAACTTTATATAAAGAATGGCTCCACATGGTTTCTAACTTGATAATGTGACTCCAAGAACCAAATGGAGATTTTAAATCTACTACGGGCGCTCCTAAGGTCACAGGAACAGCACTAGGAGACCACATAAATATTTCTCTACTCTGTCTTGACACTGTTATGATTAATAAAGAAAAACTGGAAAAGTGGCTACCGAATCCCTGTGGCCTTCATCACCATGTGCTTCCCCAGTCAGTGGGGGAAGCCAGAGCTGCTGCCACAAAATGTCCAAGAAACAGCATCATTACAGTGGCTTCCTCCATATCGCTTCCCACCCCCCCAAAAAACCCCAAAACCCAGTTAGGTACTGCCGATGCACATCAGAGGAAACAATCCGGCTCACAAGATGAAGATTACAGCAGTTAATCAGGCAACCAGACCCACTGCTTGTAAAGGCTCTTTCCCACTGTATGAAGTTTTCCTATGTTTTCCACCGTATGGTCAGTTTCCTATTTTCATACACCAGGTAAAGAAGGCTTCCTAGATACAGATTACACTTTACAGAAGAATTGGTAAGAGGAGGGAGGGGTGGAGAAACATGCTATCTACTCGATGTTCTCAACAAAGGATTATTAAAAGGGAGTGGGAAGGGACTGGGAGACAGCAAAAAGAATGCCATTAAAGATAATCTAAACAATAAAGGTGGGGAGTATTTTCTGACCAATAAAATTACTATCGTGTGCTTAAAAAAAGTTACAGTTAGGTATTTGAAGAGAATATGGGAAAAACAAACATGTATTAAAGACTAACAACACGTGTGGCACAAGTACTTTCCACAGAGAATTCTTAATCAGTCTCTCAGCATTTCTGGGCACACAGGCATTGACCAGAATGAGATCACAGAGCTAACCAGCAGCAGAGCACTATTCAAACCCAGGACTCCAACCTTAAAGGCTCAACTCTAAAATGGACACTGCCCCGGGGGTGCCTGGGTGGCTCGGTCGGTTATGCATCTGATTTAGGCTCAGGTCATGATCTCACAGTTCATGAGTTCCAGTCCTCCAATGGGCTCTCTGCTGTCAGTGGAGAGCCCTTTTAGGAGATCTTCTGGCCCCACCGCCCCCACTCCCAACCCCGCACTCACTCTCGCTTGTGCTCTCTCTCTCTCTTGTGCTCTCTCTCTCTCTCTCTCTCTCAAATGGACACTGTCCCTGTAGATTAGTTGTCTAATAAACACTTACACTCATATATTATATCATACACTATATACTATGCTTACAAGTTTATTAAACTCAAAAGACTTTCTATTCAAATGAGTATGTGATTTTTACACTTCTCATTAAAAAAATAAAACTGAAAAAACTGGGTATTAGTGGAGATGAAATGTACTTTTAAAACCAGCTAAACTGTTAAGAGCCAAGTGGAAAATTAAGGTAAGAAACTAAATTCAATTCAAGCCATAACGAGGTTATTTATGTAGCCCATTACTGTGTGGGAGGAACAGATCAGAGGAACACTCACACACACAGGGACATTAGGACGGACCCTCAAGGACCATCTTCTGTGCCAATCCTACTCTCACACCTGAGGACAGAGAGGCCCACGAGGGAGGAGTCCCTGTTCAGGAACCGCTATCTGCCAGAGGCAGAGCTGCATGGTGAACTCAGTCCTGTCTCTAACACAGGGAGGGCCCTTTCCAGAAAATCTCATGGCCTGGAGCTCTTCTGTGACTTGACGCTTACACAATAAACTAGACAGGTTTGTGTTTTCATGGAGCCTACACCTAGCAAAGAATGTCTTCACATGAGGGATGTTTCTCTGATGTACATTTCAGAAAACAAAACAAAACAAAATTCTACTTAATACTTTGGATCACTGACCTCTGAAAGTGGTAAACAATTATTAAAAGCTCTAACTGTGGCTACTAAAATCCCACCTTGATTCATTCAGTGTAATTACTCTAACCCGTACTGGCCAAGGGAACTGTCCAGAGGACGTGGGTTTGGGGAGAACACATGTGCCACTGGTTTGGAAGAATGAGCTCTCCCCCACTTCAAAGTGTCCTTGTATGTCTTATGAAACACTTAGAAGTGAAAACCTGGGATAAAAACTTTGAAAGTATCATAAGCTTTGATACTTTATGAAAAGTATCAAAGCACAAAAAAGTAAATGTTAATTTCTATGGGCTTCTGAAAGGTAAACTGGCGTTTAAAATCAATAATTAAGAACAAAACGAGTAAAACAGTAACAAAAATAATAAAACTATTTTTCAAAACTCAATACATTACATTTCTTTTGTTAATAAACTACATAATATAATGTAAAGCAAAATATTACTTGTAAATAGGCAGGGAAGGTTTCTTCAAGCTTATTTTTCCTTTTTCGGTATCTCTTCTTTATTTTTTCAGTGTTTTCAGTAACAGAAACAGCTTCATCAACTAGTGTATCTGGTAAATGCTCACTCCAGCCTGAAACAACAGTCACATTTATAAACATGCGGGATTCAAGTTTTTCAGACAGATGCACCCAAAGTAACTTTACAGCTAACCATCATCTACACAGATCCATATAAACCAACAAGCTTCTTTTTTCTCTCCAGTTTTATTGAGATGTGATTGACATACAATACTGTGGAAGTTTAATGTGTACAGCATGACTTGACAAACAGGCTCTTTCACAAAAAGATGTCAAAGCAAGTTTATTAGTAACATTTGGGCATCATAAAAAATTCATTGCACGTCTATTTAGTATCAGTATATGTTTATTTTTGTCTCTCGAGTATTTCCTTACTTGCAGAGCAGCAAATTATTTCCTTTACCATCGACAGTCTGTTAAAAACTAAAATAATGAAAGCACCAATGCTTAGGAGTATGGGGAAATGGTATGCACATGCTACTAAAGGCAACTTAGCAGGGACAGCCTCTCTGTAGAGCTTACTGGGCAGATCCAACAAAAGTCTTTTTGAAAATGTGTGTTCTTCAATCCAGCAATTCCAAGTTCAGGGATTTATTGCAAACTGAGTTTTTGTAGTATATGTTATAATAATATACCACCACTACACACACGCCCATAAATATGCTATGAATGTTCAGTCTTCAATCAGAGAAATGGAACTAAAACAAAATTTTGATCTATGAAATTAGCAAAGAAGAAAGTACACGACTTAAAGCAGTTAAGAGAGCAGTCAGGTGACACCCTCACAGTCCCACGACAAACAGCACATCCCTTCTAAGTACCAGTGTGGGCACTTCTATTGTCAGAGTACGTAGGGGGACTGACTTCCGAAAACAACTACAAATGATGGGTAAAAAAATTTTCGAACAATCTTTTTAAATGTACCAGTAATCTACCAGAAAATAAAGAATCCTCAAAGACTAAAAATTAAGGTGAAACAGGAACTACAGAAAGAAAGAAGCAAAGAACTAGGTAAAGCTTTCTGAGATTCTGCTAACATGCAGTGACCTCGAGCTCTGGTTTTCAGATCCTCCTGAGGAATGGGGGACTAGAAGACAATGTTCAAGGCCTTACTCCCTCCCTCAAGGGCAAGGTGATTAACTACAGGTTAATTATAAGGTAAGAACCTGAAGGACTCCATGCTCAAGAAAGACATCCTCCCAATCCCCTCCTCCCCAACACAGCACTCTGCTCCCCCCCCCCCCCCCCCCAACAGCCAAGCCAACTGCCTGTCACCTTGTCATGGAATTTGGTGCTGGGCAGAAAGACAAAAAGGGAAAATCTTCCTGGAGAGTTCATAAATTCAATATAACCCGAATGCGTAAGAAATCTGAATTTATAGGACACAGGTGGACCAAAAACCTTCAAGGTAAGAATTTAAGCTCAACTCTTTAGCTAAAGAAGTACTGGGGTGGCAGCACATCACGATCCTGGTGACGAAAGATGCAGACATGCTGCAAGAAGCTGCCTGCAATTCAGTCCTCCAAGTTCACAGAATGTTCTAAAGAATATGAACCCACAGTAAAAATAAATAAACAAACAGTAATCTATGGCATGTATGCACGTATCTACGTCACAGGGTAAACAGTGGAATGAGGCACAAGGAAGAAGGGCAGGAGAGACGCCCCTAGAATCACACGTGCGCACGGCGTTAATACTCAGGCTCCACGTCACTCAGGCACGTAAGGAAGTAACAGAGGACGGACTAGGAGTGCGCTATACAGAGACGCCAGAAAGCGCTAAGACCCTGAAAAGCCAATTCAGAAAGGGAAACAAGGGGTTATAAAATAAAAACTCAATGAACCGCTCTGGGTACCACACGTGAAGGGATAAAACACTAACCTAAAAGACCTGAAATTAGATGGCAGAAGAGAGCTGGAAAACACAAAACCAGGCTCACTGAACAGGTCACATTTCTGTGGGCTTGTGATAGTCATGTTATAGTCATATTGTTAGAGTCATATTAGGAACCCCTTTAAAACCGTCTGGTGTTTCCTTTTAAGATCGCAATTTGTAATTTTCGTTAATTCACAGGTCAAAACCCCACCTCATAATAATGGAAGAACTCCAATCAGAGCACATGCTGAAACATCTCTTTTGTTCACATCCTACAGAAAACATTTAAAATACATAAAGCACACAGGCTGTGGCCATGCCGACAGTGTTCCTCAGAACCAATTCTCAAGCTGTAACTTAATGATTTAGCATTCTTTGAAGATCTAAGTGAAGATGACAGAATATTAATTGGAAGACATATTTCTAAAACATTATACAGTTTGGTTAAAAACCGTTGGAGTACCGTGTCACTTTCAACAAAATAAAGTTTCCAATTTTATACCAAGTAGCGAAGAGAGGTGAAGAAAAGGCCTTTTGTGAGATGATCAGGAAACCCCTGGTTTAACTAAGTGATTCAGTCCCTAAACTGTTTATATTTAACTCAAGGAAAAAAACCTTGTTTATTAGAAAATCTCAGAGGAATATACTCTATTGGATTTAAATCTTTTTCTTTATCAAACCACATTTCTGTGTTACAGGCATGAGCTCCCCAGGCACTCCCAACTATGGATCAATAAGAAGCAATATGGTTGTGACTGCTTTTCCACAGGATGGTTCTTTTTCATAGAGAGAGCAAGAAAAGGGAGTTAAATCAAACAAAATCAGGACCATACCATCATCTCTGTTAGGTAACTGCTCAGATATAGAGCCTGAGGAATCTTTCCTGATGACAGATCTTTTCGTTTTTCCTTGCCCAGTTCGACTTCTTTGCCGTACCATAAATCCACCAATACCTAGCCAAAAAAGAAATTGGGAAACCTTGTAAATAACTGATTTCTCTCTGTATTTTCACAGTGAGGTGAGTGATACTGCTTAAATGATGAGGCATTTCACAAATATTGGCTAATTTAAATAAACTTTTCTTACACAAGTGTTTGAAATAAGCAAATTACAATAAGCTACTACTGTTACCTTATCACTAACCAAACAAGTATAAAAATAACATTATTAGAGTACAGAAAGACTGCATGCATTTCTTCTTCTAAACAGCGTCAGAGTAAATGTTACAGTAAATTATACTTGTTTAGCAAATATTAGTAACTCAAATATCATCATTCAAATTATTAGTACATTTGCTAGGGAGAATGGATACAAGATATAAACAAAACTAGATGATCCAAACAAAATCAGGGTGACTTCAGGGGGTAATGTGTCTAGTTAAGGCCCATGGACATGAGACACATACAGCTCTAGAGTTATAAGCACAAACTCTAATTCTGGTTACTCTGACTTTGGGAAAGTTACCTAACTTTTAAGTGTTTCCAGTTCCCTCAGTGGTAAAACAGGGATGGCGTCTAGCACCTCCTCATACGTCTATTATAAGGATTAAATAACGTGACAGAGATAAAGCCCACAGACTAGAGCCTGACACACAGTCAAAAGTAAGGCTATCCCACTTTGTGATCTAATGGGTCCCTCAGTCACAGGGATGACCTTCATGAAAGGCAGTCAGAGAAAAAAATAATCAATTTAAGCTCCTAGGAGGAGTTTTTAGTGTCTTAAAAAGTACGTGTAGTAATTAGCCTCCTACTAGGGAAAAATGAAATGGTTTTCATGCAGTGACTTGGACGAAGCTAATTTACGTCCTTATTTTAGATGTGACCCATCATCTATAAGGAAGGTTACCTTCTTAAGGTCTTGCAAAATACATATGACAGTGAGACAGTTTTTCCTTGCACATCAAAAGGTATTTAGAACACTCATCAATAAAATATAAGCAGTTAGAAGATTAAAGACTGAATTGATTCCACTTACTGTCTCATTGATTGGTAAATAGACATTAATAAAGTGTCTAAAGAAAGCCCACAAGTTCTGCATTGTAACCGTTTCAGTAATTTTTTCCAATAAGGCAAATAAAATTTTATAAGCAAGAGAGCCTTTCCTTCCACCTCTGAGGCAGGGAGGAAATCAGACAGAATGTAATCAGTCCTTTATCAACTGGTCTATAAATTTAGGAAGCCTAAGAACTCTCATCTCGCCCTCACATTGTACACTTACTGGTTCCTACACAAACACTGAAATAAGTTTTAAAAACGTAAATAGTATGTATGAATGCTGAAAATTAAGAGAATTACGCAAGTACACATCAGAGAAAAAATATACAAATGGTTTTAAAGGTCCAAGTATAAATAAATAGGATGACATTGGGATAAGGAATTAAAATAATAATTTTTCGTGACGTAGTCACATACTCGACCTAAGGAATTTGCCACCTAAAATGTATATTCAAACAGTTCAGTTCAATGGAGTTTTTGTATGGAGAGTTAAGGAGCTGTATTTCATCTTGTTCATTTAATTATAACTGGAGCCCTCAATACTGTATTTTTTCTTAAATTAACAAAGTGTTGATTACATGAAAACGCCTAGATGATACCTGGTCTGTATGGTTTCCTTTTTCTCTTTTTTACACCATCTGCTCCTTCCGTCCCCTTCGTTTCCTCATCCACGGCTTCCCGCTCAGGACTAGATTCTGATTTCCCATCACAGTCCACAAGTTCTCCTTCTGGACAAAAGACAAATATACAGATCCATTTGGAAAAAATCTATCAAATACATAATTCCAGTGTAATAGGAAATAGAAGGCGAAGGGGCCGCTGAGCGGTTCTAACTGTGCATCCAGTAAAAAAAATGTACAAAACCATGGAAGAGGCCCCAAATGCTTGTAGTGCTCACGCTGCTTAATGCGGTTTTCAGGAAATGAAACAGAAGCTTCAGGGAAGGGGAAGCACAGAGAATGCTCCAAAAGACAAAAGTCAGTTTGCACTTAAGAAAATCTTCCCTTTGCTTTCAATTCCATCTTCAGGCTCAGGACCCCAAGACTGTCTCTGTAGCCTAGAACTCTCTTCTGAGCTCCAACTACAGCTGTAATGGAGTAACACCTATTTACCAAAAACTCTCCATCCAACACTGATGACAGGGGAGAGAGGGACACTTCTCACTACTTATCCTTAATTCTTTTTCAGTTTTTAACCACGTGACTGTATCAGTTTTCCACAAATAAATTTTTTTTTTAAATATTTTTATTTATTTCTAGGAGAGAGACAGCGTGAGCAGGAGAGGGTCAGAGAGAGAGGGAGACACAGACTCTAAAATAGGCTCCAGGCTCTTAGCTGGCAGTCAGCACAGAGCCCGACGCGGGGCTCGAACCCACGAACCGTGAGATCATGACCTAAGCGAAAGTCGGACGCTTAACCGACTAAGCCACCCAGGCGCCCCATTAAATTTTTAAAAGTTAAGAGAATTAGTGGCAACATTACAGGCAGTAATAACGTATCCACCTGCTGCCTCTCTCCACCCGCCCCCCCTACCCCCACATCTTACTACCATTTCCAGCTCCACTCTACCCCTACCCCTTGCCTGCTGGATCCTAAACTCAACCTGAGGCCCACACCTGCAGACATCCATCCCCTCACACTGGACTATACTGGGGCATCGTGTTCCCACTGTAGAGACACAACATAGTGTTTCGGTTTTCTTTGGATTTCGGTGTATGTGTGTGTGCGTGCGTGTGCGTGGGCACACAATAACAAGGTTTCCAGATCCTAGTAAGTGAATTAGAAAAAGGTTTGCCTCTGTTGCACAAGGAATTTGTTTCTGATGTGCTAAGATGACTGCTCATGACTTATTTTCCTGAGGAGCCAACAGCTGACAAAAGCTACGAGAAGGCGCTGTGACGTGTGACAACGTTCCAGGAGGGTCACGGGAGGTGTGTGGACTCTGTGGGCTCCTGTGGACCTAGGATGTACATCCATGTGATCTCAGGTAGAACATCACTTTCAAGTGACCCAATCTGGAAGCCACAACCTGAAGCCACACCCATCATTTCCCTGAACGCTGCCCTACACAACAGGAGTGGAAGGGAAAACCTTCTCAGGCGTTTTTCTTGTGGTTCTGCCACATTTTTAAAGGTTTTACAATCTCCTACTCCGGGAACTAACGTATACTCTCAAGATATCTTTTCAAATTCTATGAAATGTAGCATTTCCCAGATTTAAGTAACTATGGAACCATTTTTCAGATTTTCCACTGTCCTTAGAAACTAGATTTCTTGGGGCGCCTGGGTGGCTTAGTCGGTTAAGCGTCTGACTTTCGCTTGGGTCATGATCTCGCGGTTCGTGGGTTCGAGCCCCGCGTCGGGCTCTGTGCTGACTGCCAGCTCGGAGCCTGGAGCCTGTTTCAGTCTGTGACTCCCTCTCTCTCTGACCCTCCCCTGCTCACGCTGTCTCTCTCTCCCAGAAATAAATAAAACATTAAAAAAAAATTAAAAAAAAAAAAAAAAGAAAAGAAACTAGATTTCTTCACTGCATGCTGGTAGATGGTAATCTGAATAATTCCTTCAGGATATATAGACTATTGCTTCACAAGCCCCAAAACTGTAAAATCAAATTTTCTGATTAACAGAATTTGAACATCAGTTATACAGAAGCATCAGGAAGTTTTTTCCCCCAACCACACACACCCTACTGCACAGAAAATGTGAGGGCTAACTGATAAAAGACACACGGATACTAAGCCACAATTCTCTCTCACCTGCACAAATTCGGCACCTTCCTAACTGATGTAGGCACCACAGCTCTTGGGCCTAAGAGTCTATTCACATTACAACTGGGTGTTCCATTTAAAATATGAGTAAGATTAAACCAAGATTCTCTCAGAAACCTCCAATTACACAAATTCCTTGAACACTGCCTTATGATCCTGTGTGACCTATGCAGTCTTGCTTCCTCTCTCCTTTATGACTTTTTTTTTTAATTTAAATTGAAGTTAGTTTACAGTGTAGTATTGGATTCGAGTAGAACCCAGTGATTGATCACTACATAAAACACCCAGTGCTCATCCCAAAAGTGCCCTCCTTATTATGTGTCACCCATTTAACTCGCCTTCCACACACCTCTCTTCCATCAACTCTCAGTTTGTTCTCTGTGGTTAAGTGTCTCCTATGGTTTGCCTCCGTTTTTATCTTCTTTTTCCTTCCCTTCCCGTGTTCATGTTGTTTCTTAAAGTCCACATGAGTGAAATCATATGTCTTTCTCTGACTTATTTCACATAACATTATACACTCTACTTCCATCCACATTGTTGCAAAGGCAAGATTTCATTCTGTTTCATCAAGTGGTATTCCATCGTATATATACCACATCATCTTTATCCATTCATCAGTTGATGGACATTTGGGCTCTTTCCATACTTTGGCTATTGTTGATAGCACTATTATAAACATTGGGGTACATGTGTCTCTTCACATCAGCATTTTTGTATCCTTTAGATAAATACCTAATAGTGCAATGGCCGGGTCACAGGGTAGTTCTACTTTTAACTTTCTAAGGACTCTCCACACTGTTTCCCAGAGCGGCCGCACCAGTGTGCATTCCCACCTGCAGTGCAAGAGATCCTTTCTCCACATCCTCGGCAGCGTCTGTTGTGTCCTGAGTTCTTCATGTCGGCCCTTCTGACAGGTGTTAGGTGGTATCTCAATGTGATTCTGATTTGTTTCTCTGATGAGTGATGTTGAGTATCTTTTTCATGTGTCTGTTGGCCATCTGGATGTCTTTTCTTGAAAAGTGTCTATTCTTGTCTTCTGCCCATTTCTTCACTGGATTCTTTGATTTTTCAGTGTTGAGTTTGTTAAGTTCTTTATAGATTTTTGGATACTGACCCTTTATCTGATATGTCATTTGCAATTACCTTCTCTCATTCTGTGAGTTGCCTTTTAATTTTACTGATTATTTCCTCGGCCATGCAGAAGCTTTTTATCTTGATGAAATCCCAATAGTTCATTGCTTTTGTTTCCCTTACCTCCAGTGATGGGTCAAGTAAGAAGTTGCTGTGGCCAATGTCAAAGAGGCTACTGCCTATTTTCTCCTCTAGGATTTTCATGGCTTCCTGTCTCACATTAGGTCTTTCATCCATTTTGCATTTATTTTTGTGTATGGTGTAAGAAAGTGGTTCAGGTTCATTCTTTTGCATGTCACTGTCCAGTTTCCATTTCTGGGTTCTCTATTCTGTTGCATTGGTCTATGTGCCTGTTTTGTGCCAATGCCATAAACGGTCTCGGTGATTATAGATTTGTAATATAACTAGAATTCTGATGTCACCACCTCCTACTATCGCCTTTCTGCACTACTGGACACACTAGTCTTCATGACATTCCTCAAACTAGGAATGCTAGGCACACTCCTACCCTCGGCCTGTGCAATAGCTTTCTAGCTATTTGGGATGCTCTTCCCTCAGGTAATCAAGTGGCTCACTCACCTCTTTAAAGTCTGTCCTCAAATACTGCTTTCAGTGCCCGTGATGCCTCACACAGCCATATGCACTACCGATTCTTCTTATTCCACTGCTAGCTTTCTACAGTACTCGCCAAACACATTATAATAACTCGTTTATTAGGAGATACACACATACATATGCACTTATTTATTTTGTAAGTAGGCTCCACACCCGTCAGAGCCCAACGCAGGGCTTGAACCAATCCAAGGATCAAGACCCGAGCTGAGGGGTGCCTGGGTGGCTTGGTCAGTTCAGCATCTGACTTTGGCTCAGATCATGATCTTGTGGTTAGTGAGGTTTAGCCCAACACCAGGCTCTATGCTGACAGCTCAGAGCCTGGAGCCTGCTTGGGATTGGGTGTCTCCTTCTCTCTCTCTGCCCCTCTCCCCTCTCTCTCTCTCTCTCAAAAATAAACATTAAAATAAATTTTAAAAAAACCTAAGCTGAGATCAAGAGTCAGAAACTTAACTGACTGAGCCACCCAGGTGCCCCTATGTTACATATGCTAAAATAATCATTTCTCCTAATATTAAAAAGTGAGTTTCAGGAGTGGAGAATTCCAATTGCTTTGTACACTGACATGACTTCCAACATCCAGCACAGAGTAGGCATTCAGAAAATACTGTTGCATATAACACGGTATGATGGAAGAAAAGTAATTATTACTTTATCTCTCAGCTGAAAAGAAATAAGCAATCAAAACAGAAACAAGCCTGTGGTGATTTTCTTCAGAGATCAGCAAAAATATAACTCCTATTGAATTTCACACTACTAAAGTTATTTTGTCATCTCAAGGATTCTGCTAGAAAATCCTTGATATCTAATGGGATAAAAAAACATTCATACACAGAGAAGTTTATGATCAATGTCTGTGAACATAAATTTACACTTGAACAGTAATAATGGTTTTTCCACGTAGAAACACACAGATCAAGTTCTACTTTAACTCAGCCATGGTATCTGAGCTCACAGCATCTGAGGCTCAAGCTGCTACCTCGCAAACCAAAGTCATGCCCTCTGAATTTTCCCATGCGTGATCCTCAGAGATACGGTGTTCTGGTAGATTTCTATAACGTAAGACAGTCTGCCCTAAAGGACATGTGAAAGGAAGAGAATCTGAAAAGCCCTAGAAAAGAGCTCACTTAGAAAGACCAAGGATCACAGGAAACGTTACCTAAGTCAGTAGAATTTACCCTAAGATAAAACATATGTATTTTAAAAGATATTTTATGTACTTTACTTCTTGTGAACATAGTCAAGGGAAAATAAATTAGTTATTACCTCGACTGTCATCCATTTCTCCATCCCTTGAGTGCTCTGATTGGATGTCTGGAGGGGTCTGAAGGACAGCCACGCTATTCTGATTTATAATCTTCAACTTCAACTTTGGTTTGGACCGTTTTCTTCGGGGGACTGTAACTGTGAGGCTCTGTAACTGCGTCATCCCTGATTCAGTCAGACACACACCATCCTGGGTGTATGTCTTGGGTGGATCTAAAATTACAATATCCCATGGACACAAGTTAAAACTCTCACGTTAGTTTTTACTGGTGAGTTGATTACTGTACCAGAACACTCATGTGAAGGGGATGTGACTACTATAAAGCAATTATCTATGAAATGCGCAAATAATAATTAACAGTACTCAATTAAAACCAAAAATAATTGGTTGGACTTCTTTGGATTTTAAGCAGAGAGGTTACAAGTTTTTAAAAAAAAAAAAAATCTTCCTGGCATTTTTTCTCATTTATCAAAATAAGGACTTAGAAAGAAAGCACTGAATCTGTAAACAATCCTGCAGCTTTTCAATGATGACCCTTTTCCTGGAATATCTTTTCAGACTACAAGATGAGGCTCAGTTTACTTAAGAGAAACAACAACACTAGGGAAGCCCATGTAGAAAGCCAAGTATCAATAATAATCACTGACAGGGAGAGGCAGTAAGTAGTAGGCATCCTGCACAGTTTTTAATGTACCAAATCGCTACTCATCACAACAATTTCTATACTATTCAAATGTTTTAGTATCTGATATCAAATAGTATTAGAAAAAAGAACAATAGTTTAAAACTATTCTATTAGATCCCTCTCTAGCTGATCCATTACAGAAAAAAATAAGAGACTGAATTAATTCTAAAAGCAAAAAACCCCGTCTGCTACCTAGAACTTACTTTCTCCTAATTCATTACTAGGCACAGTAATAGATGAATGAAAGCAAGGCAAGTACGGAGCTGGTGATCACTGTAAGAGTGGTCACTTCACTGCCCCTTGGCTGAGATTCAGAAACAGCATCATACGTAAGCTGGAGGAGACGAACACTTTATATGTATCAATTATAGGAATGAAGCACAACATGAGGGCATTCGGTTTGAACACTCCTATGGTAAAGGCACGGAACATGTGGCAAGGCGGTGACATAAATAAGGAAGCATTTACATGCTTTGTGCAGAGGACAATCATGCGTGGCATTTCAGACTTTACCTAGCTCTTTCACTTTTGTGACGATCTGTGCTACCAGTGAGGATTCGCAGCAGTCTGAGGAAGGCACTGAAAGGAAAAAAACAATTTGCGTCATTTCTTTAGGAAAAGTAGAGTATATTTAAAGACTTACATATAATTAAATTTTCTATTCCTTTACCCATTTTACTGAATAAATACTTAAACACTAAACAGAATTAAAGGCTGTCTCTAAAAACAAGGAAAAGTAGTAAAGGAAACACACACCATGGAGGGAAAAATGGCCAAGACAAGAAGCAACACACTGGATTTCTACACATCGCTCCTAACTACACAAATAACTGTTTCACAAAAAGAAGAAAAAGAAAGTTAAGGACAGCAAGGCGCCAGTGCGTTGTAGGAGCAGAGAGCCACTGTTCACGCTGTGCTCTTACCATTTGACGTAGGCATATAGGGTCTGCACAGGCTACAATCAAAACCAATGTCGGCGACATTTTCCACTTCCTCCTCAGAATTTAAGTTCTGACAAACTGCATGCATCCATCTAAAAATAAAAAGACCATATTTGTACATATTAAGAAAGGAAGGAAGGAAGGAAGGAAGGAATGAAGGAAGGAAGGAAGGAAGGAAGGAAGAAAAGCGAAAGAAAGAAAAGTGGAAGAAAGAAAAGAAGCGAAAGAAAGAGAAAGAAATACACAGAAAATGGCATCCTTTTAAAAACAACCTCAGGAGGGGCGCCTGGGTGGCTTAGTCGGTTAAGCGTCCGACTTTCGCTTAGGTCATGATCTCGCGGTTCGTGGGTTCGAGCCCCGCGTCGGGCTCTGTGCTGACTGCCAGCTCAGAGCCTGGAGCCTGTTTCACAGTCTGTGTCTCCCTCTCTCTCTGACCCTCCCCTGCTCATACTGTCTCTCTCTCCTAGAAATAAATAAAAATATTGAAAAAAAAAAAAGAAAACAACCACAGGAGGGGACAGCTGCCACATTTAAAACCCTAAGCCTCACGTGCTGCTCCCACCCTGCCCATGTGGCCCTATCTCCTAACCATGTCCACAGACCCACACAGAGGTCTAGAGCTGAGAATAAGGAAAAGGAATGAGACCAAATACTGGGAAGGAAGCAAAAGCACAGTATATGAGGAAGATGGCATAACTGTTTCCTGATCATATACCAAAGAGAGCGGAGAGAGAAGGAACCTAGCCAGGGCAAGCATGAAGGAACTCAGAAGACTGCAGACGGTGTGGTGTGTGTCGGCTCCGTGCGACGCATCCCCTGTGGGTAGACACGGCTCCTGTGTTTGAGGCTGACTGTTAACTGGGAACAAAAGCAGTTATCTTGCCTTTGAATACAGAATTAGTGAGCAGAGTACTGAGAATCCTGTATTACTGATGAAATAATACTAATATTACATGTACAGTGCTTAACTATTAACAGAGCACAATAACATACCACTGAAACCAAAGAAAGCACTCTTGATTTTGAAGCTGTACACATACTACTTACAGAGGGTGGGAGCTGGTACCCAGTATCTAGACATTTACTATCTAGAGCTTTAAGGAAAAAAAAGAAGTAGTTTAAGGGAAATAAAATCTGTTAGCTCATTTGTAGAATCTAATAAAAGATTCAGAAACCCTCCACAGTAAAATGCATATATGCAGGCAATAATTCTGCATCTTACTTCAAGGGATTCATAAACCCTTAAAAGCTCTAAGTAAAAATCTTAGTCTGGAGTTGCGGATACAGAACAGGAAACTTCTGTAAGTTTCTAGCTGACAGAAAATCTGGAAAGCAAAAAACGGTCTTGGTTCTTAAATTTAAGACAGAAGAAAGTTGTTTTCTAATTTCCTTTTGCTACATTTAAAAGAGAAAAGCTTGTGAAAGATTTAAAAAAATGTAAAAAGCAGCAGGATACCTGTCACATTGTCTACACTGCAGAATAAGATCTTCTTCTCGATAGTTCCGACAGCAGATGGGGCAGGAAGACAGGCTTGCACAGGGAGCGCACTGTGTGTAGTTGTTCTGCCACTCACACCTCAGGCCTGCAGATGTCGCCCCACAGTGCCGGCACCAAACACACCTGCAACCCAGTACCCCCCGACAAGGCTCCAGTTTATTTACTTAGTTACTACCATTTAGGAGGGTATACAAATACGGAATAGGAGGAAATCATTTAATGCGTGTCTGAAAAGTTTTCTTAGTGGCATGGCATCTATCGTAATAAGCATGTATTATGCACTTAAGTGGATGTGGCTACTTTAAAAAAAACTGGTGTGAAACTGACAAATAGATCGAGAAGATGTGGTTTATCTATACAACGGAATCCTACATGGCAATGAGAAAGAATGAAAACTGGCCATATGTAGCAACGTGGATGGAACTTGTGGGTGTTATGCTGAGCGAACTAAGTCAGGCAGAGAAGGAGAGATATCATGTCTTCACTCATAAGTGAAACAGGAGAAACTTAACAAAGGAGGGGGAGGGGAAGGAAAAAAAAAATAGTTAGGGAGAGGAAGGAAGGGAGGCAAACCATGAGAGACTCTTGAATACTGAGAACAGACTGAGGGCTGATGGGCATGGAGGAGGGCACTTGTGAGGTGAGCACTGGGTGTTATATGGAAACCAGGTTGACAATAAACTCTGAAAAAAATACATATATAACATACATAAAAATTTTTAAAAATAAAAAACTGATGTGGAGACATTCTGCACTTGAAAGGCTGCAGAGGGAAAGGAAAACCCTAAAGTACCATTTGCACTTCCAGCCTCCTTTGGGCACTGTCTGCAGAGGAGGGTCGAGGCAGTAGGTATGGTAGCTTATGTCACAGTCATCACACAGCAGGAGTCTTCCAGGGTCAGTGGCCTTCCCACAGGCCTCACACACAGTGCACTCAAGGCACCTCCAACCTTTGCTAAGAACCACTTTCGTGATCTATAAAAGACACAATCAATTGCAGTGATTTACACATGGACATACACCTCATTTTGCACAATCATATACGCAAATTCATGAATATTGGTGCTTATGTCCCAAAAAACAAAGAGGCAAACAAGTAGCATGTGCAAGCACCAGCAGCGGCCTGGCCCCAGGGTGAGCACATCACGTGCTTTCCCAAGTCCACCTGCTAGACAGAACAACAGAAAGCAGTACATATTTTAATAACTTTTTTTAGACCACATAAATACCTGGTGCTGGGGATTTGATGTCCACCTTATACACATGGTGACTAGATGTTGAAGAAATCAAGTAACTTGCCCCTTAACTGTTAATATAGGTTTTGAAAACGTACTGGCATAGTTTCCATCTGTGGCATTTCATGAATCATACTTCCAAAACTTGTATACATTGCAAAAGGATTTGTATATTAAAAACAATATTTAGGGGAAACTGGGTGGCTCACTCGGTTAAGTGTACAACTCTTGATTTTGCCTCAGGTCATGACCTTACAGTTCGTGGGATTAAGTCCCATGCATTGGGCTCTGTGCTGAGCATGGAGCCTGCTTGGGATTCTGTCTCCCCCTCACTCTCTGGCTCTACCCTGACTTGCGTGCATGTGTGTGCGTACTCTCTCCCACTACCTCTCTCTCTCTCTCTCTCTCAAAATAAACAAACTTAAAACAAAAAAGTCAAGATTTAAAAACCTATTCTCCTCCGGCACAGGGCCTAAGTTAGCAGCAAAGTTTGAAAATCATGACCTGAAGTTGGACACTTAACCAACTGAGCCACCCAGGCACCCCTAAAATCTCCATACTTCTGATGAAAGCTCTCAAAAAACTACAATCTAAAGACAGGACCACAAAGTACTTGTGTTATAATGAAAATAGCAAGCAATCAAAATACAGAATAAAAATTCAGATCATTAGGAATAAGGAGGTCTGAAAGCTACCTGTATGGAAAATAAGAGCTAAGTAAAGAATAACTATCAAAATCGCATCAAATTGTCCAATTCTGGATGCTACAACAGAGTAATAGTTTCCAATTCTACAGAAATATAATTTTCAAGATACAATTCTCAACCAAGTAAACAAGCAATTAAGTGTGAAAGCAGAAAACGTTTCAGGGGTACAAAGACTCAAACTTCAGCTTCCAAATACCTCTTTGAACAGAGCTACTGAGAGAGATGAGGGACAAAATTAGGGTTACACCAAGAACAAGGAAGACATGGGATGCAGAAAACTGTGAACCCAACAAAGGACATCAATCAGTTCAGAGAACAGATGAGGAGAGAGAAAAGGGGAGTGCGGGTAAGGGCTATGACTTTTTTCCAGAAAAACAGTTACTTGCCAAAATAATTTGCCTTTACCTACTGTGGAAGCATGATCATAACTAACAACAAAAACTAATGCAGAATCATGAATTATTATTTTCTTCCTGCTATTAAAAACTCCATGAAAGACGAAGCTGTATTACACGTTTTCATGTTTTTACTTATTGTAGAGACAGAGTGTGAGCAGAAGAGCGGCAGAAAGAGAGGGAGACACAGAATCTGAAGCAGGCCCCAGGCTCTAGGCTGTCAGCACAGAGCCCGACGCAGGGCTGGAACTCACCAGCAGTGAGATCACGACCTGAGCCAAAGTCGGTGTAGTACACTTTTTAGATCTCCAGTGAACATGTTTCTTAACTCAATACAGTAAAAACAACTACAACACTGGGAGGATGCTGGGGAGTATAGGGGGTAGATCTTAAGAGCTAAATCAGCATTTAACTATTCACAGCAGAAAGTCAACAAAATCTAACATAGATACAGCAGAAGCACCAGCATATTATTTAGAACTATCGAAGAAACCACGAGGAGGACCTGCAAAGACGAAAAGTGGCTGCCTGGAGGCAAGGACTCAAATGTGGAGGCAGAGTAGGACAGGGGCCAGCCAGTCATCAAAAGGCTGTGAAAGCTATTTGATTTATAAGCATGTATATTCACTACTGTTATTAGCCTACTGATTCTTTTAAATTAGTCACAGATCATCAAGTTACAATATATTATTTACCCAAATGGAGAAAAAAGCTCCAGGCAGGAAGAACAGGGTGGCTTAGAGCAGTAACCAGGAAACTTTTTTTGGTAAAGGGTCAGATGTAAATAAACTTTGTGGGCCATGTGGTCTGTAAACTACACAATGGTGCCACTGCAGCGTGAAGCCCACAACAGATGTATGTAAATGAGAGAACGTGGCTGTATTTTTTTTTTTTAATTTTTTTAAATGTTTTATTTATTTCTGAGAGACAGACAGACAGACAGTGTGAGCAGGGGAGGGGCAGAGAGAGAGGGAGACACATAATCTGAAGCAGGCTCCAGGCTCTGAGCTGTCAGCACAGAGCCCGACGCGGGGCTCGAACCCACAAACCGTGGTGTCATGACCTGAGCCGAAGTCGGACGCCCAACCGACTGAGCCACCCAGGCGCCCCATCAATAAAATTTCCTTTATAATAACAGGCAGCGGGCCACAAGCGGCCTGTGCGATATAACTGACCAACCCCTGTCTTGGAACAACAGTAAGATAAAGCGGGAGACAGATCCAAGCTACTCAACAGCAAAAACTTTGAATATATATCTTCATTCCTGTACATTTCCCCGTCTCACAGACACCTCCCCTGTGGCCCTTTACAGCCAAATTCTTAAGCTGCTCGCCTCTGCTCTGTCTTCTGGGCTATGGTATGGTTGGCACGCCCACCAGCATCCACACCTCTCCGGTCCCGTGGTCCAGACCTCACCCCAACCCAGCTCACATGCCCGCACTCTGACGCCTCCACAGTCTCTCCCTGTTGAAATTCCACACTTCCCGCTCCCTGTATAGACCGCTGAGCTCTAATATCAACTCTCTTTCTCTGCTATTGAACTGGGTTAGTCTCTATTTTCAAAAGTTCTTTCAGGAAGGTACCACTAGGGTTCCATTCAGGGTACCATGTAGAAAAGTCATTAGGGGCATTTTAATAGTCTATGAGAATATCCGCGTCAACCACATCAGAGTAAGTGGGGCAAGACCCTTCTCCCAGCAGAAGATCCTAGAAAACTGAACCAAAATGTATGGAACACTTGTTTCAGATACTGAGCAAAAGGCAGTACAGGACTGTGGTTTCTGAGAAGAGGGAAACTAGTGAGGTTAGTCCTGCAATGTTCTGCCCACAGACATTTTCTGGAATGCTGCCCTGGGAGGGAGGAATCCAGTAAGGTGTCCGGGTCTCACTGAGTTTAGGACACATGGTGCAGTTTTGGGAGGCAGAGGCAACTGCAAGTTGCAGGGCAGGGTCCTGGAAAGGACGGAGCAATAGAAAGAGCTCCAGAAACCCACACAGAACTTCCCTCAAGTCTGTGGCTGACATCAAGCTGCATTTGTAGGAGGCCAAACAAGGACACACAACCAGGACAAAGAACAGCTACTGGGAATCTGTAGGTTGAACAATTACAAGAGCTCACACGATACTGAAGACACTTGAATCTGAACCAGTCAGAGTAAAGAGACACTGGTGAAGGAGGTCATGGGGAGCTGCCGGGGGGGTGGGGGGAGATTCAGACTAAACTAGTGCTGACAAAGCAGTCACTAAAGTGTGGCCTGGGAAACTCTAGGGGGTCTGTGAGGGCAAAGCTATTTTCATAATATTAAGATATTATTTGCTTTTTTTTACTTTAATCCACTCACAGGGATGTTTTACAGAGGCTACGTGATATGTCAAATAGAAAACCTCATTATATGATATCATAACAAACATGCTTGAATTATTTTTGTGTTTTAAAATATTCCCAGTTAATTTCTAAAATAATAAGTATTCAATCATTATTACCCTCAAAAACAAAACCTCTATATGGTCCTTAATAATTTTTAAGACCGTTAATTGTTCAAAGACCAAAATGTCTAAGAGGAGCCACCTCAAAGTGAAGGTTCTCAAATACCTATCCCAGAAAGCCTAGAGAAGTTTCGAAAGGTTCAAATGTCCGCGATAACTGTCTGCCACAACAAAAACTCCACACTTCTCAGAGGAACAAAATCCAAATTCGCAACAATATAATCAAAACACACAACTGCCACAATCAAAAAGTACTGCATTTAAAAAAGCCAAAAGTACATCCTAATAAGGGGAAAGGTAAGCTAATACTAATAAGTAATACTAATAATGAGAAATGTCAGACATGACAGAATTAGCAAACAATTATCAATATACACAAGGACTTGAAAGAAAAAACTCAAAACATTTTAAACTATACTTAAACTATAAAATAAAACTGAAATTAAAAAATACAATCATCTCTGACAAATCCACTGGATGTGCTTAAAAACAGATCAGAATGAAACTCTACCCCAAAAACCAAGAGCACACTGTACACACTGTATGTTAGCCAAGTTGATAATAAATTATATTAAATAAATAGATAAAATACTGCTTAGTAAAAGTGAGTTTGGGGAATAAACTAAAGGGCAGAAAGAAAAACAACTGGGAAAAAAAAAAATCAACAAAGGGAAAGCGATCTGGGGACAATATCCTACAATTCTGTACACATACGACTGAGGCTCCAGAAGGGGGAGGAACAGAAAAAGAAATACGAAGAAATTGGCCCAAACTGCCCCAAAATGAATTTTAAAATACCAACCCACAGACCCAAGAAGCCTAACAGAAGTGTATTTTCATATACAGATGAGGGCTGAGAATAAGGAAGACGGGGAGAGACCAGGTGAATGAATGGGTTCTCTGCTTGGGGTGGACCTTTGTCAGTGGATAGAATGGATCAACTAAACCTCACACCTGAGCAAATTACAGCATAAAGTCTCTTTTAAAAAAATGCCTTTTTATTTTTATTCTTTCAGGACAACAGCAGGATAACTGCTACAATTTCAGACCACAGATTTATAGAGGAGTTAATTTTTCAGGTAACACTTGAAAGGTAATATTTAAAGTACTTAAATATAGTCACATAGGTCTACCAATCTCAGCAAACAATACTTGATTAATTGTAAGAAATGGAAACAGCATGGTATACTCACCGAATTTCCACACATTTTTAACCGATGTAAAGTGAAGCATATTTACCTTGACGCTGACACAGTACGGGTGGTAGCACTGACCACACTGAGAACATGCCAGCAGTCTCCCCTCTGCTCCTTGGCCAAAACTGCCACAAACTACACACATGTCCTGAAATTAAAAACACGTGAACATAGTATTTTAGGTTGGAGACTGAGCTCAGAATATACTTTTATTTTTTATACTACCTTCTTAGCTAGTCTAGCTCCATAGCTAAATATTAGTCAACTTCAGTGTGTACAGGAGAGGCAGAAGACAGTAAGCTCAAACCTGGTGCAAGGTGAACTTGTCACTACTGGAAAACAACACCACTGTGTTATGCATAGAGTTTTCCTCTTCATCCTTACTCGATGAAAGATCTGCAGCAGACACCTATAAAAAGCAAAATATACGAAACGAACAGTCACATTTATCACTTATCTAATGGAAAAAGTTGACAGGACTCCTATTCAAAATACAATTTTTGCCGAGGTCTGGAGTGACAATTCCAAATTAGATTATTATTGTTAAGATAATACTGTAAAAGTAGAAGTCAGGACACTTTTTAGTTACCTAATGGTCTCTTCAGAGTTATAAGTCCCATGGGTCAGAAAGCAATGAGAAAATCTAAACTATCTTTAGTAAGAATTAATTAGCCAAAATTTTAATCAAGAAACAAGAAAAACCCTGTATCATATACCTATATATGTGTCACTCTATACATATATACCATACATATATACGTGTCACTCTTAGTGACTCTTAAAACCTGCAACTTGGCTACTTAAAACTGAGATGTGCTGTAAGTATAAGTATCAAAAAAAAAAAAAAAAAGAATGTAAACACAGCTCATAATTACTTTTGTATATTTTATTTTTTTAATGTTTTATTTATTTCTGAGAGAGAGAAAGAGAGAGAGAGAGAGAGACAGCATGAGCAGGGGAGAGTCAGAGAGAGAGGGAGATATAAAATCTGAAACAGGCTCCAGGCTCTGAGCTAGCTGTCAGCACAGAGCCAGACGCAGGGCTCGAACCCACGAAGAGTGAGATCATGACCTGAGCTGAGGTTGGATGCTTAACCAACTAAGCCACCCAGGTGCCCCAAAACTAATAGTGTTCTTGAGGAATGACTGAAAGAATAACTAAATAGATGGAATAATAGTTTTCACTGCAAATAAGTTTAAAAGAAGTTTTAATGGACAGCACTGTTTTATTATACAATCAATTATAAAAGCAATTTATAAGTCTAAATTAGACTACAAGCGAAACTATAAACAACCTAAATAGTCATCTCTAACAAATTACTAAAGCCACAGCAAATCCAAACAGGAAAATTATGCAGCATTTAAAAACCAGTGGTAATTGGGAAACCTTGGTGGCTCAGTTGGCTCAGGTCATGATCTCGTGGTTTGCTGAGTTCAGGCCCCGCATCAGGTTCTTTGCTGACAGCTCAGAGCCTGGAGCCTGCTTCACATCCTGTGTTTCCCTTTCTCTGACTCTCCCCTAATCACACTCTGTCTCTCTTTCTCAAAAATAAAATAAACTTTTTAAAGAAGTTTTTTTAAACAGCGGTAGAAATTTGTTTAGAATTTCCATCGGGGAAAAAAAAAAAAATCACCAACCACACAGCTGAATGGAAAATTAAGCTGCAGAATAGTATGTGACGGAGAGCACCATGCAAAGTAATTATATGTGGTCCACTGGCACATAAATATAGTAGGTTGAACAGTATGAAATTGCTCTTTTTCCAGATTGAAAATGGTTGAAGATTGGCCATCCCCCATGGATCAACCGAATATGTAAAGTCACGAAACTGGTAAAAGGAGGTAAATCAAGACTGAAGAGGCAGTAATGGTAGAGATAACTCTGATCGATCAGTATGTTTTAACATTCTTTGAATACATTAAGAAGTATATATCTCAAAATTAGCATTTTAGGATTTTAACAAGTCAAATGAGAGGGTTCATAAAGTAAACTAATCATTCCATTAGTAATAATTAAATGTCCACTAAAAGTGAAGTTGCCAGTAATTCACCCACAAAAGTAATGATACATTGAGATTATTATTAAAATATACAACTGTGGTAATAGCTAAAATATAGCAAACAAAAGTGTATTGAAATAAAAGGTACCCATTTCTATATTCCCAGTTCCAACACAGAAAATAAGACAAGTTTTATAATTGGATGATACCCAGTGAGTAGGCTCAAAGAAATGGTAACACATTATTATTTTCAAAGGGAAAATTAACGAGAGAATGCTTTTATTTGAAATAAAAAAGAAGGATGGACAATAGTATTCCCAGTCTGAAAAGAACCAGAAACAAAGTCCATACAGAGAGCTGCAATATCCAATAGGATCCAAAGAGCATATTTAAGTTATAAGTGCTGATAAATCAAGATTTTTAAACAGCAATTGTACATGTAAGAAGGAAAACAGTATCATGTAGCTTAATGACCCACTGTTTTATTTTTACACATTATTTTATGACCTTTAATCAATTAGATATATAAAACCCACTGCAAGGGTAAAGAAGGCGGTCTTCGAGACACTATGTCCTAGTACTGCCTATATACATATTAGTCTGATTTGTCCTAAAGGTGAAAGAAGTTTTATATGGCTAAACCACAGATATAAGACTAAGAAAAATGAAAGCTCTAACCTAAACCTCACAAGTGGGGTTCTAAGCAAGGACATAAAAAGCATACAAAAAACAGAGCAAACTACAATCAAAGTGAGAGGAGGAAAACAGTAAAGATCAAAGTAGAAATCAATGGAATGGAAAATGGGGAAAAAGAAAAAAATTAATGAAAGCAAAGGCTGACTCAGAATCAATAATACTGATAAACCTACAATAAGACTGATCAAGAAAAAAGAGAAGACATAAATCACTAATACTGGGAATGAGGAAGGTGACACCACTACAGATTCTACAGATATTAAAAGGATTAACAGGCCAATATATTTGTCAACTTACTTTAAATGCACAGATTCTTTGAAAGACAAATTCATACAAGATGACATAGATAACCTAAATATCCCTATACCTACTGAAGAAATTGCAATATGTAGTTAAAAAACTTTCAATCTCTTCGACAAATCTTATTGGGAAAAATGGAGAGCAATATGCTAGAGAATGAGACTGTACCACTTTCCTACACAATACACAAAAATAAACTCAACATGAATCTAAACATAAGACCTGAAACCATAAAAATCTTAGAAAAGAGCATAGGCAGTAATTTCTCTGACATCAGCCATAGCAACATTTTTCTAGATAGGTCCTCTGAGGAAAAGGAAACAAAGCAAAAATGAACTAATGGGACTACATCTGAACAAAAAGCTTCTGCACAGCAAAGGAAACAGACAAAACTAAAAGGCAATCTATGAAATGGAAGAAGATATAAGTATTTGCAAATGAAATATCTGATAAAGGGTTAGTATCCAAAATAAACAAATAACTGATACAATTCAACACCTAAAACACAAAAAATCCAATTAAAAAATCAGCAGAAGACAGACAAAAGGAACAGCCACCTTTCCAAAGATGACACCAAGATAGCCAACAGACCACAAAGAAGACACTCAGATAAACGTATGAAAAGACTCTCTTCACCACTTATCAAGGAAATGCAAATGAAAACTACAATGAGATATCACCTTACATCTGTCAAAATCAAAAACACAAGAAACAAGAGGTGTTGGGAGGAAAAAGGAACCCTTCTGCATCATTAGTGGGAATGCAAACTGGTGTGACCACTGTAGAAAACAGTATGGAGGTTCTGCAAAAAGTTAAAAATAGAGCTATGCTATGATCCAGCGATCACACTGCTGGATATCTACCCCAAAAATACAAGAATACTAATTCAAAGGGATACATGCCCCTCTATGTTTGTTGCCTGTGGCTCAGTCGGTTACTTATCCAACTCTTGATTTCGGCTCAGGTCATGATCTCAAGGTACATGAGTTTGAGCCCTGTATGAGGCTCTGTGTGGACACTGAGAAGGCCTGCTTGGGATTCTCTCTCTCTCTCTCTCTCTCTCTCTCTCTCTCTCTCACTCACACACACACACACACACACACACACACACACACACGAATATTATTCAGCCATAAAAAACAAACTGATGGTTACCAGAGGGGAGGGGTTGGGGGGTATGAGTGACATACGTAAATCAGATTAAGGAATGAACCTACCGTTATGAGCACCAGGTGATTCAAGTAAAAACTTAAAAAATACTTCTCACAAAGAACTTCAGGCCAAAATGGCTTCACTGATGATTCTATAAATAATACAAGAATGTTTCCAATACCACACAACTTTTTCCAGAAAATTGAAGATTCTATTTCCCAATTCACTCAAGGAAGCCAGCTTTATGCCAAAACAAAAACCAAAGAAATTATAATAAAATAAGAATATTGACCATGGGGTGCCTGGGTGGCTTAGTCGGTTAAGCGTCCGACTTTCGCTTAGGTCATGATCTCGCGGTTTGTGGGTTTGAGCCCCGCGTCGGGCTCTGTGCTGACTGCCAGCTCAGAGTCTGGAGCCTGTTTCAGAGACTCCCTCTCTCTCTGACCCTCCCCTGCTCACGCTGTCTCTCTCTCTCTCCTAGAAATAAATAAAACATTAAAAAATATATATATATTGACCAATACCCTCATGAACAGAAGACATGAAGTCTATAGTTTTTAGCCATTTGAATACAATAATATGTGGAAAAGATAAGACATCATGACCAGTGGAGTCTATCCCAAGAATACAAGATTGCTTTAGCATATGAAAAAGCCAATCAACATAACTCACATTTTCAATAAACAAGCCATATGATCATTTCTGTAAATGTAGGACAAAAACGTTGACAAAATCCAGCATCTACACTTGATTAAAAGAAAAACATTTCAGCAACTTATGAATAGAAAGGAGCTTCCTCAAATTGACTTAGGACGTCTATTTAAAAAATAAAACTAGAGCTAACACCATACTCAATGATGCAAGATTAAATGTTTTCTCTCTTCAAGTTCAAAAGAAGGCAAGGTTAACACTTTATCCAACACTGTACTGATGGTGACAGCAAACGCAATAAAGAAGTAAAACCCATCCAGATTAAACAGAAATAAAACTTTATTTGTAGACAACATGATCTTAAGGGTAGAAAATCCAATGGGTTCTACAAAAAAGCAACTATATATAATAAGGGAGTTTAGTTAAGACTGTTCGATACAAAATCAATACACAAAAATGAGTATTTCTAGGTACTAGCAACTGACAACTGCAATTTGAAATTAAGACAACACTGCCATTTACAGTAACATAAAAAATATGGAAATTTAGAGAGAAATCTGAGAAATGATGCAAAGACATTTATGTTGTAAACTAAAGAACATGACCAAGAGAAATTTTAAAAGACCTAAAGAAATGAAGAGATACACAACGTTCATGGGTTGAAGACTCTTCTCAGCTAAAATGTCAAGTTCTCCAACTTGATCTAGAGTTTGAATGCAAACCCAATCAAGATCCTAGAGACTTATTTGTAGAAAGTGACAGGCAAATTGTAAAATTAATACAGAAACACGAAGGATACTGGGTGCCTGGATGGCTCCATAGGTCAAGCATCAGACTCTTGGTTTTGGCCCAGGTCATGATCTCAGAGTCATGGGATCAAGCTCCATGTCGGGCTCTGTGCTGGGTCTGCAGCCTGCTTGGGATTCTCTTTCTCTGCCCCTCCCCCACTTTCTTGCATACATGCACTCTCTCCCCAAAAATACATAAGCTTAAAAAAAAAAAAAAAAAAAAAAAAAAAAAAAAAAAAAAAAAAAAAAAAAAGGAAACATAAAGGATTTAGAATAGCCAAAACAACTTTGAGAAAGTAAAGAAATGAAACACTGACAGCTTCTGATTTCAATGGTAGTTATAAAGTAAAAGTATAATTGGCCTAAAGTTATAGTACTGGCCTGAAAATAGAGAAATAGATAGTATAGCACAGAGATTCCGAAATTAGGTCCACAAAAATAATGATAAGACTAATTTTTTAAATGTTTTTATTTATTTGAGAGAGAGAGTGAGACAGTGAGTGAGAAAGAGCGCCCGCACGAGCGGGGGAGGGACAGAGACAGAGGGAAACACAGAATCAGAAACAGGCTCCAGGCTCTCAGCTGTCAGCAAAGAGCCCACCGTGGGGCTTGAACTCATGAACCACAAGAGCATGACTTGAGTTGAGGTCGAACACTTAACCGACTGAGCCATCCAGGCGCCCTTAAATAAAATGAATATTTTGGAATGATACAAAGTCCGTTAAGAGAAATGATGCCAAAATAACCTGGATATTCATTCAGTTTATGCAAAAAAAAAAAAAAAAAAAGACTGTGGTCCATGTACATACCATACATAAAAATGAACTCAAACTGGATCATATATCTAAATGCAAGACCTAAAACCATAAAACTTTTAGAAGAAATAACAAGACTATGTTCGTAATCTTGTGTTATCCAATTATTTCTCAGACACCAAAAGTATAATCATAAAAGGAAAAAAAATGGGACTTCATCAAAATTAAAACACTTGCTATTCCATCACAAAATAAAGAAAATATTTGCAAATCATATACATGGTTAAGAACCTGTGTCCAGAATACATAAAGAAAACTCACAACTCCGTAAGCTAAAAAATTTCTTATTTTTAAAATGAACTAAAGATCTCAAGAGGGATTTTATCAAAGAAATATATAAATAAGCACCTAAAGAAGTCAAACCACACCAAGTACACGTTAAGTATAAGGAGGCAGCAAGAATTTCATGCACTCTTGCAAACATAAGATGTCACACCCAATTTGAAAAGCAGCCTTTTCCTAAAAAGCTAAGCATACACCACCTACAGTATATCTGACCATCCCATTCATAGATATTTACTCATGGGAAAATAACGCATATAGCCACAGATAGACTGACACATAAAAGCTCACAGGAGTTTTGTTTTCTGGGGGTTTTCTTTAGTTCTATTTTTAAATGCCAAAAAATGGAAACAAGCAGGATATCCTTTAATAGGTGAACAGAAGATACACAAACTGTGGCACAAACTGAACAAAAAATGAGTTTCTCCTGAACAATTAGAATTCAAAAAACAGGATTTTGGTAAAACAGTAAAGTTACTACATGAAACATTTGCCACTATTTGACAATTACGGATTTCTTGAATACACATTTAAATAAAGCCTCAAAGACATGCCAGTGAGCAAATATTTATCAATCTTAAAATACATCAAAGGTAGTCATAAAATCTTCAACATTCTTAGAGTATGGACTACTCTGCAACACTGCAGGTTTATTCTGTAAGCCATAATAAAAAACTTAAAACACCAACATAATAAAGTTTCTCAAATAAACTCAGTAATATAGAAGGAGTTGGCTCTTATTAAAAATAAAGGGGCAAATATATTACATATAGATTTTTGGGAACGATTGGCATACAAGGATCATGTCAAAGAGGAAGGTAAGAAAAGAGAAAAGGTATGGGAAATACAACATACTAAAGACAATTTAAAAGAAAGCCTGACCAGAGGGGTTTAAAAAAAGAAAAACAAAACTAGAGATAGAGTAAGATAAAAACTTTGACTTGCTTATGGGACTCTTACAAACCAATAATTTTACAAATGAGATGATCATATCTGTCAACACATGAAGGACTGTAGCAAAGGTAAAGGAAGGGACACTTACCCCGGGTAACACGACTGCTCCGATGCCACTTTTCAGCTTTGACCTGCCTCTGCCGCCTCGCCCCGACAGCCCCGCACCACGAGGTCTCCGCTTCCCGGGGAACCCCGACCCGCGGCCCTACATGACAGACACGGAAAGATCAGCACTCTGCCAACATCCCAAAGAATCTTCAAATCCATTGTGAGCTAACACATTTTATTGAAGGTTACACAAATACTTGCTTTGCTCTTATTCTGATCAGCTGATAAATACTAAGAGACCACGCCCGTTATTTTTATCTTTCAACCCATATTATGCAACTTAAAAATATAAACCTCAAACGCCTATACCCTTAGAATCAATCGCTGGGTCTGTCGTGAATGCTGTGCATCGGCAAACTCTGGCATTATTTTTCCACCTCCTAATCCTACGTTGTAGGTGGCTTGACAGCCACAATCCATTGAATTTCTATTCAATACAGAGCAAGGATAAGGAAAGACTCTGGCTAACGGTTCTCTCAGTACTTAGAGCTGCATGTACTGAGTGCTTACTATCCACTGCTCTAAGCGCTTTTTGCTCTCAACTACCTCATAAGGTCAGTACTACTTTATTTCCCCCATTTTAGAGATAAAAGCACTGAGGGATTAAAAGCAACTTGTTCAAAGTCTACAGCTAGCAACTCCGGCTCCCGTGTCCATACTGTTAACCAGTACTCTGCTCCGCTACGTTGCATGAAAGCTAATTTTTGCTAGTGTACAACAGTATTTGCCCTGTCATTAAAAGTGTCAGTTTCTTGTACTCTTCCAGAGCCGTCCGTATGAACTGAAGAGGTGTGCCTCACTCTACCACAGTATTTAGAGGACAATGTATCTGAAGATTGTAGGAAAACAGATAAAAAGGTAAAAAGCTTGTTTTAACTCATCTGGATGATACTCACTTGAAATGTAAATAAAATAACTGATCTGAATTTTTACCTAACACACAAAAATACTCTATGGGAAAACAGGTTAAACTCTTTGATATTTTAACAAATAAATACCAGAGTTGTTGGTTATTGTTGTTTTCTGGTTTATTCTCAGACTTACATATTACTACCTGAAATAAGCCTGACATTGACACACACTTACAACATTATACATTTTTAAATTATTAAAATATTCAGGAAAACCCTATTTTTTCATAATACCTTAAATAATGTCACATTTTCAATTGATGTCATTTGTATTATAGTCTGAAACACTGAACTCATTACCTATTTGGGTGAATAGTTTCCAAGGTGATAATTTGTGGTTATATTTTAAGCATAAAACAGATACACATGAACAAAACAGGGGTAATCTTCTTTTCCCTTCAGTGTCAATAAATACAGTCCACTTCACATTGCCTCTCCTTGTCGTCTTAACCTGCGCTTCCTTTAGAGCCTTGTGCTTCGTGAACAAAGGCTATGGGAGGGCTGAAGTGGATAGTTTTGTTGTTGATAAGCATAAGATTTTTTAAAGTCAATTATTAAATCAGGATTATAGTCATCTATTTTTCCTTAGCATCTAAAGATACAGGTGAAAATTTGTCGTAACTGCTACAAAACTGTCAAAATATCTGTTATACTCTTAAAACAACTATCTCTACTTTCAATACCTTGCAGGATTTCAGAGAGTTGAAACATAGCTCTAATGGTGACAGAAATAAAGTGGAATCTAGAAGTCCTCTGAAATCCTTGATTAGTCTAAATTAAACAGCCTTATTCCAGAATCTCATTAAATATACAAGATGAAGAAAATTATCTTCTCTAGGTAGTAACGTATTTTAACTTTTCACATTAATTTCTTGCCCTCTAAAATCCATCAGACTCCACAACTTACTTCAAGAACTAGCAGAATCCTCCATCAATGACATGAAAAAGAGGCCCTATAATTTCGAGGTTATTCACGCAGACAGTGAAACCTGCTGCAATTCTGGTACTTCTTCTCCATTAGCACATAATAGATTAATGTAGTTTGCTTTTGTTCTTTTCTAAGCAACAAAATTTTACGATTATCATGAATGAGCAAGTCCTTAATTACTTTATAGCCTATGTGACAAGGATTTTCCCCCATAGAAACATTGGTAATTACAACATAAAAGGAAGCAACCATAAAAAGCAGTTATTAAAAATTCACACTTAAAATCAGTCATGTAAAATTCCAATTTAATTTTCTCCTAATCCAGATTTTTTTTTAAGTATAAGCATGTTGATTCTTCATACTAAAATTTTCAGATTAAAAAAAGTGGCTCTGGAACCTGAACTTATTTATCTAGAAAAGAAAGGTTTAATTCTTAACGTCTACTTGGACAAAACCAGCCAGAAAGAAATGATATATGAATGTAAATGCAGTTTTATTTACCACTTTGATGCTCCAAATGGCACTGCCAGGAAGCTGCCTGGGTTTAAAAATTTCCCGACCTTCTGAAATGTCTGAGGACCAGGAAGGTGGGCTCACTGTATTATGGGTACTCCAAGCCCCCTAGGATATGGCAGGTGAGAAAATAGATGTATAAAACTCAGCAACGTAAAAGGTCAAAGCCAGCAACTGAGGAATTTTAGAACAGCAAAAACAAATGCGGACGTATGGAAATTTAGGACAAATTGCTTCAAGGTAGGGAAAATAAGCTTATCACTTACAGTGACTTTATACTGCAGTGTTTGCAGCTACAACTTACATTAACTATTTTATTCTGGTTGAAACATCAGTACAATGAAACCTATTAGAAATTAAGGTTTATAGGACATCGACATTGACTCATGAACTTCAACTATAGAACCAAAATGTAAGGAAGTCAATTAAATTCTAAGAATTAACACTATAAGAAGCTATTCAGGGATTATTTTCTTCTAACAACTATCACTCTACTGAAAAAGAGAAACAATCTTAAAGAATGTTATGTACACCTATTGCTATGAACAACGAAACCAGCAGGCAAAAAAAATGCACTTAGAACATGAGCAATCAACAGACACATTCGCTTTAAGTTGCGGAAAGTCAGGTTGCCATCTTAATATGCAAATACCAGTATAATCCTAGCTTCTGACTCCTTCCTTCCAGTGTGACCACTAGTTGTGGTTTGGGCTTTAATTTTCTTTTAGGGGACCATTAGCCTTAGATTACATCCAAGGGACTAATCGGTACAGTGAAAGGTGTTAAAGCAAATTGTCCTAAATTTGCAAATAAAATGCCTAAGATACCTGGTTATTTATACAAGAAATAATCTTATTAAAACAGTTAAAATGAAAGTAAGACATTTTACTTCTTAATAACCACATTCAGCAATCACCTGAACTAATCTGATGAAGACACTAAGCAGCATAAATAAAAATGTCTACTCCACAAAGATAACATTTTAAAGAAAAACACAAAACAAATGTCAAACAATAAAGAACCTATTTTGAATTAGGTAATCTGATAATGCACACTATAAAAGTTACCAATTTAAGGACCCAAACTTAAGTAACACATTACTTACCAGGTTTTTTGAATATTCTCAAACAAGCAGCAGCCCATTAATCACGTAAAACTACCGCCAGGAATTTAAATAGTCAACCAAAGTAAAAGCCTGACTACCCTTTGGGGAACACATAATTAATGTACTAACAGTATTTTGAGAAAAACCACACAAGGGAGAGACTTGTTTCACTTTTAATTAACCTACCCTCAAGCTCAGTGAATGGCTATGTTGATTTTACTGACCCGTGAATTACCTCACTTTCCCTCCATCAGATCAACTAGCCTCTACATCCATGTCTTCTTTCCGGCTGCATCCGGGGTCTGTGGTAACCTCTATGCTGCCAAAAGTCATTTCTCTATTCCCATTTTCCTCCAACTGTCAACACCTACATACAGCTCTGTTGGGTTCCATGCAGCATGTCTGTGAATGCTTCTCTAGCCTCCCTTGCTGACCTTTCTGTCCCGCACGCACGTCCTTCCTCCAGCTAACCTCCAAGCCTCAGGGCTTCGGAGGGCTAAGGCCTGGACACCTCTCCTCTCCGCGTAGTCTCTTCCTAATGGTGGGATCTTTAATAAGGGCTAGAAACTCCATTTTGGACGCTGTCTTCTCCCAAACTCACATTTCTGATTTCAACATGTTCCAGCATGTTCTTGAAGAAGTTAGTCTGGTTTTCAACTTCCTTCTTAGCACTCCCATTTGGTCACAACACAACTCTCAAGTTGAGCACGTCTAAAAGCCTCCCCCTCACCCGGTACCGTCTCAGAATCTCCACCCCCCCTTCAGAAATGGGTTCCAGACCCCAGGTCGGAAAGCAGGGAGTCGCCTGATGTGCTCTCCCTCATCACTCTGCCCTGCACTCCTTCAATCCAAATCATCCGTGAATTTGGTACATTCCACCTTCTAGTATTGTCTCCAACCACTCTACTCCTCTGCACTCCCAGTGCTGGGGCCCAAGCCAGTCTGCCACCGGCAATCTCACCCAGCCAGCCGCTCTTCACCACCCCCCCCCGCAGCTCCCTCAAGTCCTTCTCACACAGAGGCCAAACAGACTTTCCAAAAAGGTCAGTCTGGTCAAGCAAGTCACCACCTTGATCGAAACCCTTCCAAAAGCGCCTCGGCACACTGAAACTGCCAATCTTTCTCGCTGCCTCCCGCCAACCTCATCTTCTGAACCCCTGCCCCCACGATCGGGACGCCCCAGCCTCCCTGATGTCCTTCACACATGCCAAGCTCTTCGCCAGTAACGGGGCTACAGACTCAGAACAACTGCCAACTCTCCACTGGATGGCTTCTTCCTGGGATTCTTCAGGGATGGCCTCAGATATTTCCTCATCGGGGAGGGCTTTCTTCAGCACGCTAGTAAGTCATCACCTCCCTTATAAAACTATGTGCATCTTCTCACTAACTGAAATCTGGGGTCACATGTTTTGCGGTTTCTAATTACTCAGAGGTAGAGAGTGGCAGCAAAAGATACCTAAACTTAGTTCTCTAGATGTTTTCAATGGTTTTTCTCTGACGATAGTTGGCTATTATATAAAATTCCTTTCGGTGGATCGTTTAATGTTGTATCAGTAGACAGCTCTTAAAACATACCATAAAAAGTCATACTCTCAGATAATATGCTATTCACCGTAATTTAAAAGTTAGCTTTGAGGCCAACATTGTGTCTCATTTTAAAAACATTTACACTTCATGGAACATAGATGAGGAAAATGAAGGGCTCCATAGATCAAGAATGTTTGGATGCCGTTTCAGGACTAATTAGAAAACCATTCAACTGCTATAAAGAACTTATATAATAAAAGCTTGGGTAATTACATTATGAATTTTAATAAGTATATTATCATAAGGCACTGGAAGATAGATTGTGTGCAATTTTATAGGAACTGGAGAAAAATTATGATTACACTTAGATGTTTTGACAAAGAAGAAATTATCTAATATATTCTTTGGACCTTAAAACTAAAATACAGCTCTAATTATCAATTTTAGTTATAAATTATCCTACAGATCTCAGCTTTGATGAAAAAGAACTTATACAGACAATTCAGAGGCCCGCGCCCCTGTCTACTAAAACATGGTTTTTACACCATTGTTATACTTGACTTTATACTTGTTACATTTGTATTTATTTGCTGCTATTGAACTATAAGCTTGATGAAAAGAGACCATTTTTTCTGTTCACTTGCACTGCTATGGTAAGCATTCTGTTCAGTGCTTACTGAGCATCTATTTTTCCACTTATTCTTTGTGAATGCATAAATGCATCAATAAGCACTGAACTATGAGACACACTAATTCCTATTTCCCCCCACTGGATGTAGCCTACAATCCTGGATTGCTTCCTAAAAAAAAAGTTACCAATCCATCCACTGCACTGTTAATCTTAAACTAAAACTGAATTAAAACCAAAAGGGTTCAAAATGTGGCCATTAGCAAACTTTAAGTTGTAAGGAAAGCTAAAGATAAGCAATTTGCTATCAAATCCTATAGAAATTTGGGGGGGAAAATACTTGGTTGAGATTGAATTAGATTCTAACAATAATTATTGAACCCAAAACCTCTTTGAAGTTGGTATTAAGCTTCTTTCTGCCTTGAGGCCAATTTCTCAGGTAAACTTATCAACTGAGTAAATGATAACAGCTGTTACAAGGGCTGAGGGATCAGACAGCAGAAACAGTAACAGCAAGTAGAGAACAGGTCATTAAGGTCAACTCTCTATTATTAAAAGCCTAATCCTGTTGCTGGCTGTTAAATTATGATCAATGTCCTAATTAGAGCCCAGGAGTACCCTAATCTCCTGAAAAAGTTTTAAGAGGGGCCAGAGGTTTGGTGTCTCCCGGGGCCGACGACACACCTCCAACTCATCCCTGCTCAGGCCCAGCAAACGATGCAAAACGAAGACTGCTAGTTAGAGGAGGCGTCTGACTGAGAGAAAGTAAACACGACAGAGAGAGAGCAGAGAGGACAACTGGCAAGAGAAACAGAAAACCCAGGAAGTTTGTAATTTCTTTTTGGCACATACATCCCCTCCCATACATTACAGCCACAGGAGCAAACAACTCATTTTTATGACTCACAGAAATCTTTTCATATAAAGAAATATCATATACAAAACTAAGTTCAACATCAACGGAACAAGAAATTTAGTCCTGACAGTGATTTGATAAGATACTATAAAAGCACAGAAACAGCTGTTACCAGCATTAGCCTTCAATAATTTAAGAATGTGAATGTGGCTGATGCTAGCAATGGTTTAAGGAATGGCTTCAGAAACATCACAATAGGCACAAGGAAGCCAAGAGAAAAGGGACGCTGATCAGTTATGTGACTGCCACCCCAGAGGGTAAACACTTTTTAGGTTTAAAAACTAGTCTTTCGGTGATTTAGAGCACTGTTTCCTGGGCTTTGGCCTGCACGGCACGCAAGCCTGGGCTGAGTTCCCTCACGCCTCCTCTGCTTTTCCACGGGACCCGGGGCTTCCTCTACTGCAGCACATGTCACAATGTCACACACGGCGTAATTAATAGGCTGTTCAGTTCTAATATCTGTACAGTCACTACGTGGCTTTGAACTCGAGAAACCTACCACATACTGTATTGACAGTGACCAGTGTTCGACTCTTTCAAGGCCTATAGTTATTTTCATTGGCATGTTTCAGCACAAATAAGCATGAGTCAATCTGACCGGTTTTCCAGAGGGACATTTACTACATGATTACTATATCCTTCTCAAGACTCCGTTTTCACGGAATATTGGCATGACTCTACATTGAGAAAAATAGCAGGGCAGCGTATCACTTGCTACGTGGCAGGTGCCATGTATGTGTTATTGTTAAACTCCAACGGCAGCCACAGGACATAGCTTTATAGATGAAGGAACAAGACAGTTCTCAAGGTAACGTGTTTAGTGTCATACAGACAACAGCAGGAAACAAGGCTCTGCATCCAAGGAATTGCACTAGGGAAATGCTCATGCTGAATTTATATTAATCAATCTTTCCTGGTATCAATTAGAGTAA